AACTGCAGAATATATCAGCTATACAGGATGTTCGGCAATAATGCGTCGGGCATCTGTAATAGAGGTGGGCAAAGATTGAACGAGTATTAAAAATGAATCGTGTGATTCGATTCACTGCTTAGAAACGGTTCGTTCGATTGAATCGTAGCCAGCTCGGATCCAGAAGAGTCGAGAGAATTGATTAATTTCTCCAAAAAAATCCTTTATGGGTATTTCGCCACTGCACTGCAAGAAATATCTACAAAATAAAATAGTTATTTTTTAGTAAACACTTCGGCGTTAAACCTAAACGGACGCTGCTTGTCAGAAGTTATATTTACAGTAATAAAAATTTGCCTAACAAAGAAAAAATTGCTTAACGTTTCGGAAAGTTTATCTGTTTCCGTCGTCGGAACCAAAATAAATACAAAGAATAAAGAAAAAAACTATTTAAAATATTTAAATTCAACTATTCGAGAACACTTTACTTTTTTTAAAACAGATACGTCTACAAGAAACCGTTGACGTTCTGTTAAAATGACATTATATCAAGTTAAACCATATTAACAGTTACTACCTCATAACAATTACTTAATAAGGTAAAACCAAAAAGCCCTAAACTTTCTGTATGATTATTTTTAAATTTTACGTATGTTATGTTTATTTATGTTATGTTCTTTAAAATCAAAGAAGCGTTTGCCATACATTACTAACATCTACAGATGCATGAGCAATACATTTATTTTTATTAGATTGCATTAAAAATTTAAAAAATTAAATTTTTATTACTGTAAACATAACTTCTGACAAGCAGTGTCCGTTTAGGTTTAACGCAGAAGTGTTTACAAAAAATAACTATTTTATTTTGTAGATTTTTCTTGCAGTGCAGTGGCGAAATACCCATAAAGAATTTTTTTTGGAGAACTGAATCCGCCACATAGGTATAGACATTTTTTACAATTGAATCATTGTTTGCAATACAGTTCGTTCAATTGAATCGTGGCCGGCACGAATCCATAAGATTTGAACGATGGGCCGTAAAAAAGAATCGTGAGAATTGAATCGGATCACAATGCGATCGTTCGTTCAAAGAGTCGTGAGAATTGATTCATTGCTTGCAATACGGTTCGTTCAATTGAATCTTGGCCGGCACGAATCCATTATATTTGAACGATGGGCCGTAAAAAAGAATCGTGAGAATTGAATCGGATCACAATGCGATCGTTCGTTCAAAGAGTCGTGAGAATTGATTCATTGCTTGCAATACGGTTCGTTCAATTGAATCGTGGCCGGCACGAATCCATAAGATTTGAACGATGGGCCGTAAAAAAGAATCGTGAGAATTGAATCGGATCACAATGCGATCGTTCGTTCAAAGAGTCATGAGAATTGATTCATTGCTTGCAATACGGTTCGTTCAATTGAATCGTGGCCGGCACGGATCCATAAGATTTTAACGATGAGCCGTAAAAAAGAATCGTGAGAATTGAGTCGGATCACAGTGCGATCGTTCGTTCAAAGAGTCGTGAGAATTGATTCATTGCTTGCAATACGGTTCGTTCAATTGAATCGTGGCCGGCACGGATCCATAAGATTTTAACGATGAGCCGTAAAAAAGAATCGTGAGAATCGAATCGGATCACAATGCGATCGTTCGTTGCGCATTAAATTCAAACGATAAGAATGTCATTTACAAGAAAAAAACTTATTTATACTGTGCTTAGTACGGGAGTATCTGTAAGGTATTTAATTTTTACGTTAATATTTTTGTTAAAATAATATTACTGAATATAAACCATTAAATGTCGGACTAAAAGACGCAATCGTGTTTTTATGCAACTCCAAATAAATATTGTTGGCCTCTGCTCAATATGATAAAAAAACGGCGTCAGCGATGGTTATAAAATGAAAATCGCTGTCATTTTATATGTAAAATTATATGGGCAATATCTATGTTCATATCTAAGCCAACTGGATGCCATTTTCTTTTTTTTTTGATCATGCGGAATTAAAATATGGCTCTAAAAATATTAAATTGATATTAAGAAGTTTTTAATAAATAGTATAGATGAATTATTGGATTGATAATTTAATATTATTAAATAATAATTTGTCAAATAATCAATCCAATTACGCTAGTGTCATAAAGTGTTGAAAAACAAATGAAAGAAACAAAAGAAAAACAAATGTATATTTTTTTTTTCTCGTACCTTAAGTAATTGTCCGGCCAAATTATCGCCGGTAGTGCCAGTTACGATTCTTGTTTTGATGAAACGTAAATTGTGCATGTGGTTTGTTCAAATGAACGAATCGTAGGAGTCAATTCAATATGAGAAATTGAATCGTGTGATTCGATTCACTAAAATGAATCGAAATGCCCATCACTAATCTGTAGCTCCTAGAATAAAAAACTTATAGGAATAGGAAAATATTTTAAGTTCTACTTCTATTTTCTGGCTCAAAAAAGTGTGAGTGGATCGAGATGATTTTGTTTAAATTGAATTCCCTGTATATTATTGCATTTTTGGTTTCTTTTTAGATTACTTTAAATAATTCTAGGATATGAGTAGATGGTTTTCGATAGTTTCAGAGATATTAATAAATAAATAAAAACATATTTTTCAGCCTTTCTTAAAAAAATATTAAAAATACATGAACTGTCCTGAAATCAAAAATGTACTAAATATTTACTATAGTTGATCTGTACTTACTTTGCTTTAAATATCGTAATCATAAATCATACAGGGTGTTCAATATTCTATGCCAAACTTTCTAAAATATAAAATAATTTTTCTTCCTAATATATTATTTTTTTAGTAGATGGGAAATTAAAAAACGAACATTTTTTGTATTTAGGTTATGTCACAATTTTCAAGGGTTTCGCAGATATTCGCGGTTTTATATTTCATATGGCATTTTCCACAGTAAACTTTTATCAAAGACACCCAATAATTTTTCTCTCATTTTACCTTTACTCTTTAAAACTATTACGTATTTTTGGTATTAAAATAAGTTAATTGAACACTACACAAGTAACTTATTTTAATTTCAAAAATACGTAGTAACTCTATGTCCACGGAATATTGAGAAATCCTGTATAAAAAAAATAAAAAGTCCTTTTAATTCCAACAATTAATCTTGATTAAAACAAACGTTTTCCCGACAATTATTCTATGCGTAATAATTGTTGTTGTTTACATTAATAATGGATTGTTGGAATCTAATACGAGGCGTATAGGATTCCAACAACAAAGGGAACAAAACCAGAGACCTTAAAAGAAATAGATACTTATCTATGTATATTTACGTATTAAAAAGAAAATGTTGATAGTTCTTTTATAATAACCATATTTATAATATGGAAAGTTGCTAAAATGAATCATTTCAATAACATAAGTAAAAATAAGACACATTTAATGAGTTCTATCTGAAAAAAGTACTTTTCCTCAAACTTATTTGAAATAAATCTAACATTTTTAATATCTATAGACAAAATTCTCTATCTGTTATTATTATTTTCCCCTGCGACCTTTATATTTATTTATTTGTTTGTTTATATGAAGCCTGATTTCCACACGTCCTTGAAATATTTTATAATATTTAGATAAATAATGAACTGTTAACTTTAAGCTATTTTTTTCCGTTGACATACTTTGATTTGATAAATATGTGTTTCTTCCTTTATCTTTCAGCGTCTATCTGCTTTGTTTTTTCCAAAGATTTATGATTTGTGGCAATAGTGATCAGCAAAATAAAACACTAATTCACCACAAAACACCAAAACACTTTACATTTTTTTATTCTCTATAATATATTCTCCCTATATATGTATACAGGGTGTCCCAGGCTGAGCGCGCATTAGAAGTTTATGTTCTCTATAAACTTCTACATACAATATCTAGATCGGAGATTTTTTGCACATCATTGTTTCACAATGAGATTTATCGATTTAAAATATTTTCAATATGGTGGCACTTCCGGAAATACCGGAAGTTGACAGTAAGTTTCTTATTTTGAATGGGTACCCCCATTCTTTATTACATAATTAAATTCTGTAAAATTTTATGAATTCTGATATAAAACACTCTATACCTAACATTAACCATTTTTGAGAAAAATAAAAATTTTGGAAAGAAAAAAACTGCCTCTCAAAAAATTTGTATAGCCTCAACCTCAACGTCAAATTTAGTGATGACCGCAGCCACTGTGACATAAAGAGAAGACATACTATATGGCTATCTATTTCAAAAATTAAATTGTTTGTATGTCATATAATATTGGCCGTAGCTGTCATGGAATCGAGAGATTAAAAAATTATCATAAATCGTTTTTTTTCAAATGGAAACCCACGAAAAGGTTTTTTTAAATCGTTACTTTTTGATTATACATGCTCCTATACCTAAAGTAAATCGTTTTTAAGTTATTTAAGATTTAGTTCTAAATCGTATGTTTTTCTGGTTTTTCACCAGTATGTAGCCTATGACTTTAAACGTCAAGCGATGTAAAACTATACAGGTTGTTAATTTGTTTATTACTCGCGGCAAGAGCTTTATGGTTGAAATATGGCAACCTCGGCCCGCTCGTCGATGACGACGCAACGAGAAGAGTCGGCAGAAATATCAATAATGCATGCGTTCTCAATAGGCAGTGTTGCCATTCTGTTCTCCTATAAGTAACTGTCGAGTTAACAACATGGATATGGCCGTATTTTAATGATTATCTCGTATTTTAATGATATCTAATGTCATATTGCCATTAGATATCATTAAAATACGAGATATATTTTTATAAATACACTTTATAAAAAAGTTTATTAAAAGTTTTAGCAGCAGTATTTATAATATACGAAATTGAAATAATTATTTTTTTGACATAAGGAAATAGACTGTCTAATGGTTTAACACTTAATGTCAAAGGAAGCTAGATAAAATCCAGAAAAATTTATATTTTAAATATAAATTAAGTAGTAAAATACAAACCTAAATTCTGATTGCCTCATAACAGTTTTTTTTATATTTCAGACCGACAGCGAGGTGGCATGCGAGGAGGCGGCCCGCCTCACCGCCGAGCAGCACCTGGAGGAGGATGAGGAGGGCCTTTCCTACTGCGACTACCACGACCTGCCGCCACCCCCCGACGGAGGCTACGGCTGGGTCGTGGTATTCGCCTCCTTCATGTGCAACATGATCGTCGATGGTATCGCCTACACCTTCGGAGTCTTCCTCACGCCCATGATGGATCACTACGGCGAAACTAAGGTAATCCAGTGTTATTGAAATAGGAAGCCCGCCTAATGGCTCCCAGAATTAACAGAACACTGTTTTATAAGCAGACAAAACTTATTTCTAAATAACAGTTGTGGAAATGTTATTTCAAAATAACAATTTATGTAAAATTGTTATTTTCAAATTACAGTTTGTGTGAAAGTGTTATTTCCAAAATAACAGTTTAGAACTGTTATACAAAAATTAGGGTTTAAACTGTTATTCTTAAATAACAACAGTGTAAACTGTTATTTTGAAATAACAATATAACTATTTTAATTTCTAAACGGATAATTTTAAGTATACATTCTAAATAAGTTTAGAATGAAAATGAATTAAAAACATAAAAACCGTTACTGTAACGTATAAATAACAACCTTAAGTAACACCTTTCTGTTTGTTAATCTATTGTTAAACAGTTAAAACACAAACAAACACTTTCGGTAGGCTTTATCTTATTGTAAGGTAAATCCAGTGTTATTTAAATAGGAAGGGAAACCTTATTTCTAAATAACAGTTCTTGTGGACATGTTATTTCCATATAGCCGTTTATGTGAAACTGTTATTTCCAAAATAAGAACTTAGAACTCTTATACAGAAATTAGGGTTTAAACTCTTATTTCTAAATAACAACGGTTTAAAACTTATTTCTAAATACAGTAGAATCCCAATAATTAGCCGGTGCTGGGACCAGCGGTTAGAACTGTTATTTAGAAATAACAATATAACTTTTAATTTCTAAACCGACAATTTTATGTAACATTCTAAATAATTTAAGTACTTTTAATTATAAATAACAACTTTAATTAACTGTTGTGTATTGATCTTATTTTTAAATAATAGCAAATGTTATTTAACAACTCGGAATGAATAGGACACTGTTTTATAGGCAGACGAAATTTATTTCTAAATAACAGTTGTTGTGGAAATGGCATTTCTAAAAAATAGTTGGTGTGAAACTGAACACTTATTCAGGAATTATGGTTTTACTTTTATTTTTATTTATGGTTTTAACAACTTTTTCTAAGTAACAGGTTAGAACTGTTATTTAGAAATAACAATATACCTGTGTTTGGTGAATTTAAGTAACATTCTAAATAACAGTTGTAGCACTGTTTCTGTAAATTAGGAAAATAACAACTTTAAGTAACACATTTCAATTGTCTATTGATCTTATTGTTAATAAATCAATAAATAATAACGTATTACAGTAAAAACTATCGACATAGTGTGTATTGTATGTAACAAATTTACAAAAGTAAAGAATATACCTTCTGTATTCTGTATTTAAACATTGTTGTACTGGCACATTTTAATATAATGGTTATCATATTTTCACATCGTTTGCAATTTAACATGTAACAAATAAATTATTGTTTTAGTAATATTAGCATAATTATTTGCGGTTCGTGGATATTAATTGCGTTTGTTTAACACTGTGTTAATTATACTAAATTATAACATTCTAATGTTAGTGACGATCGTGATGAATTTATAAAATAGTGGTGATAATTTAGAAGATAACAATCAATATTTTATTTCATAAAATGACTTCAAAATTAATACTGTTGAGATACCTTTGGCCTGTAAACTTTGCTTTGGCGTTACAACAGCAAAATAAAACATTAGTTCACCACAATACACCAAAAACATTTACTGTTAATACCGAACGCTCGTTTGCTAACCATATGAGTATTATCAGTAGATGATTAAAACTAATTATGAACATGAACATCTAGATGTTGAACAAAGATATTGAAATATAAATATAGCAAAATACTTGGATCGAAATTTAAACAGAAATATAGAGAACAAAAAATAACAACTGTCAAATCGATTGGTTTCAATCATTCCATATCATTGGGTCAATCATTCATCCATACTAAGATTGACAAAAAAACTCTAACTTCACTGTTAGGCGGTACGAAGCCGAGTCGGCTAGTTTTAAATAGGTCTAGACGTTAAAAATTAGAAATGAATTAAACATAGTATCTTAAGTTACAGACAATTAGATGCATATGAGAGCATCAAAAGACAATATGAACAAAGATAATGTTTCAATTCCTGCTACTTGTTTTAATATAATTCCGTGTTACTTGAGATATGTTTGATTAATTCTAAATTATTCCATTTTTAAGCTTCATTCAGAACCTCGTAATTAGTGGAATAAATTAGTGGTTGCAATTATACTTTATACTTAAAAGTTTACAATCATTCACAATGTCTAAAAAACACAATTAAAATTAATAGAATATTTTAGCAACAGCTTGCGATGGTCGGGTGTATCCTAAGAGAAGGCCTAATAATTTAGTTTATAAAACAATAAACTTTTCATTTCGAACCAGAATTTCTCTTGACGGATGACAATTAAAAGCGAAAATGACTACTCGAAAATTTTGAAGTATTATTAGTAGCAAGCGTTAAAAGTTGGTTAACTTTTTCCACTAATTGAAAATTACTACCGCTAATTTTGACGTTCTGAATGTTTATTTTGAAATTAGAGGAACAAATTTCTACGCTAATTAAAACCACTAATTTATTCCATTAACTACGAGGTTCTGAATGGGGCTTAAGTTTCTTAACTTTTTCTACTAATTGAAAATTACCACCACTAATTTTGACGTTTTGAATGCTTACATTTAATGTAGAGGAATAAACTTCTACGATAACTGAAAACACTGATTTATTCTACTAATTTCGAGGATCTCAATGAAGCTTAACTTTTTCTACTAATTGAAAATTACTACCGCTAATTTTGACGTTTTGAATGCTTACATTGATTACATTGATATTAGAGGCACAAAGTTCTACGGTAATTGAAACCACTAATTTATTCCACTAATTTCGAGGTTCTGAATGGGACTTAAAAGATTCTTAACTTTTTCTACTATTTGAAAATTACCACCACTAATTTTGACGTTTTGAATGCTTACCTTGAAATTAGAGAAACAAATATCTACGATAATTAAAACCACTAATTTAGTCTACTAATTTCGAGGATCTGAAGGAAGCTTAACTTTTTCTATTAATTGAAAATTACTACCACTAATTTTGACGTTTGCTTACATCGAAATTAGAAGAACAACCTTCTACGGTAATTGAAGCCGCTAATTTATTTCACTAATATCGAGGTTCTGAATGGGGCTCAAAAGTTTCTTAACTTTTTCTACTAATTGAAAATTGCCACCACCAATTTAGTCTACTAATTTCAAGGACCTGAAGGAAACTTAACTTTTTCTACTAATTGAAAATTACTACCACTAATTTTGACGTTTTGAATGCTTATATCGAAATTAGAAGAACAACCTTCTACGGTAATTTAAGCCACTAATTTCGAGGTTCTTAATGAAGCTTATAAACCTTAACGTAACCTAGTAATCATCTGCTGATGACGCTAGGTAACAATATGCTGAATAAAATTAATAATTAAAGGACTAAAATTGTGTAGATTTTTGTTTATCTATTTTGTAATAGTTTGAATCAAGCAATGGTTTTTTATCGTTCCAGGGCAAAACAGCTTGGGTGGGCTCGCTGCTGTCCGGCATGTACCTGAGCGCCGGCCCGCTGGTCAGCGCACTCACCAACAAGTTCGGCTGTCGCACGGTGTGCGTGGCGGGCAGCCTCATCTCCACCCTGGCCTTCGTCCTCTGCATTTTCAGTCCCACCGTCAACTGGCTCATGCTCACCTACGGCTTCCTCGGCGGACTCGGTTTCGGGCTCATCTATCTTCCGGCTGTGGTATGCGTAGGATACTATTTCGAGACAAAAAGGTGGGTATTTGCGTATTCTAAAGCGTATAATATTCTTTGGTATTATGCATTGTATAGGACCCTATGGAAACCAAAAAAATGAAAAAGAAAACAATCGTCAGTGAAACTTGTTAACCTGCTAACTCCATTTTTGACTTTAATTAAATAATACGTTTAATACACAATTTTTACTATAATTTTTTAACGAAATATTGAGTTTTATTGTTCCCCAACAAATATTATTATTATCTCTTTATATTTTATAGTTTTCTCATATTAACGCATGAATGTACTTTACTGATTTTGAAGTTTTCTTTACTTATTAGTGAAGATAGAAGGGTGCGGTTTCTACCAACCTGTCCCACTTTTTTTGTCAAACGGAAGACGCTGTAAACAAAATTTTCGTAGCCTTCTTCGTTTCTGAGCTACGAGGTCTTTTTGAAAATTTTGCAATTTGGGACACCCTCCGTATCTCTGTTATTGTGAAAGGTATCTTGAAGGTGAAAACTGTTTATTGTAGAACTTTTTACGTCGAATACAGTGGCGTAGTATTCTACGAAAAGAATATTTTTGAAGATATGAACTAAACTTATGTTTTTTTTTAAATGGAACACCCTGTATATTTATAAATTATGTGATCATAAGCTTCTCAAAAATATATATCACTCTATATTAATTTTCACTATTTACTGCCATATTTGAAAGTTTTCATTAAAAAACAAAAATCTGTAACAACCCCTGTAGCTCAGACCCCTGTTCAAAGGGCTATGAAAATTTTGTTGGCAGCATCTTCCGCTTGAGCAAAAAAGGGGACAGATTTGTGCAAACCGCAACCGCCTGTTTTTACTAATAATTTCAACAAAAATGGGACACCCTGTACATATTTTTCTGTACCGGAACTTTTATATATTCCTTTAGATAATTTACGTGAAATATACTTTCAGCAAAATGGGATAACCCCTCACAACTTTGAAAATATTAGAATTTTGTTAAATGACTATTTCCCAAATCAATAAATTGGGACCAAGTGCCCCATATGATAGCCACCCTGATCCCAGGATTTGTCCGCTCTCGATTTTTCTATTTAGGGATTTTTGAAATATGAAATATGTCGCCACTAAAACAATATCGGAAGAAGACACTTCAAGACCTGGAAAATGCTATCAGGCAAACTTTTAGATATTTGCAAACCCGTTATACTAAATCCCGTTATAAAAAAAGAAGAAAAATATATTCAGAGATATATTGGTAACAGTTTAAAGTAAAACATTTCAGTCTCATATAAAAATGTGTATGACTATTTTAGTAAAAACCATTTTGATTTTTTTTTATGTATCACGGCCTACTAATAAGAAAATGATTTCTTTTAAATATTGCAGTAAATAGTGAAAATAAATATAGAATGTTATATATTTATGAGAAGCTCCTAGCAAGATGGATCATATGATTTATAAATATACAGGGTATTCCATCTGAAAAAAAACAGACTACACCACTGTATTCTGCGTAAAAATTTCTACAAGAATCAATTTTTACGTTTTCGATATCTTTCACAATAACGAAGATACGGGGGCGTCTGCCCCCGTAAATTTCAAACCTGTAGCTCAGAAACGCAGAGAGCTATGAAAATTTTGACAGCATCGTCCGATCCGTTTGAGAAAAAAGCGGGACAGGTTTGTGCAAACCGCATTCTCCTATCTTTGCTAATAACGAATATACCGTATGATTTGAATTTTCAACTAAAATGGGACAGCCTGTCATATTTTTTTTGTACCGTTTCTTTTCTCTCCTGTAAAATTAGGAATAATGAAGTTAGCACTTTAACACATGATGAGTTATAATTCAAGAAAGAGAGAATCTTTATCTGAGAATCTTTGTTGTTACAGATCTTTAGCCACAGGAATAGCGGTTTGTGGCTCAGGGGTAGGAACGTTCGCATTCGCCCCCTTAGCAGACATGCTGTTGCAAGCCTATGGTTGGAGAGGGGCTAATCTCATCTTAGCGGGACTTATTTTGAACTGTGTCCTATTCGGAGCCCTCATGAGACCACTGACCTATCCGAAAGAGTCGGGAGAAAAACCGTTGCTACAGCGCATGGCAGAAGAGCGTCGAATTCAAATGGAGAGAGGTAGCATAGGAGGGTCGTACTTCATGGTGCAACTGCCAGATGGTACCATGGAGAAAAGGATGAAGCAGCCTCTCAATATTGATCCAGGTAAAGCTTTTTTTATTAAAAGTTCTTTAATAATATTTGCAGTATACTGGGCCCGAATTCTGTGACTCTCAGCGTATATGACGTTAATTTTCGCTTAGCGCGAACTTAGGCTGTATTCCGTTGTAAAACCAGGCGAACACGACCTGTAAACTACGGTAAAGAGCGGTTCCTGAAAAACATCGGTTTGATACGGAACGGTTTGGTAAAATACTGGAAACGTCAAACGTTGACGTTTTCTAAATTTCAGTACCTCTATTATAAAATTTATCTTTTATGCATTTTTAATGTACCTATTCTCTACTTTTTCGTTTGCTTCTTCTTTTCAATGGAGTTTAATATTGAAAAGTACTTTCTCAAATGAAGATTTGCAGGTCCAATATTAAAACAGATCAATAATAAATAAACAAATCTAATCAATATTTATATTTTTATAGCTTACAAAACATTCACGATTACTTATTGTTTTGTTTTTCATGTTTTCTTTAAATGTTCCTGACTTTAAGAAACAATGGCCGCATGATAAGTTTAAATGGTCCTAAAAAGTCATTCTGTTTAGTTAATGAAATTTATTTACCTTTACTGCCTACCTCCATGCTTTTGGATGTAAATTGATTTCTGTCACATAAATGACATTGATTGACAAACAAAACTAGAAAACCCCCTTCCCGCGCTGGTTAGTTTGGTGACAGTTATAACCGAATTTTTCAGGAACCGTGTTCCGTAATAAGAAAACTTTCAGGAAACCGATATAAACGGAACATAAAACCATAACCAAGGTAAGCAACGGAATACAGCCTTAACTACCAATTTGCGCTTGGCGTCTTTACTGATTGCGCTTTGAAAACGGTTGCGCGCGCGCGCCTTAAAGGATCGCTTTGCTTGTCGAACTGTCAGTAAAAATCGAAAAAATTGTGATTTTGTGCGTTATCTTGCTCTTTAATGAAAATTACTACTTCTTGTATAAATTCCTCAATAAGTAATTGATAATTTACGACTTGGCAGCTATAAATATTGCAGTAGTTTAGGCTTTCGCGACCATCGTTTGAAGAAATTTGTTTTTTCGGGTTTTTAGGCCATCGTCGGTTAGAATTGCTTCCTAACGTTTCGCTAGCACGAGTGGCTAGTATCCTCAGAGGTATGTTTGGTCCAATTGCTCACACTAGACTGATGCCTCCGCGTCGGCGTAGCGCGTATTTATGCGTCGGCGGAGGGGGCGTGGCTTGTTCCGGTGGTAGTTCTTCCGGAACTGGTCTACTTCTCTGTACTGCTACCTTGGTTGGCTATAAATATTGTTTAAAACATTGAAAATGCTGAGAAGCGTTTTCAACATTTTCCTCGTGTACTAATAAGAATAATGACGTATCCATAGAAAAACAGGTTGACATAACTCAACAATAGGTTATGAAATTCACGTAACATTAACATTTTTCATTGTTTTATTCACATTTGACTATTAGATACCTGCGAAATTGCGATGCTGTCAATATTTGCTCAAAGCGTATCCAGAAAACGTTTCGCACGGCAACGAGAATACCAAAATCGACTGCTTGGCGTTTCGCTAATCGCATACTTTCGCTCACCGCTTTGAAAGCGTAACGTTTTTATGTCAAAGTTACAGAATTCGGGCCCTGTTGACTAGTTCCAGGGGAGTAGAAAAAAATTATTGCATTACGATTTTTATTTTTTAGATTTACTAAATTATTTTTATGATTTAATAAAGTTAATTACCTATTATTATTATTATCATTGCAGGAGTTCATTCCAGTTTGAATCTAGACCAACTTGCCCCTGGTACACCTATAACTCCCATACCTACAGTTCCTACACTGCCCACCATCGCCGAAGTTAAGATAACGGAGCAGAGTGGCAGTTCCGGAAGTCCTAGTCCTGGAGATAGTACCGGCGAGATCAAACATCCGAGACTATCGGAGCTGAAAAACAACACAAGCGCTAATGCCGAGGGAAAGGACCCCAAAATGCCCAGAAATGCCAGCCAACCTGCTTTTACGTCCCATGCTCAAGGTAGGATCAATCAATAAACAGTTTATTATTTTTGTCAATAACTATAAGCGATACTAATTAAACTTTTAGTTACGTAATTGAGGACACAATTCATTGTTGCAATCATGGACATTTTCGGCGCTACGCCGGGCTGACTAACTAAATTTTAAATTTCCCGCTGGGGATTCAGGTGGTAGCTTTGCTGTAAAAATTACCACATTTATTTATTTTATTTCCTGACATTGTCATTCGTTTTGACACTTTAGTTTTGTATTACGAGTTTTTGGTTTATATGAATTGTGTTGTGATACTTTAAGCTTAAAAATTTTTACTAGCAGACCTTGCAGTCGAACATTGTTCTTTTTAGAACCTCTTTTAATACCAAGTGTACAAGATAGCTTAATAGCCATTGAAAAAAAAACTCATTGCAACCTTATTAGAATATTTTAAACGGGAATGCGGTAGTAATGGCCCTTTATGTGCCTTAAGTGCTGTTAAGAAGGTGGAGTTTTGTTGATGTGAATAATAACCGTTATAAAGAAAATATATAAAACTGGGCAACGCTATGCTGGTCAAGTTTAATCACGTGACTAAAAGTTTATTTTGATCTATAGCTAATAAAGTGTCTGTCTAATAGGAGAATACAAGACTGACATTTCTAGTCTGTTATTTTTATTTTTATCACTGGTAAATTGTATTTTCTTACTTTCTTTAATCTTCCCTGACTCTTTATACATACTTTTTATTCACAATGATGCAATAATGAGAATTCTATCCACTCAAATGAAGCGTTTAAAGTGATATTTTATCCACTAGTGGTATAAAATAACTTCAAACTTAATTGAAATTAAAAATACGACATTTTTTTTTATTAACATTAACATTTATATTAATAGACAATTCGTTGTTTGATTTGTCACATTTTACTTCATTTTTGTTGATACAAAGCTTATAGTTCCCATCCTTTTGGAAACGAATTTCTATGGGTGGTATTTAATTTATTTGGCTTTAAAATTAAAAAGAAAAAAGACTCTAAAGTTTTTTTCTTTTATTTTTTTCTTTATTTTTAATATGAAATTCAGGTCTTTTTGAGGAAAAAATGGACTCCTTTTTTAAATTTTATTTTGTAATGTTATTTAGACTTCGCAGGCAGTAAATGGGTAACTGCTACTTGAGGTTCTGCAAAAATTGCTGCAGGAATATACCATCATCATCTTCCTGCATTTTTCCGTGTTTTTTAAAAAACCTTTGGAAACTCTTATGAGAAGCTCCGAACTTTTACGTGTATTTGTGGATAAAACGTTGTATTACATTCGTATTTTAGTTACATTTTATTCCCTTAAGAAAATTAAACACTTGAACTTCGTTCTCGAGTTTAAAGAGTTTAAACATTCTTTGGATAAAGGCCCCCTTAACTATTCTCTACAAATGTCTGTGACTATATCTCAGCAATTTATTTTTTTAGGTTTGCCAAAGAACGGATCTGTTCCCACATTCGATAGAATAAGAAAGACGTCGATGAGTGAACGATTCAAGCCAACATTGGATCCAATAAAGTCCTCGTCTAGAGGGAAAGTCAACGCCTCAAACGCTGACATGAGAAAGTTAAGAAATACCTCGACCGGTTCGTTCCTTAGTCGTAATAATAATAGCGAGGTAAGGTATAGAAGTTTTTTTTATTATTTTATTTACTTCCGGGGTGGTTCCAAATTGAACAATAAAAAATCTCAAAAGAAAATACGAATGAGGTAAAATTTTGACAAAGTTGCGCAATTTTATGACCAATAAAATGCTGTTTTATCAGTTAAAAATATCTAAATATATACTTCCGAAAATATTAATAATTGTATTTTCTTAATATCTCCGGAAGGGGATTTGGGACACCCTCTAGGGTGTCGTTTGTTCAAATCATAATGCCCGGACCCCATTAGCCAACACGTTACGCCATGCGATGCCATGCTACCCCACATCATAAGGATCAGTGCATATGTTTTTCCATTTAAATACATGTATTGGCGTACACACTAGGCAACACGCCACGCCATCCGCCGCCATAACACGCTATCACACGTGTGATGGGCGATTCGTCAGCCCCAGATCTCACCGATGTGTGTTACGGCGTGTTGTTCCCCGCTTGCCTCTCTAGTCCCGCAGCTATCTACTTTTGTAGTTGATGTAGGGATGTTCCAAAAATAAAATAAATCGATATTTTGAATCGATTCAACATCGAAAATAGAACCAGAAAAAATCGGTAACAAAAGATTGATCTTATTAAAAATCGATATTCGATTCTGAATATATTGGTGTACAGGTATTGTGATTATAATCTAATATCGGTATGGGTATCGATACTTCTAGTATATTTTCGTAACCATACTGATAACTTTTTTAACTCTAATAAAAATTTCAGGCGTGTTAACACGTGTTACCTAATGTGTACACCCATTCCCACGTCGCAACACGTGGGATAGCGTGGCATCACGTCGGGTGTTGGCTAATGGAGTCCCGGCTTTAACATTGGTCGCGTTCAGGGAACACAGCCGCTGACATTTAGCGTATATTTTCGCTGACCCTTGCTTTATGACATTTTACGATATTTCCTAAACGGTAAAAAGCAGCAAAAAGAACAAGAAACAGCAGCTGTCTCATGCGCTCTCTGTCTACTATAAAAATGTGAGAGAAATATAAATAAATCATCTTCAAATCGGTCTATAATCGATCTTTAGTCTTTAGAATAAAAATTATTTTGAAAAAGAATTATTATTGGCTGTCCTGGCTGATCATTTAATAATTGAAAGTATATTATTTGACAACTCAGTATTAAATATTAAATTTCTAAAAAATAACAGTTTATAAATAATTTTACCTATACTCCTAAACAAAACAACCTAAAATAACAGAAATTGGCAGTTAGATATACTATATTATGACCGACCAAGTCACCTTTTACGCATTTTTTTCGATGGTATGGTAGAAATAAAATTACTGAAGGGGTAAATACCATACATTAAAAAATAATCGACGTCAGGGGTGACGTGGAGATGAAGATTGCTGTTATTTTATCAGTACACTTATATAGGGAATGTCAGCGATCGTCATTTCTAAGCCAATTGGGCGCAATTTATTTTCGATCAGATGGTATAATTACAATCAAAAGTTATTTATGCTGATTTAGATATTTTTCAGAAAGTAGCATTTTTTTTAAATTTCATTGTATAGTCTGTCCAACGACAAGATCCGTGATAGTGATATATGTGCCTGTCATTTTAATTTTAAAGTAGTTTATTCTATTTTGCAAAGAAATAAGTTGGTACAACTGGAATGCATAGCAGGAAATTAATATATTTAAAATTTGATTGATAAGTGATTACTTCAAAATATTATAGAAAAAACTGTATAAAACTGAAAAAATATAATCGAGTTATTTTATTTCAAAAAACGGTAAAACGGTGTTAATACAAAACACCACATACCAAAAAAATATAGAAAAGAACTATTTCTTATTCAGGCTTCAAGAAACTTCCCGCATTTATTATTATATTTATCAATATAAACTTATGTACAAATACAAATTTGTAATATTCCACAGGAATAAATAAAACAACATAAATAAAACAAACTTTTTATTAATAATATCACTTACCAAATTTTATACCTTAAAGGTTGATTAATTAACTTTAATATTAATACTTTTAAAAAAGTACCTTTTGACATTATTTTTCTGCAGTACTAAAATCCATTATTTACCTATCGTTTGATGTCGATATTTTACAGTTACTCCAGTAGTATATGTTTAGTACGGTCCTTTGTACCATATATGAGATGCACTTATCTACGACGAGATGGTGTACAAACATTATTGATGGTAACTTTATTGGTGTATAAGACTTTCTGCCTGGCCAGCGAGTATTAACTATAGACTGTGCTCTGGGTCTACAGTTAATTTTCCCTCGATTTTTCCTCCACTTGACTTCAAAAGACACAAAAAACACGTAATAACACGAATCAAAATGCATCATCTTCCAAAATGCAGATATTTGACATAAGTTGACACAAAATTTTAACCTATAATTTGCCAAGACTTTGACAAGCCTCAAAAATCTAAAGGCGTGTTTATACGCATCGGCGTCCGTTTGTCGTTCATCGTTCTGTCAAACCAATAAAATTGAAATATGATCTGTCACTTCTGAAATAAACCAATAAAACTGATTAAAAACAACAAGAGACGACGCATGACGGATTTATATTTAAACCCATCCATAGTTCACTTAAAAAATATTAGAAACTTTTTAGTAAAATAAATAGATTGATATGGGACGTCATCTGCTTTTCTTCTGTCATCGTCTCGAAATCTAACCTGAGAAAAAAAAACAGAGTATATTCAAAAAATTCAACTTGAGATGGAAATCAAGTCGCATTTTCTTTATTTCTTCAACTTCTTCGATCTCTATTTACAACTATCTTTTTCGAATGTTTTAGATTAACTCACTGCTTTGTAACTTTTTTGACAACAAATATCTCCTATTTTTTAAAGATACAATTAACTACGAAACTACGATTGACTATAAACTGCAACAAACCATAAAAAATAAACAATAAACTGAGAAAATTGAAGGTATTTTACATTAGTTGACCCCAGATAAGGAACTAGATGAAGGCTGACTTGTCTCAGCCTAAATATTTACCGCTGAGAATTTTGTACAGCTGCTGACTGTTGCTGTTCTTCAGCATAGACCGTTTAGGGAAGTCGCTTACTCAGCCACTCAGCTCCCTGAACGCGCTCATTGTATGTCTATTGTTAATTTGCGGCCCTGTTTCTTCTCATAGAGATCGTGTTTCGACTAATTCAGAAAAAAATAATTCCGTTTTTTTATTTATTAAAAGCTAAAAAATTAAAAAATAGTATTTTTTTGTAATGTCTAAATAAGTAAAACGTTTAATTCCTTAAAAACAATTAAATTACTTTCGTTTTATAACATACAGAATGAATTATTAATTAATATAGTGTCTTCATTATGATAATGTGAAGATATGATACTCAATCTCGAGATGTATCGTCTAGAAATTTTCAAGATACTGACTAATTAAATTTATTTCATTATATCCTCTGATTTATGTATAATAATATTTTCTTATATTTCACTACCAACACGGAAAACTACCGAAACGATTATGTTGCGAAATCACAACAAACAAATTTTTAGACACCTGGCAAGAAAATATTAAAATAGTTGGAAATGTATTTTGGTCTCATTCCAAATCGTTTGTTTAGTGTTTTTGGAACAAAACGGTTCGTTCTAGACTAACTCTAATTAAGAAAATTCGTATATAGGACGTCCTTTCAATATGTATCATACCAGCTGTCTGCATTTTTTAAATACAAAAAATAATTATTAACGGAAAACTTTTATTTTTAGGTATATCGGGTGCGTCTCAAAAGTGACTAACCCCTTCAACTTTTTTATTTTTTTTTTTCGATAAACAAACGAGATTTGTTATGTTAGTATATGACATAAATTAAGATTGACGTATTTAGTTGTTTTTGGTCCTATTTTACCGGAAATGACTACAACTTTTGATTTTTAAATGATACCTTCGGTATTTTTTTTTACTTTCTTTGATAGTAAATGACACTCTGAATAGAATGACATATCATATGTCAACTTTTGACATTTTTGCATGATTTATTTTAAATTATAACATGCGGTTCGTAACGATAATTTGACTCGAAATAACAAGTGTGTGGTATCAAATTATTCGTAAAGAAATACTTTTTCCAAATATGCTAATGAGCCACCCTCGTTCCATTTGAAAAAAATTGAGATATGATTAAAAATACGATTTGGGCATTTTTTAATCAGCCAGGGGCGCTATTCTGTACAATCAATATTCGGTATCGGTAAGTTACCGACAGCTATCGGTACATACGGCCAATGAATGTCGTGTTAATTGTTTTTGTCATAGTTTTTGCTGTCATTAATAGGACATAGAGCAAATTTGTACCGACGACTATCGGTATCTTTACCAATCATCGTGGGTACAAATTTGCGATATCTGTCATAGGGCCGATCAATAACTATGACAACAACTAACACATTTTTACTATATACAAATACGTACCGAGAGCTGTCGTAACTTACCGATACCGACGATTGTCGATGCCGTGTACAGAATAGGACAAGACAAGAAAAGCATTAGACGATCATATCTATTTTTCCAAGGTTCCTTGATTAAAAATTAGTGTTTTAAACACAGCCATGGTACTCTAGATTGAAATTTAAAATACAATTTTTTAAGGGAAAATGTCAAAAGTTGACATATGATATGTCATTCTATTGAGAGTGTCATTTTCAATCGATTAAAGTAAAAATATACCGAGGGTCCCATTTAAAAATCAAAAGTGATCAAAAAGAATTGAATACGTCAATCAATCCCAATTTATGTCATATACTAACATACCAAATCTCGTTTTTTTAGGTGAAAAAATAAAAAAGTTATAAGGGTGAGCCACTTTTGAGACGCACCCGGTATAATATTATATAGCGTCCTCAAAAAAGTCTACATCAAAAGTCTTGATCAGTGCTTTAGCTCCTTTTAACACAGTCCTTTCTTGTAGGTAGACGTGGAAAGTCTAGCTTATACGTCAAAATTGTCACTGGCTCGAGAAAAAAGCAACATGGTCCGGCCGCTTTCGAGAAAAGATATTTTCTATTCGGGTTCCATCACGAACCTGCAGCAGTACCAGTCACAAAAGTCTCTGACCAATTATCGACAAAGTATTATGAGTATACCGAAAATAAAGGAAATGGAACCGGATGGCTCTCGTAAGTAGCAGAAACGCCTTAATTTTGCCTAACAAACATATCAATAATATGATTTATGTTGGTCATATGTTTAATCTATGCATCCAATACGACGTCTTCAAATCTATCTAACGACTCTTTGTTGGAGTCTTTTTATACCTATTATTTAGGAAACAGAAACATGCACTCACCACCGGCACGAAAAACGGGCACCTTAAAAAATTTTATGTATTTTAAAGTATAATATATTTTGTTCTAGTGGGCCGATTTTGATGACTTTTTAAGCAATTTGTAGCTAATTTATTGGAGTTTTAGTATCTCTTTCTAAATGAAAAATGAAAATTCCCGTCTGTCAATTATACGAGCGAAAACAAAATGTTGATATTTTGGTGAAAGTTTGAAACACCCTGTGGAATACATTAAAAAAGTAAAGAATTTAAAAATAATTTTATCATCTAGGTACGTCTTTTCTCGATAGTTTATTTTTTTATTCATCTCAATATCTTTATTTTTATTGGAGATATTCGCTTTTGAATAAGACTGTAAGAATTTACAGCAATTTTAGCATTGAAAGCATGCCTTTGCTTTTGAGTCTTCATCAACATACTTATAAAATAGCGTTTATTGTTTTTGTAATGCCACTCTCCCTGAATAGTCTTATTATTGTTTGTTGACGTTTACTCTACTAGAGATCGTTTTAATGGAAGTATCGGCACAACTTTTGGACTTAAAACCGTCTCTGTTAGAGTAACTGCCCAACAGACAATTTTAAATATGATTTTTCAAACACAGAAGCAATGGTATGATTTTACTGTAAAAAATACGAAAAAAAATTAGTGTCTTCTTCAAAAGCGAATATCTCCAAAAAATGAAGGTATTGAGATGAACTAAAAAACAAACTATTGAGAAAAGATACACCTAGATCATAAAATGATTTTTAAATTCCTTTCTTTGTCTGTGTTAATATACTCCACAGGGTGTTTCAAACTTTCACTAAAATATCAACATTTTGTTTTCCCTCGTATAATTGCTGTCAATTATACGAGGAAAAACAAAATGTCCGCCAGACGATAACTTTGATTTTCAATTTAGAAAAATATTAAAAAGTCAAATAATTTAGCTACAAACTGCTTAATAAATCACAAAATCGGTCCACTGGAACACAATATACTTAACAGAACTTTTAAATTAAAAATTTTAAGGTGCCCGTTTTTCGTGCCGGTGGGTGTATATAAACGATAGACTATACATACATCAATATATTCTGACCGAACATATACAAGCAAAATGTAAAGAAGCTGTACGTTTATTTACAATTTGCTTTGACCACAGACCGAATTAATCTTTTTCTTTTCAATATTAAGATTATAAAACTTTATTGACGTATTGTTCAATTTGCGAAGTTTGAAACCAGTTTGAAACTTTCGTCATCATTTTCGGCGCCATATTGGTTTTCACGTATTTCTTGACTTGGTCCATGAGTTGTTTATATCTCTGGTTGTAAACCATGATACAACAAGGTTAGATAAGATCCTTCGCGGTCGCAAATCTGTTCTCCGCGCGCATGACGTCACTAGGGTAGTAATTTTCTGTTAAGCTCCGCCAACTGCATGCGCATATCTTCTCTCAAAAGATCCCTGGCGGTGGCATATCGGTTCTCGGCGCGTCACCTAGATAGTAATTTTCTATTAAGCTCCGCCCATTACATGCGTAATATCTTATCTAACCCTCCTTGTATCATGGTTGTAAACTAAAAATAACAAAATATTAAACAATGACAAATTTATTGTAGCCTACCCGCACTGTATACAATGAATAAAACGTCCTCTATTAATATGTTCATGGATCTTATAAGCAGGAATTCCAGGGGACAAACGAATATTGTGACTTGTTTTGTTGCTTTTTGTTCTTTATCTTTCACGATTCTGGAACTTATTCTTTGCACAGTAGAGCATGAAATTCCTAAAGCCTCCGATGCTCTCTATAAAACACGTGAATATTTTCGATTTAGTTACAAAATGTTAACTCTGTATCAAAGACTCGGTAGTTGTCCAACATTGTCCAATTACATCGTAAACAGCCGACACAGGTAAAAGGGTTTTTCCACCATCTTTTTCGAGTTTCAAATACTCGATAACTTTTAACATGAGCCGTTGATCTTTTTCACTAAAAGTGGACGGCATTTTAAACAGAAATTAAATCACAAATAACTAAATAAACACAGAAAATCCCACAAAAATTTACGGGAAACTATCGGAGTCATTAAAATCATATTAGGTAAAATTAGGTTAAATTTAACAACAACGTTGACAGTCGGCGATATTCTTTTGTTCGATTTCGGCGGGTAATACAATAAATATGATGTTTGCCTTTTTCTATTCATGCACATTAGACAAGGAAGTACGATTCTTTATACGTAATGAAGGTGATCCATATGTAAAACGAAAAAAATAATTGTATGATGTAAGAAATATAATGGACTTACATTTTTGACACAAAATTTCCATTTCATGTGATAAACATGGATAAGAGAGAGAATGACAATATGTGACGAAAGACTCAAACTTCGCAAATTGAACAGTAGTTTCATTCAGTAAGAGTAAGAGTCAGTTCAGAGCATAGATAAAAGAAAATAATCTTCTATTAAGATAGATATGAAACTTAATAGTAAAATTTGGGGTCAAAGCGCCCCTCCGTGTTCTTAGTAGAGACTACGTTTAACCCAGCGCCTTCGCCTTTTCTGCTGTAAATATTTTTTATGTTTATATTTGATTTCAAAGGATTTAGTTTTAAAGTTACACTGATATATTAATATATCAGAGTAGCTTTAATAAAACATAAGAATATATATACTTTACAGTTTATTAAATATAATTTTTGACTACAAAGTAGAAAGTAAATCACAATATTTGATAAAACTTATAAGTATACCATTTTTACAGTTAATAAATAATAAAACTATTTCTGACTATGATATTTAAAATTTAGATAGACAGAATATTAAAAAACATACTGGTATTTGCAGACGCAGGCCCAAATTCAATAAAAACCAAAATTTTTCCTGCGAAAATCGGGCTTTTTTCACAGAAAAGGTATTTTTTGATTTATCAACAATCATTGTCAAGTTGACAATATACCAGGGTGTTTTTTAATTAGTCTAAAAAATTGTGGTGTGATTCCTCATGTATTCTTAAAACAATTTTTATATAACCATTAGGTCTAAAGTACTTCCTTTCTGATCTACAGGGTGTTAAAAATTAAAAAAAATCGATATTTTGCTTAACATAAATGGTACACTACTGGTTTTTTAAATAAAATATATTTTTTTCTTGACTGGCCATCCTTTTTCAACAAAATTGATCTTTTGAGTTTTTCTTGTTCATCAAACGGTTGCCGAGAAAAAAATAAATATACTTATTAAGAGCCCGCCTTAAGCCGTTTTCTAACGATTTTTTATTTTTTAGATTAATTAGGAAACACCCTGTATATGCATATCACAGGCAACCAAATAAACTAGTAACCTCTAAAAATTATTTTTCCTACCTCTAGCGCCATACCGTGTTTTTAGTGAGTACTAAATTATTTTATCAAAATTTCACCATATAAGTTTCCAGGCAATGGTTCAGAGTAAATAAATAAATGTCCATTTATGCTAAAAGCATTTTTAAGAATTACATAAATAGAAATTAAATCACTAAATGTCTGTCCTACTTTGATAAAACGATAGTTTCTCAACGTTGGCGATTATCATGACGCTTTTTTTTTCAATTCGTTAGTATTGTTTATTGCATTTTTTCAGCTGAAGATATCTGTCCCTGTTTGGTGTTGCCCGACAGTTTCAAATCGGCTCTGTCCCAAATGCTGGACGTCTCCCTATTGAAAAATCCCGTATTCATGTTCATAGCCGTTTCGAACTTATTCGCCATGGCTGGACTGTATGTGCCATTCGTCTATTTGGTAGATTACGCCAGAGCTAATGTAAGTAGTTTATAAGTCACTGGATAATCGAATACATTTGTCCTCCTTTTCTAGCAAATAGAAGCGACGAAAGCTTCATTTTTGCTGTCGATCATCGGCATAACGAACACGGTGGGCAGAGTGGCTTGCGGCTACTTCGCGGACTTCCCCCAAGTCAACGCGCTGCTGGTCAACAACGTGTGCCTCGTTATTTCCACGATAGCTGTCGCTGCCACGCCTCTGTGCCATAGTTACCCCGCTTACATAGCCGCAGCTGTCGCTTTCGGAATCGCAGTTTGTAAGTAGCTACTAACTAGTTTAAACATTGTCCACAAACATAGTTTTTCTCATAACCTATTCATCATATTTTTTGAAGGTATATTATTCAGGGTGGCGCATCTCATTCGCCTCGGTTGATTATACAAAAACGGAAAGATGTAGAAACAAAATATTTCATGAGTGTATGTGGGGTATGCCAGAACAGATCCACACCAAAATTATATTTTTTCTTATGGAACACCCGGTATTTTATGTCATATTTGGATCTTTGGACGCAAAATAAGACATTATAGGGGTTAAATATGTTTACAAGCTTTGGTTTTTGAGATATTTAAATATGCATGCTATAATAAAAAAGATTGTCAACACCCTATACATTGTTTTTCAGAGTTAATTCTTATGCTGACTTTTAAGCCAAAGAAATAAACTTTACTGAATTACTAAAAATTACTAAATTTGTTTGCTTTATTTAATGTATACAGGGTTACAAAAAATTGCTGGTCTATTTTAAATATTTATTTTACATAAAAACTTCGTTATTTCAAATACAACACCCTGTATTTTTTAAATAAATAGAAGCAGATCCAAATGCTATTTCAAACTATATTAGGGTTTACTATACCTATCTATGTATCTTAGATTTTGAATAGAGAACAATTTTTCAATAAAATGGCAACCAAGAGGGCTAGTGTCCTCATGGCAAGTTTCTAGTGACAGTTAGTAGCTATTTTCAAAATCGAAATTAGTTTATGGACTTGGATTTATACCAGTTTACTTTTACTTAATTTACTTACAATAGTTTAATAAATAAAATTTGTTAAATATGTATTTATTATTCTATCAAGAAAAATGAAGATGTAGTTCTTTGATTTATTTTACGAATTTTTTTTATTGATAAAATTTATGAAGTTGTTTTAATATAAGCATTTTTTAATTCACAGGCAAATTTCATTTTCCTTCACTTCCAACGACAGATTACTGCCTACTTACATAGGTTTTTAAAAACCACACTACCAGCTCTGTGAAATAAGACAAGTAGTTTTCATAGGAACGTTTTGAGCAAAATTGCCTATTTGGGTAATCTTTTGAGGCCATAACTCCCCAAGTAGCATCTATTTGACTTCGAACTAATCTGACCTGAAGCGACGTCAGACTTTGTTCAAATTTTGGTCGGGTGCTGGTGATACGACCGGTGACGTCGCTTTCCTATTAAAAGCGTCGTCGTTGGATCCGAGTTCGTAAATCCAACGATCTGTCGACCTACAAAATAACAACGTACCATTTTAATTAATTTCCCAACGTCCGTTCCCACCTTGGCTTGCACGACGTACATATATTTGAACTAGCCCGACGTCTACCCGGTGTCCGAATAGGATACGTCTCACTGATAATCCCTAAAAGAACGTCCCAATTATATTTTGTTGTATTTTAATGTGAAAAAACATATTATAACCTAATGAACATCATGAACATAACTTAATAAAAGTTTTTTAAAACAAACTTAATTTTTTTTTATTATGCCTAAAACACTAAAAAGGCATTTAGATATTCACTTACTTTACAGAGGGTCGAGCTTGGTTGCCAAATAATAATAGTAAGGTAGTGATTCTGCTCCACCCACGAATTGTTTTTTCCGGAAGAGATGCTGCATTACCCTGGTGCATCTTTTCCATTTTTTAAGCTTAGGACAGCCTTCTCTCACTTGGGTTCTGGTTCCTCTTTTTTTTGTTTTACTTAAAGTGCTGCCCATTTTTAAGGAGAAAACAACAACTAAAATATAGTTGCAACAAATCCACAAATCACTGATACGCAAAGTGAAGGTTACGTGGCGTACGTTGGAATTGTATACATCATAATACGGTTGCCGGTCGTCCGGTTTGATGATTTCGGTTGTGTGAGACGACTAATGTAGGAGACCCGGTCGGAATTAGTATATTGGTAGTTCATAATAAGTCGGACACAGAAATCCGCCATTCTTAACAAGTAACCGATTGGTCACACCATTTTAAAAATCGTTTTTTGTTTTTAAAATTTATATTCACATTCCGATTTCTAGTAGAATATTATTGATAAGGTTGATTTTGGGGGGAACCACAGTACAGTTTTATGATTAAACCAGCTTAGAAAATAAAAAAAAATATTTTGCGAGTTTACTTTTTATAGATATTTTTATTTCATGAAATCTACCTAATTTTGAAGGCCGCTCGTTGTTTTCCGGAGTAATTTAATCAGATATATCAAAAAAGTGACTTCCGTTGACAAAACGGATGTCTGGATTTAATGAAATTCCAGAATTATTATAATATGAACAATTAGCTAGGCACTTATAGTTACATTCGAGAAGTTATTATGAATCCATTGTAATTAAGGTTTATTTACTTTTGGTAGTGGTTTATGTATTCTTGGTAGCGAATAGAAAATCCAAAAGTAAGGTAAGTAGGCTTTAGCGACGAATTAAAATGTATACTAAAATAAATCTGTAATATGTCGTTGGTAATTGGTATAGAATTACATTCCCTATTAGTTCAGATACCGACGTCGATGCGACCCGAATCTGCATTACCCATTTAGGTGCAAATATAAGTCGTCAGGCAGTCGAACCGACTGTTTGGTACCCCGACGTCTGGGTTTATTGAACACACGTAACTCCGACGTAGATACGCCAAAATGCTTATTGGGTCTGAGGCCAAGAAGCAATTTTTTTCTACGAAAATAAAATCAACTAAGTTAACATATCCATTTCATTTTTTTATTTTTTTTATATGAATAGGTATTTGTGTTTTTATTTGATAAATATAATCTTACTATAATATTACTATTGTAGTAAATTTAAAGTAGGGACTGTTATAAATTAAAAAATATATGTTTTTTTTTTTTTTTGTTAATTTTCGATTTTGAAAATAGGGGTGGGACTGAACTGTCATAGAAAATTGCCATGGCCACACCAGCCATCTGATTGTAATTTATTTAAAACCGCTTTTTATTCAAAATGTGAGCTAAACATAGGTATAGGAATTCCTAATATAGTTTGAAATGAGCATTTGATCTGCTCGATTATTTAAAAAATACAGGGTGTTGCAGTTTGAAATAGCGAGTTTTATGTAAAATTAATCCTTAAAATAAGGTTCAGCAATTTTTGGTACCCCTGTATAAATTTCAGAAGCAAAAACATTTTTTCAGTAAAAGTTTATTTCTCTACCTTATCACACATAATTAATTTCTGAAAAATAATGTACAATGTTTTAATAACTCTTTAGGAATATTGTAGCATGCATATTAATACCTTTAAATATCTCCTTCCAAAAATCAAAGATTTTCAACATATTTCCTTATATAATAAAATTTTTTTTTAAAAAAAATAAATGGTTATAAATAAATACCGGGTGTTCCATAAGAAAAATATAACTTTCGTATGGATCTTAGTTTCTGAAAACACCCTGTATATTCAAAATAATTTTAAAATTGGTTTTTTTTTTTTTTTTTGTAAATAACTATTTTGTTTCTACATCTTTCCGTTTTCGTATAATCAACCGAGGCGAATGAGGTGCGCCACCCTGTATATTTTAAACATTTTCTACTTTCTGGCACTTACTGAAAGGTTTTTTATCAATGTGCTCAGTAACAATAAAAAAACCTTTATGACATTTGTAATGCTACAGCTGTCTTGGCGGCAATTTACAAATATCCTTTAAATACATTAATACGGAACGGGCGTATCAATAAAACTATCGCTGCCGCGATCGACTGTTAATATGGTTGACTTAAATTCCGTTTTATCAGTGGCGTCCTAATTTTACTTAAAACGTGTTAGCAAAATTCAATAATTTGGCTGGATTTGTTTATGTTGACTCAATAGATGTTAATAGTTATTAAAGTTATTAAAAAAATATATTTCTAATAAAGAATAGTTAATATAATTATTTGATAATAAAAATGTGATACACTACTGAAACAACTAAATGAACTTGATGTATCTTTATTATTTTTGATAAGTAGTAAATTAAGACAAAAATGCTAGAACAACTTATTAACTTTACATACTTTACATTAAAAGCAATTACTTTATTCTAAATGCATTTCATAAGTGATTTGTTTACTACTCGTAATATATATTATATAGGGTGAGTTTTAAATAAGTACAAATATTTTTAGGATTATATTTCGAAATTGACGCCATCTTAGTGCGAGGTCTTAAACTTGAATTGAATGAAAATAATTTCTGTGCATTTTAAATAAAATGGTACAAACTTTTTGCATATGTAAAAAGATTTTTTGATAATTTGCCGCAATGATAGTTGTCACATCACCAATGTAAACATTTTTTTGCTACAAGAAATTTTGCGTCAAATTATTTTTAAAAACTCAATAATAAAAATGTTAAGTATAGTAGTCGCAAAACAATTTCCGATGCACTTGATCAACTTCGAGTGACAAGCGATGGCGACACCGCTGCCAGATTGTGATGGATTTATGAGATGAATCTTAATTTAAAATTGACAAACAACATATTTATTATATCAATTTTTTAAGAGTTTTACGTTTTATTTTTAATTTACTAACTAATATTTTAGTGATTAATTGATTTATTTGGTTTATAGCTTATTTTACTTATTGGCAAAAACTAATCTATTATGAAGATAATAAGAACTAAGAGGGTGCTATTAATGCACACAAACTTATGGAAGCCATTGCACAATTGCTATAATGGTTTGGTTAATTTTATGCTCCGACACATACTGGTAGATGAAGGAGAGTACCATCGGGTTCGAAATAGAAATATCAACGGAACGGTCGATAATTCCATGGTTCTCCTTCTGTTTGTTTTATTGATGTGAAACCAAATAATACTTTAAGTACTGGTACACATTCTCATGGAAAGTTTATTTGTTTTTGTAAATTGAAGTACTTTTAAGTAACAAGAATCTCAGAATATTAAAGCACTAATTTATTGTCAAAATTGGAAAATGTACTTTTGCCAGAAAAACATACGTGGTTCTGCAAATATACTTTAACCAAGTTGCCAAAAAATTTGTCGTTTTTGAGTGGACCTGTCGATTTTGTAATATTTGGCAACGCTGCACTGCCCGCGCTCGATAGACTCTTAAAACATATTGCTATAAGGTATAATTTTGTCTTTATCTGGTTTTCAGTGAGGTAGGTACAGTCGACCAATGGAATGGTTGCCCTGGTTACGAGGGATACCAGCAGACAACTATAACACAGTGAGAAGTTAATGATATACTGTCAAAAGTGCTTCTTTAATGAGGACGAGGCAGATGATTTTTGATCTCAATATAACTCAAGAAACCCACAGCGCAAGAAAGGGAGGTCCCCAAAGTTAACTCCAGCATGGGAAGGTCCTTTTACAGTCATCAAGAGGATAAATGATGTTGTGTACCGGATTCAACGCAGCCCTCTAGAAGTAAGATGAAAGTAGTTCATCTGAATCGATTGAAGAGATACCAGATAGGAAACCTTGATCGGGACGATCAACTTTGAGAAGGGGGCAAAAGTCAAGAAAAATGGCGCATCCGCCAGAAATTAAAATGTATTACTGGTTGACTGCACAACCGCAACGTATCCGCCAGAAATTAAAAGACTTTTCAGGCGCCATCTTTAGTCAAGTCGAGAAGTATGGGAATCAGACAATAGAATTGTCTGGTATGAAGAAGTACGCTTTCCGAGAATTGGAGAAATTTCGAGAAGCAGTCAATAGAGTATATAAGCCGGAGCCATCGACAACTGAGACAGTTTTTGAAATTTGAATATACCGCGTGGAAATTGAAAATCGGACAATTTGGTGAAGGAATCTTATAAATAGTTAGTTTGTTGTGTGTTATAAGTTAGTAATTGTGTATAAAGTGAGAAAATAAATTCGTTAAGTATTTTATCGTGAGTTTAAATAGTGGACCCACGGAATCCGTAACAATATTTTCAACACACAAATTTTAAGAAATGCAATACAAAAACTCGAAAAGAACTGTTTATGCTTAGAAGTGCAATTTTTAAAAATACTAATGAAAATAGGCAAACAAACGAGAATTACTCACCAAGATTCAACAACAACACGATATTATACAAAATAATGACTGACACTAGGATAATTGTGAAATAATAAAGGACAACATTGCTGAACACGGCGCAATGTGTCCAACATAGCAATAATAAAATTCGGTTTAAACTAATTTTTGTAGCTTTAATCTAAATAAAATATATGTTACAATCATTTACTCTATAAAGTAAAATGAGGAGCTGCTCGGTATCTTAAATTATACTACAAATTTAAACGTTTTTGCCAAAATTTAATTTAGTCAGGTTTATAGACTTTAGTGTCAATGTCGATATGATTGATGACGTGCATCGGAAATTGTTTTGCGATTAGTCAGGTTTATAGACTTTAGTGTCAATGTCGATATGATTGATGACGTGCATCGGAAATTGTTTTGCGATTACAATATTTATTGCGAACTTTTATATCTGATTTATTGAGAGTAATAAACGAATCTTCCCTTTCAGCCGGCTTCATCTCCCTCACCTCCATCATCCTGGTCGACCTGCTCGGCCTGGACAAGCTGACCAACGCGTTCGGCCTGCTCATCCTGTTCAGAGGCGCGGCCGCGATCGTGGGCTCGCCCATGGCCGGCGCCCTCTACGACTCCTTCCAGAGCTATGACGTGCCTTTCTACGTGGCGGGGGCGCTGTTCGCCCTCGCCGCCCTCACCAGCTTCCTGGCGCCGTGTATGCGGCGGTTCGCGGGCGAAGAGCAGACGGCGCAGGGGGAAGGAGACGTGCTCAAGCCCATAGGTCAGTGTAGTAAGTTAGCTGTATGTTAGTGTTTTTACGGAATATAATGTACAGGAGGTGCCGCAGTGGCATGCATATAATGTGGGCAACAAAAAACGTTGCCTACCGCAGACAAAATCATAAAATCTTTTTTTTTTTGGTGTTTTCGTTTCTCTAAATTTAATTTTCTATATCTGTTGCCATATTATCAAGCTACTACGTTTAATTTATTTTTTGTTTACTTCTTTGACCCTCTTTTGTATAATTTTGGTTAAATAATTCTTGGTTTGGAACGTTTCCTAGGAACGTTCGGTCTTCCGGTATATTGGTACTTTTAAAATATTCCGGAATCGGTATAGTCTTTTGCAAGACCGGTTTAAATCGGTCCCGAAAAACCGGTTCCAATCGATACCGGAAGACCAGTTTCAATCGATACAGAAAAATAGATTCATGATAATATGAAAATCAAAAAACCTGTATAAAACGATTTCGGTACCGGTTCTTGTGCAAAACTGCTCTAGGATTCTCCTATCCTAAAAAACATCAAAATATACAGTTCTATTATTTATTTAGTGATTTTTTTTTCACTTTTCAAAGCTTTCAAATATACGAATTATTAAATTAAAAAAAATTACTCTCAGATAGATTTTTTAGGAAATTTTATGCTCTACAAGAATCCGCGATGTAAAATTTGTTTATCGTAAACCATTTCAATATGGTACTTTTAACGGAAAAAGTAAAGTAAAGTAAAGATTTCAGTTAACGTCTCCTTTTTGCTGCCAGGGCTAATCTGTACGGGGCCTACTTTGTTTACGCGGAATCCGAACCGCGGTCCTCGGCCATATCATGGTCAATGGCCTACCGACTTAGGAAGTGTCTAAATCAACTCTTACTCACGAGATATCCGATCTCATCCGGCCTCGAACCGGCGTGAACGAGCAGTGTGTATCAATAGATTTTACACTTTTCCCTTGAACAACAGCACGATACAGAGTTTCGAACCGGTCACCCGTCCATCCACCAGTATCGCCTTACGTCGCTTAACTTCGGTGTTCTAATGGGAACCGGTGTTTCAACGTAGCTAGGCCGTTGCTTTTAACGGAAATATATTTTTTACGTGTTATTTGAACGGAAAACTTTGAATGTTCACCGACACCTTTTAAAATTGAGCTAAAAATCCTTCATTCCGGGGATATTTTTTTCTCGGTTATTAGGTTCATTTTAACCCAATAAATTCTATAGGTTATTTTTTGGGTCACCCTAACGGACATTTGCCACATCGTGTGGGAGACACTTGCCAAATATGTGTGTTGTATAACATTGTCGAAAACTGTGCCAAATGTTGGTTCCGACGTTGGAACCAACGTTGGACGCATCGTGTAGGACCGGCTTTAGGAGCTCAAAGTTTACTATATTTTTTTCACACATTTACTACAATTAGTAATAAAAGAACATAAAATAAGTTTAGAAAAGTCCAACAGATTTTAAATCAAATTCAAATGTGTCAATTAAAACGTCGAAATGTCAAACACGACTATTCTGATTTTTCATTTGTTATGAACGTAAAGACAAACAAATCCATTAAATGTCAAATCAAATTGTTTCAATTGAAACGTCAACAGAACTCTAATGCTGAGGATCTAAAGTAATCGCAAAACCATTTCCGATGCACTTGATCAACTTTGCGTGACAAGCGATGGCAACAGCGCTGCCAGATTGTGATGGATTTATGAGATGAATCTTAATGTAAAATTGAGAAACAATATATTTATTATCTATTACAGTCATTTGCTCTATGAAGTAAAATGAAAAGCTGCACGGTATTTTAAATTTATACAACAAATTTAAACATTTTTGTCAAAATTTCATTCAGTCAGGTTTATAGGCTGGTGTCAATTTTGATATGATTGATGACGTGCATCGAAAAATGTTTTGCGATTACCTTACGATGTCGATTCCGTCTCCCATGCATGAATACATGGAGAGGTATCTATGTATTCCTGCAACCTAACCTAACTCCTTTAATCTTTTTATTCAAAGAATCGGTCTAATATGATTATTTACAATTATTGTTAACAAGTAATGTGTTTATCTAATACTTAATATGTATTACAGACGAAGATGAAGAAGAAGACGAGCCAATCACGATGGGACAAGGCAACAAGCCGTTGCCCAGGATAATCGAGACCGCTTCCAGTCCAGGGGAGAAGGAAATCAAACAGATCGAGTCAGTTTTGTAAAGTAAACGAGGGGAATGAGTTGTTTTGTATGTACGTATCGTAGACGAAGAGTATTTTGTCTTATTCAAAGAACCGATTTGGGTTTGACACTTGTGATAATAAAAAAACGTCTGTTTAGTATTGAAACAATTAAAGCTAGGGTTCAATCGAATAAAATTAGCTGTAAGTTAGGTAAGGTGATAAAATCATGTATATACAGGGTGTTAATTTTTTAACAGGACTTTAAACGTCGAGATTTAAACCAATATTAATCTTTTTGGCCAAATAAATGATTTTTTTTATTATTCATGTATGTTTTAGAAGATATTTTAGAGTGACGCCGACAGGTTCGTCTGAAATTTTCTCAAAATATAGTAAAAATAGCATGCAACGTTGCCACTCCTTACAGAACCTACATTTTTAATTTTCGAAAAGTAAAATCAAAATTGGCTTTCTGTAAAAATCTAATGAACATATAATATTAATCTACAACAAAAACCGACAAATTATTTTGACAATAATTTTGTGATATAATAGGGTTATATCCCGATGGGATGCGATGTTCTTTGTATGTGAAATTTTATAATTTTTAAAGTTAGCAACTTTGATGTTAATGTGGCAACATCCATAGACAATTTAATTTTAAAATTATCGGTGGCTCTCAAAATGTGAAAAAATCTTTAATTTTAAAACTTAACTGATATTTTTGACATTTTTGAAAAATGAATTTATTTTTAAAAAAATAATAACTGGTTCTTTGATACCAACTGAAATATGTTTCCTCTTAAGATAAGTTTTTCTACGAACTGTTAATGTTAGGTTAGAAAATTTTTGACCTCCGTGTACATTTTTTTATTACAACTTACCTTTTCGATTATTCTACAAAGCTTTATGAATAAACAGACGTTAAATTTCTTAGGTAATAATAATAATACGAATAAGTAAAATTGCGTAAGACAAAATAAGTCCATCTGATTATAGTAGTTGTCAATGTGTATTTTGTGTATATGTAAATGGAAAAATAACCACTGTATGATCCAATAAAAAATTGTGCTTTTTAAAATCAGTTATTTTTTTTTTCATAGTATACTGAAAACATTTATTTTTATTTGACCATACAGAGATATACGATAAAAATTAATGAAAAAACTCAAATGCCGTCATTTTTAACACTTATTAAGCTTGCTAATATGTATAAATGTCTACAGTTGTGATAAAAGAATTCTGATCTTCTCTGGTTTAACTGTAGTTGAAATATTATAATAAAATGTATGTACTTTGGTAGTTGGTTTACCAACAAACTATCATTCAACATATTTTAATTTTAGGTTAAAATGGGGTAAGGTCATAATAGAAAAAACGTATTATTATCTTTGTTTTTCTATATTTTTGTAAAAAAGATGGAAAAGCTGTTTTAACTTGATTTTTAAGTTAACCTTACTTATTATATCAGTTCAGAGACATGTCTTCTCAGTTTTAACATTCTTATTTTGTAAATATATGTTTAGCCATTCTTTTTTTGCTACTCTGAACTGATATAAACTTAAATGCATTGTTCACCTATAAGAATGCTTTAAATGAAACACCAAAAAGTATATGTTTGCTATTCAAATATAAAAGCTTCCCTCCTTGTGATATATAATAAAGTGTATAATGTATAGGAATTTGCACAACGCGTTGTCTTACGTTTAAAGGTCATTCAAATGTCTTTGTATTATTTTCAACTTCAAATGTGCCTTAAATATATTTATAAGCCTTGTACTGTATTAGATCGAACACGTGTTTCATTTAAACCAGTTCTTTGCATATTGGGTTATTGTTGAGTGTTTCAAGTATTTATAGTACTAAAATTCTGTTGTGGTACTCTCTCTAAAATAAGGGCAAATATTTAAGAAGCATTTTTCATTGCCTTGAAAAAATCTGACTTGAAATAAGCAGATAAAAAAGTTTTTGAAACTGCAGCTCAAATAGCATAGGTATAGTTCTTCTCACGGTAGTTTTTCATGTTACAATATTTGACATTAGTTTCGTTCAAACAAAATATTTCTAAACAGTAGAAATACACATGTGTTCGGTAGTAGACTTTGTTTTATTGTTCTATTAAGAATATTTTGATAAACTTTAATGTAGCTTCCATATATTTACGGGCTATAAAAGTAGTGGGATACAATTTTTATAGTCCGTTCAACGAAAGGATACATGACAGTGACAGTTGCCTGTCATTTTAAGACACATAATGATGTCGTCCGTTGAAATCATCTCATATTTATATAATATAATAGCACTTAATAGAAATATTAATTTTTCTATTAAATAAAATTATTTTTTTATAAATTCGAATTAAATTTCTCAAATAAACACTATTAAATTTATTTAAAAAAACAAATTTTGAGGTTTTGACGTCTCGCGTTCCGCCATATTGGGAAAGGTTACGTGACAAGAACTATATCTCCGTAACTCTCAATTGTTACTCCATTTTGCCAATTATTTTCAATAATATATTCTAAATTTTCTACAAAATATCGAGTACAAATATTTCTTAAAACTGTATATTTGTCAAAAAGAACAAAACCACATTATACTTATTCGATTGTTATTAGGTTTATTCCAACCAGCATTTCGGGATCGTTTCGAATCGTACTCGAATCGGTTTTCTTGCACTTTGTTAGCATGCGCGGACTTCGAATAGTTTCGTGACTGTCAAAAGTGTCAAGCGTGCGTATATCGATCGGTTTTTTGTTTTTGTTTAGAATTTCATAAAACCCTTTTATTTTTGTTTGCAATAGCAATAATAATTATTATTATTCTTGAAATGGAGAATCAGAATCCAGTAATTGTTGGTAAGCGTTTCAACTGTATACTCACTAACTCAGTTACCTATCCTCTCTTTTATGATCCTATTATGCGTAGTTTCCTGTTATTTCATTGCAGTGGTAGAATCTTTGAACATTATTTTATAAATACTAACAAGCAAAAGTATAACGCACACGTATTCGAATTCGTAAAATAACCAAGACAGAAGCATCAGCCGGACGCCGGACCAGAATTAGCTGTTAAAAATCGATAATCCCTGCCAATATGCTTTAATGCGCAAGTCAACCCAAACAGTTCTCAATTTAGACCATGTACCGAAATTACCGTTCTGAAATGGTAACTAAACGATCCCAAGGTAGGTTGGTGCGCAAATAGGATCGTACGATAACCGTCAAATCTCGGTTGGAACACATTTGAATTACTGCGCACGAGCGTGATCATTTGGTGACGGTTCTGCGGCGGGTTGGAACAAACCTATTGTTTTTTGTTGTACACAATATAAAAATATGAATTAAATTTCTAAACTCTATGTGTAAAATGGAGTAATGTAGGACAGGTTACAACATTGTAAGCCATTAATCGATTTTGAAGTTAGTGTATCAGTGGCAGTAAAAAGTTTTAGAGTTGTTCATAGCTTAACAGCAGAATATTGTGAATTTTTCAGACTCCACTTGGGATTATTTTTTATGGGTTAATGAAAATTGTTTGAGATATTCTTGAGACGCCCTAAATATATTATTTAATTTTCCTTGTAGGTGCCCAGTACAATAAACAAAAATATAGAAGCGATTCTTCAACATTGTGAAGAGTTCAAAAAGATTCGATTTTTGAAATTTTTTTACCAAGGCCCATCCCCATTTCTTCCTCAAAAAGAAAAAATAGTACATAATAATAATCAAACTGTATTAGTAGTTCGCAAAGCTTACTTTAAGGGAAAAACAATTTAATTTTTTTACTTAGGACTGTAAGATACACTCTAAAAATGCGTTTCACCAGTATTAGAATAAAAAAATCGTTTTTCAGCTGATTAATTTTTTGTTTTGAAAAAAAAGTTGAATTTTATTCGAATGAGTTGAATTGGGAATATAAAACAAATTCATGAGACTGATTTTTGTACACTACGAATTGCATGGCTTTTACAAGTACCCTATTTATACTTAAGTTAGAAGAAATGCAACTGAACTGATCTTCGAATAAAACGCAACTGAATTATTCTGAATTTTCTTCTATACACAGTGCGCAAAAGTTTGTCCTGTGTATAATAAGAAATAAATAGCATATGTAGAACCTTATAATGCGAAATACATGGTACAAAAAATGTTTGCCCATATAAGTAACCTACGATCACTATTTTTTATAACAGAAGTGAAAACCTTATGGTATGTGTCAATAAAATCTGTAAATTTCTCTTTTTTTTTTTAAATGAACTTCTAACTATAAAAAATGTTTGTGAGTAAATTAAATATAATAAACGGTGAATCATATTTTCACAGGTTACGATAGAAAACAGAAGTTTTGATTGAACTCAATAAGGGGCTCTGTATTGTTCATTACGTCTGAAATGTGTTCATTAAACTTATTTAGGCCTACAAAGTCTAATGCGGCCGGTATTTATTAAAAAAAACTTGTACTTCCAGTTTTATCATTGTATGAAATTACTCAAAAAAACTTAAGAAAATAACTGTTTGAAAAAGAATGTAAAACAGATCTGTAAGGATGATAGAATGTGAACTATAGATTAATCCAAATAACGAGACTCGTTTGAAGACTATGTAAAGAAATACTTAAGATTCAAATCTTAGCATTGTTGCCAAATCGAACATTAATAAATATCTTAACATTATTTAATATTTTGTTTTCTTTTTACTACTTTGAATACTTTATATTTTTCTTTTTTATATTTTAGCAAAGTATTATTAATTAAATATCTGTGATATGAATTTTAAATATAAATACTTGTTAAAGAAAAGATAGTGAGTAGTCAAGTACGGCAACGTGAACTAGAGGTAGAAAAGCATTGTATCAATGTTTTGTCAACAAATCTTAAGATGCTTGAAAAAAATCATGGAATGTACTTAGTCGAGTCTCGTTATTTATTATATAGAGTGGTCATAAATAAACATTGCAGGAAAAAATATTGTTGTGTAATATTTTAGTATCATTGGATCATTTCTTTTGACAATTATTTTTTTCTGGAATGTATATTTACCCTGTGTAAAATCTATTGTATAAACCTTTGCAAAACAAAAACGTTCATTAATACCACTTTCTACTAATTTTATTACCATTTTATTATAAATAATTGTATATAACAAAACTAGTTCTTTAATTTTTATTTGTTATTGTATAAGTTTTAACCTAAGCAGAAAATAATATAGTCTCTACACACCTTCCAACTTAGTCAAGATTATTAAATGAAGTAATCAGTCAATCTACCTTTAATTAAGTTATTTAGGCTAAGAAAAGTCTACACAAGTCAGAGGGTGCGTAGACACTTTTAAGCTTAAAAAATTACGTGCAAAAATGAATGAAAAAAAGTCGTACAGTCTCTAACTTAAGAGAAAAATTAATTGTAAGAAGTAGTGTGTGCGTATAATGTGTGTATAAGAGCATAAAAACATTAAGAGAAACAAATAAAAATAAAAGCGTCTGGGACATTATATTTTGACGTTTTGCCTGTGTTAAATCGCTGTTTAACAATATATTATATGTATGTACATTAGACTTAGTGTTTAGGTTTCGTTCAAAAAATGCTCAGAACAGTCACAAGTCGGTATAAAAACAAACAAATAAATTGTAAAGTAACTCTGTAGCCTTATATAGATTACTAGGTACCTGTGCACCTAAATAACGTTTCATCATCAGAAATATGATTCATTAATAAATAAAATTGTTATGATCTCTCGATATATGTCGTTTAATTTTCTACCTTATGAATGTTTTATTGCTTACATACAAAAATGACACTCTAAAAAAGATAAAGAAAAAAAAATTGTGTGCGCACTATGTGCGCAGATTTGAAGTGAAACTTCTTACTCACAGCTATTAAATTGAAGGATTTGAAGGACATGTTTGAAAAAGTGTAGTTCGAAATGTTGAAAAAGTAATAAATTAAAAATTAATAAATAATTTGATTCACTTTCGGGTACCTCTATCTACGTGCCGAGTTGATTCCAATCGACCCATTAAGAAAAATCCTGACGATTTCGTCCATTTAGAGGCATCGGTTCGGAATGTCGAGTGCTTCATCCTGTAGCCAGTGTAGCCCGTCCCCAATTATGCCGAATATTCATCATATCAAATCCCCCCCTGGGGGGGGGGGGCCAAGGAAAAAGAACTACAGAGAAATAATTATTAAATTTTGGTTAATAATATTATGATCATTGAACAGCAATATTATGATCATTGAACAGCAACATATTTAGATTAATATGCAGTGCCTAAATATCATATACAAACGAAAGGGGCATAGGAAAGGGGGTGATTCTTTGGCTCTTTGACATAGGTATTTTATGGCTAAAGTTTTTTTATGCCTAAGAAGAAGATCATAAGCATCGACATACGTCTCGGTGTTGAGGTTGTATTTTGTTTGGCCGATTTTGCCGTTGCCCCGAGCAACATGGGCCATTTCAACTTTCGAAGAAGAAGAAGCCAACCTAAAATATGTTTCCTGTGTAGCCCAAAAAATCACAGAAAATTTTTGAGACTCGCTCAATCTGCGACTATTCGCAGAAAGATAAAATGTGTCCCAAAATGATTTTTAAAGTAGCCCAATCTGCGATAAGTCGCCCAATCATATCTCTATGAAATATCCGGAATATACCCTTAACATCTAAGTCTACCGAGCCTGCACGACTTCATGCGAAGGCGACCGGAGATTTCGCCTAAGCCCCGCCTTAATATGATACAACTCCGACTTACATCGCGTCGCTACCGCACGATGAGTTAGACAGAGACAGAAGACTGCCGTACGTCGTGCATCGACTCTGATAGTAGGCGATGTAGAAATCGCCGAACAAAGGCACTCCAACGGTCAAAATTATTTTGTTTTCTAACGCAGCGGCACAATCAGCGGTCACCGTACGCCAGCGGTATTGTTAATATACAAGACCACAAATATTAAAACAATATTGATTATTAAAACACACTTTCGTGTATTAACAGTATTTTTATGTATTGGCAACATTAATAGTAAATAATGTAATGTAATAAATCGCTTAAATTCTGCCAAAATCTTATAGGATAGGCGCCGCCTACCTTGCCTACCCTGACGAGCCGCCACTGATCAATCATACAGTATTTTTTATACAATTCCAATCTTAAAACTAAAAATATAACTGAATTCTGCCTTATGTACTACTTTACATAATAATATTTACATATTAAAAAGACCATATAAAGTGACAGCAAACTTAATTTCCAAGCCAACTCTAAAGTTTTTTTAAATTGTATAATTATTTATAATAAAAAGATAAATTACATTCTACAGACTTAATGTACAATGTAATGTACGTATATATAAAATAATTCACATATATTTCTATACATTTACACATGTAGATTATTTAATAAATTATTACAATAACTACATATTACACAGATCATATTTTTGAATAAAAAAATAGATTTAAATACTTATTTAGAGACTATAGTAGTAAAAACATAAAGGGCTTTAAAGGATGCAGCAATGCCTCGAACAGTTATAGCTCCTATAATATAGAACTTAGGGATTTAAATGCAGCCCGCTGTATTTTATTGCCATTTTTGTTTTCCTTCCTGATCCTTCCACATAATCCTAGGATATTATTTACTTTTTTAAATTTCGGAGAAATAAATTAATAAATAATAAACAATATACAGGGTTGTTCACCACATACGACACGGTGTATTCTAGCTAAACGATTAGATTTTTACAAATTTTAAGTTTTGGGTTCGTTGAAGGACTATTAGAGGTACAATTTAAAATTATTTTTACAAGATACAGAGTGTCCCAAATAAGTAAAAAATATTATAGTTGTATTTTTTTAAATGGAACACCCTGTATATTATTCTATTTTTGGATTCTACGATTGAAATAAAGGTAAATTTGATTAAGGTTTATCACACTTAATCCTTACCGTTTCTGAAATATTTTCAATTTTATGAAATTGCAGTAAAAATTTTAAGGCTTAATTTCTCCAAGGGTATCAAAGTTTTTAATACTAAATATTTACTGAAGATTATTTATTGATCAGATATTGTGTTGCAATAATAAACATTTTACTACCTTATACAGAGTATCCAAAAATTTATATTAAATAATTACTAGCTTTAAACGGCTATAACTTGTTTATTTTAAATGGAACACCCTATCTATTTTACGTGAATCAGATGCACAATGTAATTGTCTATCAAATTGTATTATACCGTTTTTACCCATCCCTTCAAGTTTTTGTAGAAAATGCGTTTCCTTATAATTTAGACCTCATTTATCAATATACCCATGGAATATTGACATTTCAGATTTTTTTATAGCACCATATATGTACAAAATATACAGGTGGTAAATATTGCAACCCATTGGCATGTAAAAAAAAACTATTTAAATCTTTGTAAAAGAGTATACCAATTAAATATCCCACCATTATCATTTTTCGGACCAAAAACACCAAAAATTTTAGTTAATTACATACTTTTAAATTGTTTTAATTAATAAGCTGTTCTAAATAAATATGCATTTGGCTCAGAAATCAATATAATAATAAGTTATGAAAATGAACGTCGTCATTCGTCAAAAAATGAAATACAATATATAAAGTTTACTTTTTACAACACTGTCTAATACACACACAAAATACAGTTTTTTTGTATTTGGAGCAATTATTATTAATCAACGTAAACAGTCAATTAATGTAGTTTGAATACTGGGATCATATTAATTGGTCCTCTTTAACAAAAAATATTTAAACAGTTTTTTTTTTATTTTTTAATTAAATAAGCGAACTATAGCGACAATATTAGTATCTGTATCCTTTGAAAATTTGTTACATCTTTAAAAATAAGCTAAAATGTCAATTCCATGGGTATAGTGATAAATGAAGTCTAAATTATAAGAAAATGCATTTTATACGAAAACTTGAAGAGATGGGTAAAAAATGGTATATTACAATTTCATAGACAATTACATTGTGCATCTGATTTACGTAAAATATATAGGGTGTTCCATTTAAATTAGATAAGTTATTGCCGTTTAAAGCTAGTCATTATTTGATATAAATTTTTGGACACTTTGTATAAGGTAGTAAAATGTTTATTATAGCAACACAATATCTGATTAATAAATAATCTTCAGTAAAAATTTAGTATTAAAAACTTTGATACTCTTGGAGAAATGAAGCCTTAAAATTTTTACTGCAATTTCATAAAATTGAAAATATTTCAAAAACGGTAAGGTTTAAGTGTGATAAACCTTAATCAAATTTACCTTTATTTCAATCGTAGAATCCAAAAATATAATAATATATAGGGTGTTCCATTTAAAAAAATACAACTATAATATTTTTTACTTATTTGGGACACTCTGTATCTTGTAAAAGTAATTTTAAATTGTAGCTCTAATAGTCCTTCAACCAACCCAAAACTTAAAATTTGTAAAAATCTAATCGTTTAGCTACAATACTCCGTGTCGTATGTGGTGAACAACCCTGTATACCAGCGCTTTTAACGGTAGCTTTCAAATACAAAACAAAAAATAATTAGGTGGCTTTCATACAAATTTGCTGTTGAAAAAATCCATTTATAAAAATTCCTCCAATATTTCCGAACCCGTTAAAAAATCCAAAAATTTTAAATAAAAAATAAAATTTTTCCATTCTGCATCTAAAATAAAAATAATGTACAGGATATTACACAAAATATTATGGAGTGAAACTTCTTTACGCGCGATGGGAGTAAAAATTCAAGGCTGTGACTCACCACGGTCTTGACACGACATGGCCTTGACCATGCCTTGACGCACCTGTACACGAGAAAAAAAATTGTATGGATCGTGCAAACACCAAAAACATTTGATTTAAAGCTAAGAAAAGCATAAAAATAAACTTGATACTGTACCTGGATACCGATATCCTCTGGTTGTGTACAAGGAAATAAATTTGCATGCACAATTTCATCGATAAGTTTGTAGCTTTTGAATAACGATCTAAGTAAAGCATTTAGCTCATTTGATAGCTCAGAATTAGAAGCAATTCGCATTTTCATTGGAGGACATTGTCATATTTATTTTAAAGTAATAATTAACGAGAATATTCGTATAATTTAACAAAATTACTGTAAACCAATATAAATTATAAATACGAATTGTTGGTTAGGTTCATAATTTTTTCTCTTCTTGAATTTATTGAATGCATTTGAATAAAAGTGTGTATTTTGGGTGGTATTCCACAAAAATCGCAGGCTATTGAGGAAACAGAAAATCTATAGATTACAGAAATAAATTGAACATAATATTTATATTAAAACAGCATTATAGTCACTTTTTCAAACATGCCCTTCAAATCCTTCAATCTAATAGCTGTTAGTATAGAAATTTTAAAACATTTTCCGATGCACGTCATTAATCACATCGAAATTGACACTAAAGCCTATAAACCTGAGTAAATTAAATTTTAGCAAAAATGTTTAAATTTGTTGACTAATTTAAGATACCAAGCAGCTCTATATTATACTTTATAGAGCAAATGATTGTAACAGATATTTTATTTAGATTAAAGCTGCAAAAATGAGTTTAAACCGATTTTTATTATCGCCTTGTTGGTCACATTGTGCCATGTTCAGCAATGTGTCGTGTATTATTTGACAACTGTGTGTTAAAAATATGCTGAAGCATTTAAACAGTCGAAGCAAAGAGCTTGTAGCTTTCCTGATTTTGAATGAGAACGTGACAATAAAGGTCCTTTATTACCCTTGCTTGACTGCAGTCAGAGAAGTAAGTTTGATTGATTAATTAAGTAGTTATTTATGAGATAGATTTTATTTATTAATTATTTCAGAGCCGTTACTGGTTAATGCTTTCAATACATCTTTTATGGCAAATTATTTGTGACTTTCTTATTTATTAACTATATTTTTTAAATTATTATTTTTCCTTAAATACATATATTTGAAAAAGTATGATATGTATTATTTAACTGTGGTTTGGGGGATATCAAGAAATCGGTAAGCTATAAAACTGTTATTAATAAATTAATTACAAAAATATTAATTATTAACTTAAAAATTAAACGTAAAAAATCTTTAAAAAATTATATACTAAATATACTGTTTGTCACTTTTAAATTAAGATTCATCTCATAAATCCATCACAATCTGGCAGCGCTGTCGCCATCGCTTGTCACTCAAAGTTGATGACGTGCATCGGAAAATGTTTTAAAATTTCTATAAGTAGTTTCACTTCAAATATGCGCACATCGTGCACGCACAATTTTATTTATTTCTCTCGAACTATCACAACAAATTTCATAATATCTAAGTAAAGTGATCAGGAAGAAAGGCAAAAATGCAATAAAATACAGGATGTTCCATTTAAAAAATCCCTCATCTACTCGCTTTTTTATACACCCTGTACAGGGTGGTCGAAATTGGTCTGTTTTAACGGAGAAAACCTATTTCCTGACTAGATAGAGACTAGATAGAGCAAAATCGACATAGATGTCATGGGCTCGATTTCTGAGGCATGTTTAATGGCGTAAACCGCCTGTTGATATTTTCACTGCCAACTGAGATACAGGGTCTTTTTGAATTTTTTACCATTTGGAAAATTGCCCATAATTTTTGTATTTCACGGAATAATAAAATTCCGTAAAAACGTTCTTGAGGCAATTTTTTAAGCACAATCCAGTGGCGTAGTCAGTTTTTTTCTATGCTTGCTCTTTTTGTCAGAAATAATAAAAAATATAATTTTTTAAATGGAAATCATAGTTGGCTATGAACTTAAAAAAAAGCTGGCGTTTAACCCTTTCCAACAATATAAAGTGATGGGCATCTATTTCTAAGAATGAGAGAAATATTAGATTTTTTTATCTTTGTATCGAAGCAGGCCTTGATTTTATGTTGACCAAGTTGCCTAATTATTTTTTATTACAATTTAATATTCTATATTATTATTTATCTGCATAATTAAAGACTTTTCAAAAGGTAAATCAACATTCTATATTAGTATTACCAATTACAATTAAAACGCTAGGGTTACAACTGAACTATTAAATGGAGAATTTAGAGAGATTTGGATTGGAACAAGGGACCCCATATCTTAGCCTGCTAAGTCCTGTGATTTAACTCCTTTCGACTTTTTAATGGGGGAAATTAAAAGACCTTCTATATATGGGAAGAAGCATTAGGAAGGAGAAGAATTGCAGACGGCTACTAGTCAAGCTTTTGGACTTATTACACCAGCTCACCTAATAAATCGTTGTAACTCTGTGCGCAAAAGAGGTTTATTGTGTATTCAATAAGAAGGTGCTCAGTTTGAATATATTTGATAATTTTTTTTAGAAAACTATATTCGTCACTCCAAAATACGTTTTTTTAGTTTTGTTCTTTGTTTATTGTATCGATTTCAATTGTAATTACTAATACTAATATATAATGGTAATTTACCTTTTCAAAAGTCTTTAATAGAACATTAAATTGTAATAGAAAATAATTAGACAAAAAGGTCAACACAAAATCAAGATCACACAATCTTCGATATCACACAATCAATACAATCTTCGATATAAAGATAAAAACTTAATATTTCTCTTATTCTTAGAAATAGATACTCATAACTTTATATCGTTGGAAAGGGTTAAACGCCAGCATTTTTTAAGTTCATAGCCAACTATGATTTCTATTTAAAAAAATATATTTTTTATTATTTCTGACAAAAAGAGCAAGCATAGAAAAAAACTGACTACGCCACTGGATTGTGCTTAAAAAAGTGCCTTAAGAACGTTTTTACAGAATTTTATTATTCCGCGGAATAAAACATTTATAGACAGTTTTCAAAATGGTAAAAAATTCAAAAAGACCCCGGATCTCTGTTGGCAGTGAAAATATCAACAGGCGGTTTACGCCATTAAACGTGTCTCAGAAATCGAGCCCATGACATCTATGTCGGTTTTGCTCTATCTAGTCAGGAAATAGGTTTTCTCTGTTAAAACAGACCAATTTCGACCACCCTGTACAAGTCAATTATATCATAGAATCTACAGATGCCCGATGCACTGTTGCAGGATCATGTATGACAAAAGTTACATAGAAATTGTTTCATCTTAAAAAGTACACTTTATAAATAGACAAGGACAGACAACTGCTTCACTTTAAAACAAAAATATATTAGAGTTCACTCTTCAATTTCTAAAACCTCATCAACTGAAGTAGTTTTTCTTGTATTGCATTCTTCCACAATGGGTACAACCAAACTGGCTCTAAATTTCGTTAAATTAGCCAATACTTTTTTTGTAGACGTTTCCTAAAAACAACATCTTTTAAGTTATGATAATACTCATTGACTAATGTTACAGTTCAGATCATACTCGAAAAAATAACAAGTTACCAGTACCCTTTAAAATAACAATCATTAAAAAGAAAATTTACATAAAAACTTCTAGTCAAAAATGGAAAGAAAGAAAAAGAAAAAAGTTTCCAGACAGTCCAATCGTTGAAACATATATGTAAGTCTATTCAGTTTTTTAAATAGATTTGAAAGCCGTCTACCTTTTTCTAAATTAAATATAAAATTTTGACGTGTGTCAAAATTTCATCACGGTGATTTAGCCTTTTATTTTGCTGTGCAACACTAAAGTTTCCAACCCCCAACTGTAATCAAAACACTTTACTTACCTCCATAATTGTCTCGCAAGAATCTAACAGATCCTCACGCAAAGCAGGGTCCTCCGGAATATTTAGTGTAGTTAATATTTTGGAGTACACTAAATTCAACTTGCTGTTTGGTTTTGATAACATGTGAGAACATAGATCTCTAGCTATGCCAGAATGCAGATGTGGACCCTAAAAATGAGTAAATAGTAACATTTTGTCGAATTTATTTGATTAAACTGACTGTATGATCAATTTAAAATTAGTAGAAGTTGAAATAACATTTAAATTATAGATTTACTATTTAGGTGTGTAACTGATGTTTTTGATAGTCACGAAATCTTGAATAATAAATGGAAGTCAATGGCCTGCAGAGGAACCAACAAAAACAGAAAAATAAAGATTAAAATTCTTGGTCTTATTGTTCTAGTCTGTAGTGCATCTTTTCTTATTTTTAGTTTTCTTTTCTGTAATTTTCCATATTATTTAGGGCTTTTCTTATTTCATATTTTGTTCTTTGTTTCTTGTTTAGTCGATTTTAATCTTTTTTAGCGTTCACTTCTTGTTTTTAGTTTTTTTCACATCGTTTTAGTATTTTTTTTCTTTAGTTTTTATTTGTAAACGGCGTCATATTCTTAAATGATAGCACTCCTATCTAGTAAGCACAATATTACTGGTTCCAATCCAGCTCTGGGCAGGGATGTTTAATGTGTGCGAGTCTGGTGTTTGTTCTAATTTAAAAACGCTCAAAAAATTTATTAGTTGGTTAGATGACGTAAACACGACATATGGCCATTAAGAGGGGAAAATCCTTTAAAATAATCTTTTAAAAATGGATCTTAACTTATTTTGTTCGAGATATGTATATAAGAGATTTCCTTTCAAGAGAAATTTTGATTGATGGTCATTATGACGTCGTTTTATTTTTTTATCTATAAATGATACAATACTTCTACAAAAACTTCCAATCACTCAAGATCAGCTGTCGCTCTCACGAACTTAAACACAAACTAAAATGTTATTTCTTCGCCTATTACGACATCGTTTTTTTTTCGATCTTAACATAATTTAAATATTAGTGTGTTATTCTTACGATAGGAGATGAGTCGCATAGAGCCAACATAAACTTGACAACATTATCTATGTCCACTTCAGATAAAGGACTGGTTTTCGGGGCGCTGACCAGAATTCTAACAGTCAATAAAAAGGCGTCTTTCAGCTGTTCTAAATTTCGTGATAGGTACGGAATCTTGCCCAAAGTGTAGGCTATAAGTTGCCTCAATGGTTCGGTTTCAGGCTCATCTACAACAGACGAGAAATTTTAAATATTTAATACAATTTAAATAGATTATAATAAACTAAGTTGATTATTTTAAAGTATGCCAAATTTCATATACGTTTATTTCTAAGAGGAGACGTATTAGAAAAAATTAGTAGTAGTATTATATTTAACAAAAATAACAAGAATTTATATTTTTTCGAAACAACAGAAGTAATTTTTAAAGAGGAATTTAAATGCATCCGTAATTTCTGTCTGTCGTTCCGTCACTCAAATCATATTTAAGTATAAGCTGCCATTTTTAAATAAACCAATAAAAAAAACTAATTTGCATAAAAAAACTCACAGTTAAGGGTTTGAAAAATAATTTCTTACCTTCATCTGCTGGATTACACCATTTTAAAATAAGTTTACATAACAGAGAAGAAGAGTGGATCCTTTCATTTAAAATCAACTGACATAATCCTTTACCAGCAATTTCTTGAATTTCGTATTGCTAAAAAAATAACGGTATACTATAAACCTCTACAGGGTGCTACAAATTCGGGGTACGAGCATTGGAATCTCGGAAACCATAATAGATACGAAGATGGTTAAAATGGAGCAAAGTTGGGTCTTGGGATGTTCACGAAGATGCCATCAAAATAGTTTTAAAAATTTCAAGGATTGCTGAGTTTTTTTGAAAAAAAAAGGATTTTTCTGAAAACCAATTTTATTTTTTCCTGTCGTTACTTTTTAGAAAATCAAAAAACTAATTACACATTCTCACAGCAACTTTATTAGGGCAACCTGATAATATTTTTAGATTTTCAAATTAGCTGATGATTTGGGAGATACAGAGGCCAACTTAATTTTTTTAAATACGGACCTGCAATTTTTATTTAAACTCCCTGACCATTATACTGCTCTACCATTTCCAATCCATCTTCCGGGGAAATGATTTGATTGTTTATAGCATATTATATTTATATTATTTATTTTATATTATATTTTATTATTTTATTGCATTTGATTTTCCTTATTCAATGTTTTACCCCATGTCATTGTTAAGTTTGTAAGCTTATCAATATTGTAACGATGAATAGATTAAATATTTAAAAAAAAACAGAGCCGGACTTGAAATTAGTTTAAATAAATTGTGTTCAAATGTCTGAAACAAAAGAAAAATGTTAAGTGTGGCATATCATTGTACCCAGGAAACCGAGTTCTTTCAAATCATGAAATAAAATTTGCAGGTCCGTATTTAAAAAAATTAAGTTGGCCTTTGTATCTCATAAATTACCAGCTAATTTGAAAATCTAAATGCTGGGTGTTGGCATGTAATAAGAATGTAAAAAGTTCTCTTCTCTATTCCATTTATCCTCAAATATTATGGCTCCCAGTTGTAAAGCGGCGTTATCAAGATTAGGATATATTACCCGAATTAAGAAACTTTCTTAACAATATTTTAATACATAAATGGATCATTTTATATGCGATATTTTCGGAAGAATAGAGTGTGCATATTGTACTTACAGAATCGTCCATCAAATCGACCAATCCCTGTATGAGCTGTGTGAGGGAAGTGCCTCCAGAAAATATTTGTCTGTGCTCTTCGTTCACGCTGTCAGAAAGTTGATCTTGGTCTGGCTCAGCTATCAAATCTGCTCCGTATATCCTTATCAAGTCTACCACAGCGCCAATGCACACTATTAAAAGTTGCATGTCGCACTCTTCACCAGCTTGATAAGCGGCTATCTATAAAAATAAACATAAAAAATCCAACGAACGTCAAAATTTCGAATTTTTACGACAAATATAACAAAACTGAAAATAAAGATTTTTCAACGTGGCTACCGTCTATATTTTTTAAATATTTTTGTTCAATGATTCCGAAACACAAAAAAGGGTACAATAAAAATTATTTATATATTTTAATTACTCACTGGCAAAGCAAACATGTGTATTCCATTCATGGCAGTTGCCTTATCATATATACAACAAATGGCATAACACCTGAATGCTTTCATCCTCACAATATCGTTGTTGAACGTTAAAAACTCTTCGATCACGTCCACCTTCAAAGATTTCAGCGAAGAAGTTAACTGTGACATCTGAAAGAATCCATATTGCTTCATGCAAAAATATTCATTTGGTCATACATATATATAAAGATGAAATATCTTTTTCACACAACATAAAAATTATTTTCAATATACCTACATGCGTATTTAGTAGTGTAATGAGAGAATGTTTCCATTCGTGGCGAAAGAACGTTTGATAATGTTCGCGAACGTTCATAATCATTGGGCAGGAACGTTCCCTCATAAGAACTACTTTGTTTTTTTTTTGTATGAGCACAAACGAGCATATACTAAGGGATGGCAAAGGTTACTCTTGGATCGAGATTTTTTATGTAAAATGAGTACAATGCGTTTATAATGTACTGAACATGGCTGGGAAACTTAAATGGAAATGACAGTTCATTAAAAATAGTTTTTCCTCCAAGATGCAGAGGCGCAAAATATTAAAACTGTCAATATTAACAATGCAAATGTCAATATCTGACAATAATAAAATTTGATTTTTAACTGTCACTCAGAGACGCTTTTGTTGTGATTTTACGGTTTGATTTCGTTTTGATTTGTCGAATTATTGTAAAATTAAATTCCTTCAGATTTTTTGCCAGTATTCTGTTTTAGACAATGTTTTTTAAAAATGGTGGGACAATTTGTGTTTTGTAATAACTCTTAATTATTTTTTATCATGGAGTTTAATTGTTGTACACCTGGTTTCCGAAGGATACAATGGTAAGTAAATTAAACATATCTACTTATAGTTACAGATTTTTTAAATTAGTACTGCTAATAAATGCTACTTGCAGAGCAGTTATTTAATTTTTTTACGGTGCATGTAAGGAATTAAGGACGCGCGTTTTATATTAGCATGATCAGCAGATGATTACATCTGATTTAATTTGTTTTTATTATTTCAGGTCCCAAACGGAAACAAACTGGGAATCTTGCCTACACCAAAATTATATACCTAGCCGTTTCCAATTCACTTCAAAGGGAGGAAAATTATGTAAAACTGCTTGCTATTTGCTGAAAACCGCCAAATATTAAATTATAACTGTAACAACTTAATATATACTATTTCTAGTATTTTTAATATATTTTTTAATTAATATCCGACATATAAGAACACTTTGTATGCTTTTAATTCAGTTGATTTATCGTTTATAATATGTTCGACCTAATTAAAAGCACACAAAGTGTTCTTACATGTATGTCTAAATGTATTTTAAATTAACTAAAACCTTAGACTAAAACAACCCCCCTTCCTCGCACCCCTCTCTTCCATTAGTATTTCTTCCTCCGTCTACCAGAGGCGCCCTTGTATAATAAAATTGAAATGTATTATAAGTTGCCTATCTATTTAATAGTATAAGTCTTTTATCTATGGTACTGAACAAAGAGAGAACAGTAAAAACGTTGCCAAACATATGAAATAAACCGAGAAACTGTGCACATTGCTAAGAGACGTGGAAGAGTGTACATCATGCGTTCAGCTTCACGATTTAATTACGTCTCGTGATACCTTATTTGTTTATTTATTAACGATTCGTTGTAATTTTCCCTACAGCTTGTAAATTTTTAAGTGCAAGTTGGAACACTTGCGCTTTTGGTAAAAATAATTGGAATTGAGTTGGTGTTCGACAGTGGTCGCGCTATTAGAACTCTGAATTCAAAAATCGATATCTCGAAATCCATTAGATATAATTGATTGTACTTTTTTTCAAAAACCTTCTTAATATTTCTGCTATATTTTCTTCGCAGACAGGATGAGAAAATCTTTATAAATAAAAAAGTTACACGATTGCTAAAAATTGCAATGCACTAAAACTAAAAGTAAATGGATGTTTTTTTTTTAATTTTGAATGGAAAAAAAAACAAGCCTACCGAATCTTTCTTATTTAAACATCTTGTAAAAGATCCAAACTTCAAAATAAATAAAGTTTCAATATCTAAAGTAGTTCTTGAGTTATTGTGGGTTATGTGTTAAAAAGTTGAGTTTTTAAATTATCTATTTTCTAACGATATCCTTATAATTCCATTTCAGATGCTCAAAATATCTAATGATTTTAACTGGTCATCTTTTCGAAAATCAAAGTCTTTTAAAAATAAGCGGTTTTACGATTGTGATTTTACTTTACTTGGTAGAGAAAGGCGTACCGGAGAAATTTGGCAATGCCGCAACAGCACACCTGGGCAACGCGGCCCAGCGTTGCCCAGGTCAACTAAAAGTATATTCGGTATGATATATATGTATAACTTACTCCTAGTGTCCTTAAAATACCAAACGCAATGTTCAGACAATTATTAACTGTCAGCAAATCAGTCTTCTTTTTTACTTCTTCCGAGGCAGATCTTACAGCTTCGTTCTTCAAGTTACTTAACTGAACGTTAAGGTAGTCGATTTTTTCTTTAAGTCTGCCTGCTTCTAAATAATCAGTCTTTGCAACGGCGTCTTGCTGTTCTCCTTGTAGAACAATTATATCTGTTTTTAACTTAGCTAACTACAAAAGAAAATGAACAAATTGGAAAAACAAGTTTCATTAAATTGCACAGGGTGATACAGCCTTAAGTCAAGTTTCTCGGGAAAAAATAATTCTAATAATTTTACTACATTGGTTGCCATTTAAAAATATATCAGTGACGTCATATTACAAATTTGGGACAAGCTGTATAGGCTTGGTGCATTCTCCGTCGGTGCTGCCACCATCGGAGAATATCGTAAACAACTAGTACATACAAATACACGGATTAAAAAGCGAGTATACAAAAGTATAATTTGTGGAAATTCTAAAAATAAAAATAAAAAAGTAAATACTATGATATCTTCAGACAGTCTAACTTGTATTATACATACTTTATTATTACAGTTAAGTACAACTACGGTAGCGAGCATAGTTTTAATCACCGGTTTTGATAGTGGGGCATAATTGGGGCTATTTCGACTATAACGAAATTTTTAAAGGTACATAATAATAATTTTAGATCTTCATAAAACATTTAATCACTAGTTGATTAAAAAAGTATAGCATTAATATTGCAAATTATATTTTATTCCCTCATAGTATATGTCTATATTTTTTTTGATTATGGAACGAGCACTTTGTTTACTCACGTATTTTGTCGAACTGCTTGAATCCATTTTTGCTTTTGATCAAATCGGTGTGAGAAACTATGAAGCTATAAAATGTTGTTTCGGGAGGGTTGAATATCCGGGAAACTTGAAAATGTTATTGCAGTAAACGCCCCACAACGCCCTAATTACGCTCTCCTTTACGCATTAACATTTTTTCGGCAATTTTATTAACATTTTAATTGTCACAACACGACGTCTAGTTCGAATTCTTTTTCATTTATTTTTTACTACCCGAAACAGCGTTACATCAAACAAACCTCGTACCTGAGTGTTTTATTAACGTCAATAACTGCACTAGCAAAAAACTAAAATACACAGTACCTAAATATTAAGACAAAATCACGATTTCAATATTAATTTAATGCGATCAACATGACGGCGTGAGATACATACTGATAATTTTTTATTTTTGCCGTTAAAGCGCTGCGGTCGGAATTTGTTGAAATCAACTGAAATGCACCAAGCCTAAAAATTTTTCATGGTCAAGTGCGAGTCGGACTCGCGCACGAAGGGTTCCGTACCATTCATTATCTATACAACATTAGACACTATATTATAAACTTTTTTTCCGATTTAGCTGAAATTTTGAATGCGCGTATAAGTAATTTAAAAAAAATGAAGAAACACATTACTAAAAATTGTATTAATCAATAATAAATATGTAAAAAGTAAAAATAAACATGCAAAAATTCAAAAAACAAGCGATTAAAAAAAAGTCGCCTTGCCTAGGATTTGAACCTGCCTTAGGGCTCGAACACACTGACGACCAGGTCGCACCGGCCAGGCCGCAGCTACCTCTAAAACCATTAAATCAAATGATATAGCGCACGCTAACAGAAGACTGCTCGGAAATATTATTATTTTCTGCCGCTTGTTGCCGGTTTTCTTCCAAAATAATAATTTTTCAGATGAAATCCCTCAAATTCAAGGTACAATATTTTATTTTCTATAAGATATAGTGTTTTAGTGTAGTTTTTGCACACGTGCAGAAAATCCAAAGAAATAGTATACAGACTGGATCAAAGGTAAACTTAAATCTAAACCCTTTTTTATCAAGGGTCGATTCTAGTAAAAACTCAAAACATTTTTATATGACATACCTACTCTATTTATGGTTGGTATGATACCTGTTATTATACCTTTGAGTTTCGATGTTAAAAAATAAAAAAAAATAATATTTAAAGTTTTTCTACAACCACTTGTTTTTTTTATTAAATTAGTTTTTTTAGTTGTATTGTAGTCATGTACAAGGAGAACAACTGTATTTTAAATATTATATTTAATTTAACGTTTTTCAAACAGGATTCATTAGACTATATTTCTACTACTAGGTACATTATTTTTAAAAAAAATTAAGAAAGTAACTTAAACATTCATAAAAATAGAAGTAATTACTGTTGTAGATTCTTCGTTATATTGTAAACATTGAAATAACTGGAGCTTGTGTGTCGGATACACATTGTACCATTTGTGGTTCTCCCATATTTAGAGCCAGTGTCTCACGATCTTTTTTACGATGGCCCTAATATGTTTACTTCTAAAGTCGATAAGGGCGCCATATCAGTAGAAAAAAGAAACAGAATATCTCCCTTTTTGTCGGTCGCGCGTACACAATGCTTTTTGTTTGTTGTGAATAGCAAATTCGCTGTTTAGTTAACTCGGATATTTTAACATTTCTGAAACAATATTTTCTAATTGGTAAAACGTAAAAAATCGTTAGATTTGACAACTCTGTTGAAACTGGTCGTCAGTGAGTTTGAGCCCTTACTACGGCTCCAACGTCATAGCAGCGTAAAGTCCTAACGCTTTAACCACGCGGTAATAAACCGGGGACTTGAAAGATTCTATGTAAAATTCTTACTTAAAAGATAATGTTTAGTGAAAGTACTTTTTTATTTATAAACATTTATTTAATTCTGTTTTTAGTATTTGTTCTTATAGCGGCAACATAGATACATTATCTGTGAAAATTTCAACTGTCTAGCTATAACGGTTCATAAGATAGACCTTTGTGACAGACGGACGGACAGCGAAGTTTTAGTAATAGAGGGTTCCCGTTTTTACCCTTTGGGTACGGAACCCTAAAAACTAATCGACGTGTCTGCGCATGTTTCCACAAGTACCTTTGATTTAGCGAATCTATTCCTCGTTAAAGAATCACCCTCTATACAGGAGATACTAATAAAAGTGTATTAAAAATGCTTACTTTGACTTCTCTTTGGTTTTCTAACACCACTGCTTGCTCTACATCGACGGGATACAATAAATCCGATATTATTTCACAAGCAAAACGAGACCTTAATTCTGCATCCGGAATAGACAGTTTTAAACAATCTAAAAAATCACAATTAAGAAATAAGAAAAAAAAACGGCACTTACAGTCACACCAATAATTTCTTCAACAACTTCGTCCACAAAATCAAATTTTTTTAAAGCGTAGCTGACAAGTTTGTTTAACGATTGACGAGTTGGCGGATCGGAATAATCATAAAATTTTAACATATGAAACAACTGATTCAGGATAAATTGTTTTTCGATAAAATTATCTGCGTAGTCATTAGTTTCAAGAAACCTGTAAAAAGTACAACATTTAAGTTCAGAATATAATATAAATACATTTAAAAAGACTATACCGCCTTCCTAAACAAGGAATGAAAGGATTTAACTGGTGTAACTAGGTCTAACTGGTCTCTACAAAATGTATAAACTCTGCAGAGCGATCAGCTGTTAAATCCTATGATATATGCTTAGTAAAAATATACATACAGGGAAAGAACCTGATAACCACCAGTCGTCCAGGGCTCTCCTGTAAAATTAGTAAAATGGCGCTAATCATGTTTTCCCCTGGACCCTTCATAAGCAATACGTATTTTTAGTTTTTACTTTAAGCAAACGCTCTTAGTGTTTTTCCTGGTGTTGTATGTTTTTGTTTTTATCTTTGTGACTTTTAAATGATTATTTATAATGCAACAATGCAAATTATATTTTTGTATCTAGATTTATTTTGTATAAACTTTACATATGTACATACTTTTAGTTATATTGGGTAAAAATATATGCTAACAATAAATTACTTTTGTTTTATTTTTTAACCCAGGATTGATGGTGAGTATTGATCATAAATACATGAGCAGCAATTATTCTGTAAAGGCACGGCAAAGAAATGAGTTTGTAATAGATATAAACAAAATAAACATTAAAAAATAAATAAATCGGAGTTTGTGATCGGATGCCATCTTTTGGTCGAAAAAGTTTTGTATAGAATATATTGGCTACAATTAAAATAACGCAGTTGTTAAATATACACATAATAATATATCCCTAAAGTTAATTGATTAAAGAATATTTAACAAAAAGCTTCTTTTTTGAACGTCTTTAACTTCAATTTCAAATAAAATAAAACATACGATTTGGAAGTGTACAATCAAAGTGCTCATACCTCGAGCAAGCGCAGAAAACTATAACCCAAGGATAAACTTATGTGAAAAATGCATGGAAATTCTATATCCATCGTTCAATATTGGGACAAGAATTTAAGCGGTACCCCCGGTATAGTCTTTTAAATGTATTTGATATAAGCGCAGAAAGCTTAGTATAACTCAAGGATAAACTTATGTGAAAAATGCATGGAAATTCTATATCCATCCTTCAATATTGGGACAAGAATTTAAGCGGTACCCCCGGTATAGTCTTTTAAATGTATTTAATATAAGCGCAGAAAACTTCCTATAACCCAAGGACAAACTTATGTGAAAAATGCATGGAAATTCTATATCCATCCTTCAATATTGGGACAAGATTTTAAGCGGTACCCCCGGTATAGTCTTTCAAATGTATTTGATATAATAGGATCGAAAAATAAACGTCACAGTAGTCTTTGAAATAAAAATAGGTGATACCTTTTGTTAGCTGAACCCTATGTGATTTGTGTTGTGTAAAAATTGAAATAAAATTTTGTAAAAAATAATATTTAATTTACCAAAAAAGTAAAAAGTTTCCAAACAAAAATCTGTTTTCATAAAATAATTTTTACTGAATAGATTTGCATACAAATAAAAAAATACGTTTAAATTTTAATTTTTTGACCAGTTTTTATGTCAATTTTTAATATATGATACATGTAGGGGTCGGCACGACAAAAATTATCACTGATTGTTATTTCATAGGTCACTCTGACATCGTTTCTTATTTCGTTCGTATGGTATCATTACCCTTTAATATATGTCATAAAATAAGCTACTTCTGGAATGACATTTTCAACTTCGTCCTCGAATTTTTCGTTTTCTTTGAGAAACTCTACAAATAATTTCCAAAAACTTATCGTTTCCCAATTCAGATTTTCATAAGGTATTATTTTGTCTTTATTTAAGTTCAAGACATCTTTTGTTTCCTGTAGACTTCTTGATCTAAAAGTAGACTTAATTATTTATATTGAATTGAATACACAGGGTGACCCAGAGTTTCCAAAAAGCTACAATCAAGTTTCATTTTCAATCCAAACTTTTCCATTCAGAATAATGAATAAAAAAACTAAGGTTAATTAGACAACTGTTAGGAGCCAAATGGTTCCACCATGTCTCAAACGTATCGATCCTTGAAAAAGCTAGTTGCGAGAGCGCCGAGGCCATGATTACCAAATCCCCCTTAAGGATGGACTGGTCACGTATGGAAGATGCAAGAAAACCGCCTACCAAAATCTCTTCTTTACAGGGAGCTTGTAAACGGTAAGAGGAAACCAGGTGGACAACTCAGAAGATACAAAGATATTTTCCACGAAAATTTGAAGGGGATAAGCATGCAGAACCAGTGGGAAAAAGCAGCGCACAATAGAAAGCAATGGAGAAAAATTGTAAACTTAGTTAACAGCGACAACCAAAATATAAAAAGGTAACAAAGCAATGAGATTTTTGAATGTCCGGAGTGCGGAAGAGAGATGACATCAAGTATAGGGCTTTTCAGTCACAGAAAAGCTTATGAAGGGAAACGCCTTGCGTAACCATCTTCTGATGCGTGTCAAATACTCGTCAGCGAGTAATGGCAGTAGTAGTAGTAGTAGTAGTAGTAGTAGTAGTAGTAGTAAACATATATTTGAATCACTATATATTTCTAGAATAAATTTTAAAATGTGCGCCATCATTTCCTGTGTGTTTTATGAAAAAAAATCATAAATTTAACATAACAAACTTGACATGGCGCTTTTACGAAACACCAGTTCATCCTGTATTTCCTATATATGATAGGAAATAAATATACTTGAAATAAAATTTGGTAAGAATATGCTTAAAAAGGTTCTCAGTCTCAGTAATATCCCTTTGGTCACCATCAAGACGTACAGATTCCATTAAATCGAGAATTTCATAATTGAAAGATTGCAACCATGCATTTAAAAATCCGGTATAAATATAATTTTGTATTATTTCACTTAAATCAAATATTCCAGAGATCAAAATAGTTCTTCTGTCACTAATCTAGAAAAAAAAACGTTTGTATAGTAATTAGTTTACAGTCTAAACTTAGATTATATACAGGTTGTCTCTTAAATAAGTGCAAGTTTTTTAGCAAGTGGTAAATCTGAACAAAAGAGACATACAGGGTGACACATTATTGCGAAGTCCAATGTAGTCGTTGTTGTTAAAGATATAAAAAAAGTTTTATGCAGATATTGCATAGTTTATAAAAGGGCATATACTAAAAATATTTTGTAGTATGCAAATAATAAACATAGTATACATAGGAAAATTTACGTTATCTTATAGAGGGAATTCTTTATAGCGTCACCAAAGTCGGAATATTTAAAATGCTATAACTCTCTCTCTCGATTTTTTTAAATGCAACACTCTGTATATTATTTTTCATTTAGACGCAGAATTAAAAAATGCACATTTTTTGTATTTAAAGTGTTCCTAAATTTTAGGGGGTTTGCAGATATCCGCTGTATTATATTACATATGGAGTTTTCAACGATAAAATACCAGACAAAGATCATGTTAGCTGGATATGTTTTGTAAAAAATTTACTGTTGGAAGAGCCATATTTATGTAATAATATAACACGAATATCTGCAAAACCGTTAAAAATTTATGAACACTTTAAATACAAAAAATGTTAACTTTTTAATTCTGCATCTAAAATGAAAATAATATACAGGATGTTATATGCGTTAAAAAAATTGAGATGTAGCATTTTAAATATTGCGATGTAGACGACAACATAAAAATTACTCTGTATAAGATAATGTAAATTTTTCTTCGCGGGTGTATTCTGTTGTCCTTGGTGTTTAGGAAAATATAGCTAATTATTAATAAAATTAAACTGACTCTAATTTTTAACTTTCGGATATAGTGTTTTTAACCAAGTTTCAGTAAATAAGGAACAGAATGGCAACGCTGCATAGTGCTGGAAATAAAAGTAGCGTACTATACGCAGAATTTTATGGTGAATCCAAATTTGTACAGAAAAATAGGGGATATTCCACCCCCTATAAAGGAATTTAAAAAAAAACTTAAAACTTTATCATAACTTTTTTGGCACACCCTGTATACAATTTTTTTTAGTATATTATGCTCCTTAATAAATCATGCAACATCTGTATAAAACTTTTTTCGACGACGATATTGGACTTAGTCGCACTAATGGGCCACCCTGTATACCGGGTGCGTCTCAAAAGTGGCTCACCCCCTATAACTTTTTTATTTTTTCAGTTAGAAAAACGAGATTTGGTATGTTAATATATGACATAAATTAGGATTGATTGACGTATTCAATTATTTTCGGTCACGTCCTGTTTCACCGGAAATGACTACAACTTTTGATTTTTAAATAGCACCTCGGTATTTTTTTACTTTATTCGAAAGAAAATAACACTCTGAATACAATGACATATCATATGTCAACTTTTGACATTTCCACATATGGTTTATTTGAAATTATAACTTGCGGTATGTAACGAAAATTTTTTTTGACTAGAAATACCAAGTGTGTGGTATCAAATTATTCGTAAAAAATGCTTTTTCCAAATATGCTAATGAGTCACCCTCGGTCCATTTGAAAAAATTGAGATATGATTAAAAATACGATTTGATCATTCTCTAACTGGCCAGGACAAGACACTAAAAACATTAGACGATCAAATCTATTTTTCCAAGGCTCCTTGATTAAGAATTAGTGTTTTTAACATAGCCATAGCACTCTAGATTGAATTTTAAAATACCATTTTTTATTAAGCGAGAATGTCAAAAGTTGACATATGATACGTCATTCTATTCAGAATGTCATTTTCTATCGAATAAAGTAAAAAAATACAGAGGATGCCACTTAATGGTCCCATATCTTTTGAGACGCATCCGGTATGCTATATAAAATTTTGAAAATCAATTGAAAATACACGACATACTTAATTTTGACATTTTTTTAAAATATGTGTGGGTTTACATGCATCTCAGACATGCATAATTGGTCCTAACTTATTTTTCGTAATTTTAGGTGTAGAAAATTAAAATTACTGTGAACTTATAAACACAATATGCAGAACGTACAATACACTGTCAAGAAATTTGGGGAAAAACCTGTAGCACTGATAAGTTTTTTTAATTTATCATAAAATGTAAGGAAAAATGTAAAATTTTCAACAATTTTTTTGCCAAAAAAACTCTTGGGTCTGTTTTGTAGGGTCAACATATAATACCAATTAAAATACTTGAACTTGTTTAAAAGACACCTCTGTATAGACGGAAGATAAACTACCATGTACATACCGAGATACATCTCAGAACATTACTCAATTTTTTGAAAGCCATCAATCTAACTTTAGTATCTATATCTCTCGTACGTTTTATTAACCGTTCAATACTTTCTTTGTTCAGAATTATTTTTTCAATACACAACTCTCTCACCTAAAAATATAATAAAAATAACATTAGGTATTTTCCTTATTATACAGGGGGGTCCCAATTGTATTCAGAAAACTTCAACATCAATATTCTGCAGATAAAAATAATTAAAAAATATATAAACTCACCGGCAAAAAAAACCGGCCACTAAAAGCTAGACCCAATTTCAAAGTTGGATTTCTCGCGAACTACTCATTAGAGTTTGATGATTTTTCTTTTAAATTGTAAATTAATGGTAAATTAAATTGTATGGCTCTTAAACCAATGCATTTTGCCGCGAATCTCTTGGACCCCTGTTTCCTGGGAGAGTACCTTAACAATGAAGAACACATAGCCACTATATAATTTGTCAACAATATCACCAACAAACATCCTCAGTTTGTCAATAACAAAGAAGCCATTTTTACAGATGTAACAAATTATTGCGCCAAATCGGGTTTATGGGCTCCCGACTACGTTTGGATGTCAGTTAAAAATGTAGACTGTCTAGGTTGGTGGCAAGCCATGTATAAAAATACTCAGTTGAAATATTTAGCTGTTGCTCTGCTGTCTTTACCAACATCCTCTGCAGCCACTGAGAGAAGTTTCAGTACTTACAGTTTTATCCATTCTAAAAAAGGAATCGCTTAAATGCACAAAGTGCCGGCAAAATAATGTTGGTAGCTCATAACAATAAATTATTACTACAAAAACAAAAAGTGGATATGGAACATGATATTCAACAACATGAAACTCCTCCAGAACCACTAGAACACGTAGATGTAGGGGTCCGTCCTTTAGAATCAGAACCAGATGATACATCAAATATATCTGATTTGGAAATAGAAACAGACGAAGACAGTACTACTACTATAATACCCTATGAAGATGGGACCAGCTCGGCGCCTGAAAGTATTCCGGAATAGAATAATTCAGTTATTTGTGTTTTACGTTTTTTAAATTTATATTTTCTGTGTTTTTACTTTTTTTAAGTTCATAGTCATAGTTCATGGTTTATGTACAAAGTACAAATGTTACCAAATGATTTTTGTTATGTGTTATGTTTATGACTTTTATGAGTTATGTATTGTTTATTAAAATACCGTATGATCGAAAAAAAAACGGCGTCCAGTTGGCTGGGAAACGACGATCGATGACATTTCCCATATAAATTTACATATAAAATGACAGCAATCTTCATTTTATAGCCATGACGCCGCTTTTTTTCGATCATACGGTATAACAATTAATATTATGTTTATTGTTTTTTTTCCACTTACATGTTGGTATCAAATGTCTATCTAATTTATTCCTTTATTGTATCAACAAAAAATATGTAAAATTGTAAAATTTCCTAAAATTTCATAAATTTCCGAAAGTTTCGGAAATTTCCTGCAACAATCAAAAATTTCTGAAATATTGACATCACTATCTGCAATACAAACAGAGATAATGTGGTGATTAAAAAAACAAAATGCTCACAAAAGATGAGGCTACGATGTGATTTAATTTAGCAATAGCTACTACCGCTGCTGAACCCTATAGGGTGTTACAAAGTTTGGGCAAAAAACTTCGTCTTATTGTTGTGCCCTGTATATGCTCAAAATAAATTTGGAATAAAAATTGCTGACGTAGCATCCTTTAAGAAGGAATTAATTTACAATTAAAAAAAAAACATAATCAAAATCTAATAAGTGGTTCGCGAGAAATCCAACTTTGAAATTGGGACTAGTTTAAAAACTAGGTGGCTAAAGTGGCCGGTTTTTTTTGCCGGTGAGTGTATAAATGTGTGTCCTAAAATGTTTCACTTTGGAGATATAGGGTGTAGTAGTTTATGTTGTTTTACGTTATATATTTTATGTTTATGTTTGCTATTTGTAAGGAAGCAAGTCAATAAATAGTTTTTAATTTGATAATCATATTATTTTATGTCTTTACACCACTAGCAACGCTTAAAACCTCTTGAATTAGTGAAGACTCAGAGTCCGCGCGCGACTCCTTTCATGTAACAAATAAAGCGCGACCTCCGAAAGGTTAACATTTAAAAAATAGGCACATAAAATTGAATTCTGATTGTCTTGACTTTGGGGTAATTGAATTAAGTCATTTTACTGACTTAACTTGCAGATAATCATTATTTAAATCAAAAATATAGACTTAAGTCATAAAAACGACTTAAATAACGTTAAATTGACTTAAGTCTTCACAAAAATGATTTGACTTGAAGTAAAATGATTTAAGTCAAAGACTTAAATCATTTGAACTTTATATCGGAATTGACTTAAGATTTAAATCATTATTTTAGAAATTACGTAAAACTTAAGTTTTTTAAAACTGCCTTATTGCAGCTCTGTCTATGACGTCATTTTTTTTCGCAGAAAATGGACAAAATTCAGATGCATAAAAACTAGACTTTATTTCAAGCAAACCAAAAAAGCAATTTGTTATTATTCGGAGTACAATTTACTTTATTAAGATAATTTACTAATATTTAAAAAAACATTTTTTTTGTTACCGTATTACATTACAGAAAAATTTGATAGTAACAATGTAGTGGCGGTTTTTTGTAGCATGTAGCGAACACGCCGCGCCGCGCCGTAATGGGATTATGCGTTAAACAGTTGGCAACACTAATCATAAAAAATAAAAATAGTTTTAAAATAATATATACCCAGGTGGGTATGCTGATTTGTTTCATTTTTTATTCAATAATTTAATTTTTTTCCATTTGTATAATATAGCTCAAAAGATCTTACCCTCGCTTGTCCATCTCCTTTAATTATGCTTAAAAAGTCATTACAAATGCTATTTTCTGGATCATCTGGATCTTGTAAACGATAAAGGATTCTGATTGCTAGAAGCCTGATCGCAGTTTTTGAGTCCTACAATTTTTTTAATACAAATATAATGCCATAAAAAATAGATATTCAGTTACATAAAGTCGTTCTAAAAAAACTGATTCGAGATCCGTAATAATTTCTTCATTTATATCTTTTCCAACTAAATTGTCAAAAAGACAGGAAATGGTTTGGCTAGCTTTGTACCTTATTCCCTCATCAACACACTGACTAGCCTGTAAAAACAGAGAAAAAAATAATGGACATCTGAATTTTTTTTATTTAAAGTCCTAAAACATAGAACAAAGTGTTTAGAATTTAACGTATAATCCATAACACATAAACATATAGGGAATTCCACATAGGTATTTAAAATAAGCAAATTGTTAGCCACTGAACTGTTGAATAGGAAGTGGAAAATATTTTAAAAAGAAAGTAAACATTAAAATATTTATATATGGACCTAAATTAAATCCTAAAAAAACTTTTAAAGATTGGATGTGTAAAAAAGCTTGTATTTTGGATTAAGAAATAGCTACATACCTCCAACAAATATTTGAAAGCTTTATAAAACAGAGAATCTTCATTTATGATCTCGTTCTCAAATCTGTACTCATGTGATAAAAATAATCCTAGAAATTCTACCAGTCGATCACAGAAAGGATTTTTCGCTTTAATATCCGTTTTCAGTACTTTACATAAAGGATATTGGAAAGCTTTGAAGAATAAATCCACATCGGTCTACAATAAATATACTTCTTAATGACGATACTATATCGCATAAATTTCTTACAGTTTCCAAAAGTTTGCTTAATTGAGACACGTTTCGCTGATGGCAAGCCTTTGTAACTTGCGAAGCAGTTAATATTTCTGATATGGTATGTATTAAATAATCTAAATTTTCATCATTTATATCTTCAGTTTCAGTCATATTTCTGCTGGAACTCATGGTGCAGATGTGGGAAACTATTCCTATGTTACTCCTCTATTCCTTTATTACAAAATTAAAAATAAATTCAAATTCTGTCTAAAATAAATTTAAAAAAACGAAAAACACTTCAACAAACAAAAACTTATTCCGGCCATTATTTTCATTCTTGTTTAATACATGGTTGTTTATGTTTTGTCTTTATCGTTCCTTGTTTAAAATATTTCAAATATAAAACGGTTAAACATGTCAAAAATTATTGACCACAGATTAGCGGTAATTTAGTTTGACGGCCTTAGCTACCAGGGTGGTGCCAGGGCTATTTAGCGACCACAGATTAAAATAGTGTAAAGTACCATTGCTTATTTTTTAAATTCTGGATAGGGATGTGCACGTAAAAAATTATTGAAAAATATTTTTTTTGTCTAAACAAAATACTTCTACTCTGTCGACTTCTACATTATACGACAAAGTTAACATTTATTCCATATTTATTCTTTAGTTACAATACCGGCAAAAAATAGTAAGCGTAAACCTAGGCGCAAAACACATCCTTTAATTATGTTATATATCATATATAATTTGGTGCACCATCATATATGATCGATGTCATACCAGAAATACTCTCATCATTATTTTAAAATACAGTGGCGCCAAGTGGCCCCGGTTTTTGAATCGAATATCATAAATTTAAAAAAAAGTAATCTAAATTATAAAACTGGACGTACCTATTAAAATAGAAAATATATTTTTTAACAACCACACAATACATCTATCTACATTTCTTCAATAGGATCAATATTAAGTATTTCTAATGCTTTATGAAAGACATATTGAAGGCTTTTTAATAGATAAATTCTTGAATGGAGAACACTAAAAAGATGCTCCCTTGGGTTCTACAATTAAAATTAATTTGCCACAATAAAATCAAATATCAATATATGAAATGTTAGATTGTTGAAAGAAATACCTACTGTTAAAATTCTTATTCTCCTATAATAGACACTATAAACTGAACACATGTTGCACAAATATGTTATTAAATTTTGTACATTCAGAAACTCTTTTTCTATATCTCTGATACAATTCTTAACAACATTGGGAAATTGTAATATGTATCCATAAAATAATTCCCATTCTTCCTACAAAAACAAATTCTAAAAATAAAAGAAAATATTTATAAGGAACTAAATACTTACTGGTTGATTTAATAGTGAAAAATCAACATCCTCTATCTCTGGTAATTTTGGATAAATACCTTTTTCTACATTTTTATCAAATTCCTTAAGTAATACTGCTAATCTGGCACAATTGTAAAATATAAATGAAGGACCTTAAAAAATAGATACAATGTAAGTACTTAACTCTTTTGTAAAATATGCAGGCCATGGTTGTACACATTTAAACAATATTTTCAAAGAGCAATTTAGATATATTTTTACATTAAAGTTGTATTTTTTTAAATGGGTTGGTATATTTTTTGCTATATATAGCTTTGGAAATAATTTTAAAATGTGTGCTACTACTGACCTCCTAATTTAAGAGTGGAATAAAAATCTCAAATTAGAAACGAAGAGTCCAGGGGAACAACATAAGTGCTATTTCACTGATTTTACAGGAGAGTACTGGATAGCTGGTCGTATCAAGTTCTTGCCGTGTATTCCATGTTATTTTTACTAGGCATATATCAAAGGATTTAACAACTTATTGCCCTGCAGAGTTTATACATTTTGTAGGGACCAGTTAGATCTACTCTATTATTGTAAAATCCTAAAATTAAGAAATTGGCGCTTATCAAGTTTTTCGCCTGGACCTTTCAAATCTGATATAGATTTTGGGATCACTGAGTCATCTTGTATAGTATAAATTACCATTTTGTTGATATACCTACCTTTATTTACATCACTAAGACACTTTAATGACACTTTTATAGGTTTATGTGGTTTATTCGAAAGAAGTTCCACAGTAACTGAAGAAACACCTAATTTGTAAAAGTATTTAACAACATCTGAGTTATAATTGGCACTGACCCTGTATCTATGTCGTGCAACCATTTCCATATCAATAGCTCTGCGTCTACAAGTTTAAAATTTTCAGAAAATAACTACTTACTGCTCTGTAGATACTTTTTTCTTACTTGAACAAATCCGAAGCCAAATATTCCATATCTTTCACACCGTTTTTATTAATAACTGGTCCACAAGTTATATGTGGATTTTTATTTTTTCTATTAAGACTTAAATAGATGGTAGTAGCATTGCCAGATACTTTTTCACTTGTAGTAAGCTTTAACAAGTTTGCAGTCACAGATTTCAAAATGTACAGTCGTAACAAACTTAGATTTAAGTTGTTTATATCATTCTGTTCTATATTTTCATCGATCTCTAATTCAATATGTTTATTGAATAATTCGTATTTGCCATGTGGTCTGTTTTCATTAAACAGATCTTTCATATTACTTTTATACACAAAAAATCTATCTAGAAATATGTGGGCATGATTGTCTATAATCTCAATCTTCTCAACTTTAACTAAATTCTTTAAAATGTCTATAATTTTACTAAAAGCTTGGTCGTTCTCAGTTTGCTTTAACTTATAGTTCAGGATGGTTTCTTGATCATGTGCTGGTTTATCCTTAATAACGGACAACCAATTTTTCCACAATAATGGAAAACTAAGGTCTCCAAGTCTTTCAAAATACCTGCTATGAATTTTTACATGAGTTTGATTTGTAGCAGGTTCAATTCCGGTAAGAGTGATGTACAAATGTTTAACGCATTCGTCCAAAAAAGACATTTTAATAATTCATTTTAAACAGTTTTAAATCAGTGATATCAAAATCAAAATTAATCAAATTAAAGTTGTTTAACAAATTCTAACCTATATAAATATAAATGACAGGTTAAAATTAATAGTTCAAATAAACTATCCATTCTAAATTAGTTCAAAGGCAAAGGCGTAACTACGAGGGTAGTTTGAAAAGATTAAAAGACTTTTTTAGTTTTTTAAATTTATTTTTTCTTTTCTACATAAATTTAATTTTGTTGTCTGAATGATACGGTTGTTACCGTATACATAGTAAGGTCCCAAACTGCCTTCGAATTGATATATAAAGCAAGCTGTGTATAAAGAGTGATCCAATGTGGATCCAATCATGATCCAATCTAAATATCAAAAATATGACTTAATGATTTTTGGGAAAACGAAAAAAAGAAAAATCGTTAACTTGAAATTAAAATATTTTATTGAAGATAAATTTGACTGGACGTTAAATATTGGCCCTGTTTCGACCACCTACAAAAAATAAATGATAGATTATTTTGGTTTCATTAAAAATTATCTAAAAACTATACTTATGCTTAAGACTGTGCTTTCTTTTCGGGCCAGAACATGCTCGCTTAAACTAAACAGCAGACCTAGATTTAGTTGAGGAATATCGTAGAAAATTGTTAAAGTCAACATCATAATCGTAATACCCAGGAAGAGGTAAACTAAAAAAAATTAACATAATATAGTTTATGATATTTTAAATATTTTTTTTTCAAATAAAAATTGGTACTTACTTGTCGTGACAATTTTGTATAAGGATTTATAAGGTGAAATAACTGACGAGTCTCCTGCGATATAATCTCCCAGACCTATTGTCGTTAAAGATATAAAACAGTAATACAAGGCGTCGAGGTAGCTCCAGTCTTCTTCCAAGTAGTAGAAAGCACCAGCCGGTAGGACCAAGAAAAATATCGTCAGAAGTGTTACTAGAAATCAAGAAAATTCTAAGATCGTACAGTTTTAGGGTACAAACATAGTGGGGCATCTCGAAGCGATGCTCGCAGCGATGCCTCACTATGTAGGTGCCCTTAGCTACATGTAGGGGAAAGTCGCCTATACCGGTAGATAATAAAATTATAAGTTTAATAAAGAGACCAGTAATATGTGCAAGTTCCTTATAAAAAATACAAAGTAAAGATTCTTTGTATCTGTATTCTAATATTTCCATGACATTTGGTAAGGTGGTTTTCTATGACTTGAGGGAAATGTAATTGATGATGTGGGGATATATTTTTCTCAAACTAGAGAATCATTCCTTTACATTCCACCTGGTTAAACTTCACCTTACCTTTAAAAAGACCGCTAAGTAATTTATTTTATTATTTTAAATGATGTTGTCTAAACAGTACCTCTAGTAGAACTGCAAGTATAGCAAATGTCAGAGCAAATGTTACAAAAGGATTTTAAAGGTGTAGCCAAAGAGTGTGTAGCATTTGGTCTGAAGGCAAAAATCATTACACAGATGCTGATTTGAGGTACAAGATGACTCGCAAACTGTGCTGACAGTATAGTAGTTGCAAAACGAGTTAAAATAAACGGTTCGGAATATATGATATTTATTAACAAATTAACTCAAAATTGATGTTTTTTTTTTAACTTTTTAACAAAGCGTTAAGGTGGCTACACACACTACTGCAAGCTTGACAAGCATGCATAATTTACCTTCGCCGCCATACGATACATGCATGCTTGAACAAGCTTCAGTTTTCAGTTTATGCCGCGAAAAAGATGAAGGAAGTCCGCGAAAAAGAAGAAGGAATCCTGAAGGCATTTACCGTAAACCGGGGCTACTTCGGACAACACGGGTAAATTCGGACAACGGGTCCTTGAAAGAGAAAAAAAATTGAGGAGGGTAGCGAAATCATCAAAGCGGCCGCGTGTGGACTGGAACGTGTTTAAAACAGTTGCCCTCAGACGTTTCTTAAGTACCGAGTGTTTTTCTGGCCCGGCGTATTTTTTACGTCAATTTTTGTAAGTATGCAATTTTTGTTGTTTTTTTAAAGTGGAAAAAGTAACTGGCGTACAACTAAACCTATTATTCATAAAGTCGTACTTTTTCCAGTATTCAGTACGTATATTATCTGAAAATGTTTTATGTAATTTGAAGATTTTTAATCGTTCAATTTTTTTCCCAGATGGTCGTAAGCAAAAAAATCATATTTTGAAGGCTAACTTCGGACATAGTTCGAAGTTACAAAAAGCAACTGGGGAGTCGCCCCTACCAAAATTATTCACCAGAGATGTTACAGCAAGCAGTAGCAAATGTCAAAGCCAAGCGAAAAACCTTAAGAGAGGCGGCTGAGTATTACAGGATTCCCAAATCCACAATTGGGGATAAAGTTAAGGGGATTCATGATAAGAATCCAGGACGGCAACCAGTGCTAAGTATCGAGGAAGAGGCAAAGTTTTTGACTGATATTTTTAGAAGTAATCAATCTTTTTTAATAAAAATGTCTTAAATAATGTTTGAAGTTATTAATTTTTTGAGTTTTTAATAAAAAATGAACTTGATGTTTTTTTAAAACTTATATTTTTGTCCGAAGTTTCCTTTTAACTGGTATAACATCAAATTTACACATTTTTAAAGGCATGTCCGAAGTTACCCCACCTATGGGGATAACTTCGGACACTTTTCAAACAAAAAAATATATACGTTAGAAAAAGAAAGTTCAACATTTTTTTTTTAGTTAGACATAGGGGAAGGATATAGTAACCCACACAAAAAATATTGGTTGAATTTAAACACACTTAGGTCAAGAAACTTACAAAAAAACTCAAAAACTGTCCGAAGGAGCCCCGTTTTACATCTTTTTAATAACCGTATACTAATAACGGCATCCTTATCGGTTTGGCTGTCAATTAATATATACTTATTAAGTAAAATTTTGTATGCTGCATCCTTCTTCACCCTATCATGATATTCTGGTGATTTAATTCGCCAAAGACACGGCGGATTTTCGTATGCGCGAATAAAATCTTCCAATAATCATCGATTGCTCCTTTTTAGATCGCTAGACATAATGGCGACGCGACGTACAGGTCATTTACGATCACGGACTGAACTAATTGTTTGTACAAGCTGAATACATGTGGTACACACGTACCGTTTTGTTTGTCCAAGCTTGCATGATTCAAATTCATTCAATCATCAAGCGGCTTGCACAATTAAAATGCTTGCGCAAATTTTCCCTACAGACGCTACAGTTTGCTTGTACAAAAAGATTGTTCATGCATGCTTGTCAAGCTTGCAGTAGTGTGTGTAGCCACCTTTACGGTTTACCAAGCTACTCTCCCCTATATCGACTTATTTGTATACTTCTTACTTATAATTGCAAGATGTAGCAATCTGATGTTAAACGAATTATACAGGTCTTCGAGTTTGAGATTGAGCCAGTTCAATAGCCACCAGGCCGGCACGAGGAATCTTTCCACCAATCCTGACAACAATATCAGGGTTAAGGGAATACCCACGAGGGCGTACAATATGCAGAAAATCTTCCCAATTCTGGTTAAAGGGGTTATTCGACCATATCCTGAAAACCAAATACACATATACAGGGTGGCGCACCTCATTCGCCTCGGTTGATTATACGAAAACGGAAACGTGTAGAAACAAAAATTTTTATGGGTGTATGTAGAGAGGCAATGTGCATTATTTAAAATTATTTTAAAATGTACAGGGTGTGTCAGAATTAAGATCCATACCAAAGTGTTATATTTTTTCTTGTGGAACACCCGGTATTTTATTTCATTTTTGAATTCTTGGGCATAAAATAAGGCATTTATTATAAGGGCGTAGTATGTTTAAAAGTTTTGGTTTTTGAGATATTTAAATATGCATGCTATAATAAAAAAAAACACCTTGTAAATTACTTTTCAGAATTAATTCTTGTGCTGACTTTCAAGCCAAAGAAATAAACTTTACTAAAAAATTTGTTTGCTTCCTTAAATGTACACAGGGGTGTCAAAAATTGCTGGTCTATTTTAAATATTTATTTTACATAAAAACTTCGTTATTTCAAATACAACACTATGTATTTTTTCAAACAAGTCGAAGCAGAATTAAATGCTCTTTCAAACTACATTAGGGTTTCCTATACCTATCTGGCTCAGATTTTGAATAAAAACCGATTTTTCAATAAAATGGCAATTAAGGTGGCTAGTGTCGCCATGGCAATTTGCTAGTGACAGTTAGCAGCAGTTAGTAGCTATTTTCAAAATCGACATTAGTTTATGGACTTTATTTAAATTTATAACAGTTTACTTTTATTTAATTTACCTACAATAGTTTAGTAAAGTCATTAACATTATTTTATGAAGAAAAATAAAGAAGTATTGTAGTTCTTTTTGAGTTATATTACGATGACTTGTAGGCATATTGGATTTTCTATAAAAGAACCAATTAAGGCAAATTCATTTTCTTCACTTCCAACGACAGGTTTCTGCCTAATAGGTTTTTCATATACTACACTATCAGCTCTGCGAAATAGGAAAGGTAGTTTTTCGAATGCTATGGCGACCATAAAATAATTAACTAGAAAGAAGTGTCAACTCTGTGTTAAATCGTGGAAACAGGATACGCCACCGAAAGCCTTCGTTGTCGTCTGGAGAACTAATTTTCCAATTGACAGGTTGACATGATGGCTTCGTATTTATTTCCGTTTCCGGTTATTCAATGGCGAGCCCTCTTTCAGTTTAAATGTATTTTGTACTCTTTCTTATCATAAATAAAACAAAACAAAATTTTATTCAAACATATTTATTTGAAATATGGGACAACGTGACTAAATATATATAAAAAATAAAGAATTGAATGATTTCAACAGCAATTACTTAATTATATGCAATTTTAACGTAAATTAGTAAGGTACAAGCATGACCTACAGTAATTTGTAAATAAATACATGTATTCACAGCCATCAGGGACAGAAAACGGGGGCAGGATCATGAAAACTTAGGAGCCTTATACAAAAACCTGAAAACAAAAAAACAAATTTTTTTATACTAAAATTAACAAATAAAAATATCAGTAGGTATAAAATACAAATATACTGTTTAAAAAAAGCGTCCATTATTCCCAAAGAGACCTGGTTTATAAATCAAAAAAGAAGCAAAAAAGAGAATTTTAGTCGGATAACAATGGGATTGTATCAGTCAGATTTATTGCATTATTGACAATAAATCGCACATACTGGAGATAACTAATGTTGGCTATAGTTAAAAATGATCTTACCTTGCTGTAAATTGTTTCCATTTTCAAAAAAATCGCCGATCATAAACATAACAAAATTTTCTTGCATCTAAAAAATACAGAAATAGTGTTTATTTACTACCTATTTTTAATATGCATGGGACATACCTAGTATTGCAGAAACGTCTTTTTCTCCAGGATTTTTCATGTAATATATATTTTATATGCTTTATTACCTTTATATTTATAAGTTTCTGCCGAAATATCAAATTGAATTTACAAAACAAAAGTAATGGTGGGTTCATACAGCCAAATAAAATAAAATAAGAATAAAATAAAATAAGAAATAAGGAATTCTTATTTGTGTGCATTCATACAGTCAAATAAAATAAAATAAGAAATATATATTTGCTCATGCGCAGTACGATGAGGCTGGATAAAAGTTAACTTTTACGATTGTTTATAGTAATTTTACTATTTATAGTATATTTATTTATTCGTTGCCTACTGTATTATACATTTTACTTATGTGAAATTATAAAATAAATTAAATCCAAACTGAAAATATTTGTAGGTTAGAATTAAGCGTGCGCAAAGCCGTTTTCACATAAAATAAAACAAGAAATTAAAAGATAAAGACTTCTTATTTTATTTGTTATTTTATTTGGCTGTATGAACGCATGTACGGTATCCCATATAACCAACTTTCTTATTTTATTTTATTTTATTCTTATTTTATTTTATTTGGCTGTATGAACCCACCATAAACGGAGAGAATTAAAATGGCGTCGAAATTTGTTCTAGAACAAATCTGAAGTTGTCTCTGAAATCTGTCAATTCTAAACTGTGAAGTTAGACAATAGTTAGAGAGAAACATTGCTGTCCTTGTCTAGGCGGCCATACTTGTCGTCAGGAGATGACAGGAATGACACTAATGACTGTTTCCAATTTTCCTATTTCACTGTCACCCCCCTGATGGCGACACCAGCCATCTTGATTACAGTTTTATTAAAAAATCGCATTTTATTCAAAATCTGAGTCAGATGGGTATAGGAAACCCTAATATAGTTTTAAGGATCATTTAAATCTGCTTCGACTTATTTAAAAAAATACATAGTGTTGCATTTGAAATAACGAAGTTTTTATGTAAAATAAATATTTAAAACAGACGAGCAATTTTTGATACCCCTGTATACATTTAAGGAAGCAATCAAATTTTTTAGTAAAGTTTATTTCTCTGGCTTGAAAGTCAGTACAAGAATTAATTCTGAAAAGTAATGTACAAGGTGTTGACAAACTTTTTTATTATAGTATGCATATTTAAATATCTTTAAATATCTTATAATAAATGCCGTATTTTATGCCCAAGAATCCAAAAATGAAATAAAATATCGGGTGTGTGTGTGTGTGTGTGTTCCATAAGAAAAAATATAACTTGGTATGGATCTTAGTTCTGATACACCCTGTGCATTTCAAAATAATTTTAAATTATGCACATTGCCTTCCCACATATACCCATAAAATATTTTGTTTCTACATCTTTCCGTTTTCGTATAATCAACCTAGGCGAATGAGGTGCGCCACCCTGTATATAGGATGTAGACGGTGTTTGAAATTCGAGTCTCATTACAGCTCAGTAATATTATGGCTCAAATTGCGATATATCCGACAAAATTCAGAAAGTTTTGAAAATTGGTAGGTATGTTGGGGATAGCATGTGGATTACTAAACCGAAAAGTTCCCACCCCTAAATAGTGTGCGTCATCCCCCAGGACACCGTTTCTACCCCCATTTTGAGTTTTTTTAGATAATCTCGGCAACGGCGCAATTCTCGACAAAAATACCTATATAGAAAATTGTTCTCCATAAAATTCTCTATCAAAAACTTTTTTTCTAAAGTTAATAATGCATTATTGTTAATAATAAATGGCAAATACGGCACAAATATAAGGGTTGGTTATGACTAGCACTATCTGCAGTTCAATATAATTTAAAGTTTAATGTTTAACGCTAACAAAAAGCAGTAACCACTAAAATTATACTTGGAATTTAAATATACGTTTCTCTCACACTCCTCTACCCCTATAAAAAGGGTGATTTGTACTTATTTCCACATCACCCTAGAAGTAAAGTAGGTATTTGATGCGTTTTTTAAATGGTATCCCCTGTAGGCCTAATCCACTAATTATCAAATGTTAAAGATGGGATTTTATTTAAAAGTTTAAAAGTGCGTCGTGCAAATCGTGTAAAGCCGATATCTAGTTTGAGCAATACAGTGAAAATTAATGGCAATGATGTTCAAGTTGACTCAACATTACTATTTCAAAGAATTATTTGCACCGTTCATTCTAGCCTGGAGTTAAACAAGTGGTTTAGTTTCGAATTAGCTTCACTACCTCTTTCTCTTTTCGATGTGAAAGGGCTAATGAGGAAAACTAATAAAGCAGAGCTTTATACCAGATTGTCAATAAAGTTCCAGAACGAGACCATATTTTTGAAAGCAGCGAGTATATGTCATTGAGGAGGATATTTGCTTCGCCGTGTAATATGGCCAAAAAAAGGCCATTTGACATTGTTTACAACGCTTACGTTAGTTACATAAAAAAAATTATGGGAATAGAGTAACTGTCGTGTTCGATGGTTATATGGACAATGCAAACAGCACGAAGAGCCTAGAATGAAAGAGGCGGCTACTTCAAAGAAGCTGTCCTCAAATTATATTTGACGAGAATACTGTTGTCTCTAAAACTGAGCAGAACTTCCTAAGTAATTTGTTTAACAAAGAACGTTTAATCACAGAACTAGTAAACAAATTTAGGAAAGAAGGTATAGAAGTATTTGTTGCTGCAGATGACGCCGATTTATTAATAATTCAAACTGCTATAGAAATATCTAATAATTGCGATACAACTGTTATAGTAGGGCAAGATATTGACCTGCTAATTCTTCTTATTGCACCTTCTCCGTCTGACAAAGATATCAAATTTTTAAAAGAAAAACAGGGTAATACTTGCAAAAGGATTTACAGTTCTCAAGATTTACAATCCGCAACTTTTTTAAAAAATTGCAAAAACACTATATTATTTGCGCACGGCATTAGCGGCTGTGACACAACCTCGGCTTCTTTTTCCAAAGGAAAGTTAAATGCAATCAATGTATTCGCTAAAAGAAGCGATTTACAACATATTGTGCAAACTTTCAATAATGAGAAATCTACTCATGAAGAAATTGGAAACGTAGGAGAGCAATTTATTTTAGCTTTATACAACTGTACCTCAGCAGAAAGCAGTCTAGTTGAATACCTATTTATGTACTTCAACAAATTTGTTGGTAAAGCCAACAACATTGTCATGTTGTCAACCAACTTCTGCTGCACACTCGGCAACACTCGTATCGGGTTTTTCACCAAATTCAAACATGGAGAGGAAAGGACAAACAAAGAGCCAGCCTCCGCATCTGTTTTAACGCTTATTTCATGTTCATGCAAATTAGGGTGCAAATACAGATGTAGCTGCAGAAGAGCATGCTTGCGTTATTCTACAATGTGTTATCATTGCCATGTGGAAGATGAAGATTACTAGTTAACATTTGATAATAATTATTATATTTTTAGGCCTACAGGCGATACCACTTAAAAAAACGCATCAAATACTTTACCTCTAGGGTGATGTGGAAATAAGTACAAATCACCCTTTTTATAGGGGTAGAGGAGTGTGAGAGAAGAAAGTATATTAAAATTCTAAGTATAATTTAGTGGTTACTGATTTTTGTTAGCGTTAAACATTAAACTTTAAATTAGATTGAACTGCAGATAGTGCTAGTCATAACCAACCCTTATATTTGCGCCCTATTTGCCACTTTATTACTAACTTTAAAAAAAAGGTGTAATTATCTTTTTGATAGAGAATTTTATGAAGAACAATTTTCTCTATAGGTATTTTTGTCGAGAATTGTACCGTTGCCGAGATTATCTAAAAAACTCAAAATGGGGGTAGAAACGGTGTCCTGGGGGATGACGCACACTATTTAGGGGTGAGAACTTTTTGGTTTAGTAATCCTCATGCTATCCACAACATACCTACCAATTTTCAAAACTTTCTGAATTTTGTCGGGTTTAAATCGTAATATTACTGGATTATTATTGGAATCTCCGAAACTAGAATTATTACTATAGTTTGTCCAACGAGAGGACAGTAACATAGTCGTCTGTCATTTTAATTAACAGGTAAATTGTATTTTCTGTCATTTTTTTGGGAGTCGCCTGTCTGACTCGTTGGACAGACTTTATACTACCAGCGACCGATTAAATTTAACATTTATTATTTATGAAACAATAAAAAATCTCTAGACCTAGATGTTGATATGAGCGCCTGGCTATAAGCTGGATTTTTACCTATAGTCGTCACTACACAGCTGGTAAAAAATAACGATTGTCCAAAACTCCAGTTGAATTCATCGGTTTGGTTGAATCCTACAGATATGCCTTTTTTCGTGGCTTTGACCACCTCCTGCATCAATTCCTCAAGCGATTCCTCTGTAAAAAGTAATACAAACATTCTTAAGATCGTATAGAAAAAAAATTGGCGCCGGGAGGCACGTATAGCCGCCCATACTAAAATATGTTAATAAAAAGTTGGTAGGCAGTTCTTTTAATTTCAAAGTAAAGGAATTTTTCCAATTTTGGTTCGCGGTTATTTCCCCTATCCGCCACCTAAGATTTTCTCAAAAACGGACTACGGAAACACGGAATATCTCAAAAACTGCAACTTTGACTGATTTTGATGTTATTACAAATTTTGTTGCAAATATTATTCTTAATTTTAAATTGAAAACCGCGTTTCGCTAGCTACTGTAATTTTGGAGTTACGATTTTTTAAATTTTTTAACCCCCTCCTATACCCCCTTTCCAACCCCCCACCCCCACCAAAAACTAATGGCCAGATTCTCGGGTGCCACAGTATTGTATGTGTATTGTGCCAAATTTGGTTAAAATCGGTTTAGCGGTTTTTGAGTTATCGTGTTACAGACGGACAGACGGACAGACAGACAGACACCAAGAAAACATTTTGTATTTAGGTCATTTACGACCCAAATACATAACGCATTTTGAGCGAAATTAAAAAAACTTTTTTTTCCGATCTTTTTTAATAGCCTACCATACCTATTGGTATAGTCGGCTAATAATAAAACCTAGATATTCACGGAATTGTCTTTATATAGTACAGGGTCAGTCAATAAATAGTAAAGTCGGTAAAGTTCAATATCTCATTTGTTTTGATTGAAAAAAATGTTAAATATCACTTTACTTTTAACGCCTATAAAGACGATTATTTCGCTAACTATGTTAGCGTCATAAAACTTCAGTGTTTTATTTTGCTGTTGTAACATTAAAGGTTCCAACCCCAACCAGTGCCTTCTATTAAAAGATCAGCCTCCGTGCGAGATCTATGACGTCACGCTAGTTAGATATAACGGACTAATAAATATGTTGTAGAATACATGGAAAACATAATTATTTCTCAGATTTTTGGTTTGTATTTTAAAAATGATATAGTTTACATAAAATATACATAATATACAGTTAATAACTACAACATATATACCTATTTATAGTAATAAATACTTTAGCAAATAAACTATGAACCAAACAAATGCAGCAAATGTTTTACAATGTACAAATAATGTATAGGTACATAAGATAATGGGTAAAATGTAAATATATTTTAAATTTTGGGGTTTGAAAATCGATCTAATTTAACAAAAAACATTCAATATCTACTAATAGTGATGTATTATTATTTGCATTCATAAAATTTATATGTATATTTTGCAAGTATCAATGTTCGAAAAAAGGCGTCAGCGATGGCTATGAAATGAAGATCGCTGGCATTTTATATGTAAAATTATTCTAAAATTTTTGATTTTCTTGGGATTTTTAGGTTCGGGAAAAACGCTGATTTAAGTTTTCATTTGGGTTTTCATTATTTTTATTTGGTTTAAAAAAACGTTTTGGCTAACTATAGCCTTCATCAGTGTTGTGTCATATGAGAAAAATAGTGTCGAATATACTCCAAAAAATTACATATACAATATAATTCACACCTCATAATGTTTACTGCAATTAATAAACTAATATAAACTTATCAAAAGATGACCACATATTTTTTAAAATTATTATTCTTAACACTAAAATTATCTACATTGACTATGGAGTACGCAAGTACGCAGTAAACATTATGTGTGTGGTGTGAATATTTTATATGTAATTTTTTGGATTATATTCAACACTATTTTTTTCATATGACACAACACTGATGAAGGCTATAATGTTAGCCGAAACGTTTTTTTTAAACCAAATAAAAATAATGAAAAACCAAATAAAAACTTAATCAGCGTTTTTCCCGAACCTAAATCCCAAGAAAATCAAAAAATTTAGAATATTTAGAAACAAGGTTCAAGAATATCAAATTTTCCAAGATTGTAAAATTCCAGTTAATTATTTTATGTGTACAGTTATTTAGGGAATGTCACCGATGTTCATTTCCAAGCCAACTAGATGCCGATTTTTTTCGATGATACGGTATAATTCTTACGTAAAATGTAAATAACATTAAACCAATTAAAACAAAGAAATATGAATTTCTTAGTATTTTTAGTAACACCTTTATTCTTAAAACTTAATTTTGTATTATGCAAATATACCAATTTTATTGTTATTTTATTCATATTGTATTCAGCCATCACTTAAATATTTGATATTAATTTGGTATTATAAATAATCAACACTATTCATTAAAAATTACTGAACAAATATATGTTATGCTTAACAACTTGACATACATTATATATTATCAAACAAAAACACATTCTTCTTTTAAACTGTATCAGTCTTGTCTTTACAAAAATCTTTTTTAAAATTTGAACTCAAAATAATAATCTTTTTCATGATCTTTAATAAACATATTCATTATTTTTCCCTAGATCATAATACCTACTTACGTGTTTGAATCTATCGAAGCTGAACCAACAACATTTGGAGTGGAGATTCCACAATATGCATAAAATAAACATAATTGTCCAGTTTTCACTAATACCATCATGGGAGAATATTATTTTTAAATTTATTAAAGATATTTTCAATAGAATTGTCTTGATTTATAACTCGTACCCACTTTTCTTGCTCTTCCGGACACTTTAGGCTGCCTAGTACTACTATCCTTTCCACCAGGAACACAACAAAGATGAGGCCATAGCACCAAAAACACACTCCACTTAAGCTTTATTGATGAATTGTTAGAGTCTTAAAAACACACAAAAATCACGATGAGTAAAAAATGTATGGGCACTTTTAGGTTAAATCACTTACACAACGTGTAATTTTTCAATTTTTCTATTTTTTTTATGCGAAACCGAGAGTGACCATATATCTGGTAGTAATTTATGTCACTTAAACACCAAAATAATTAGTTTTTTGCACTACAATAATAAATAATACCAAAAATCATAGAGTTAAAACCAAAAATCAACCGACAAAATATGAAACGGAATCTAACCCAATATCTAAGTATGTACAGCTGATGAAGTAAATAAAAATCCGCCTCCAGGCTGATCTTTTAAAGAACGGCAGTGCCCCAACCGTATTTATTTTAAGGAGTGATAAAATATACAGGGTGCTCCGAATTGTATTCCGGAAACTTCGGCAGTATATTATGCAGATAAAAATAAGTAAAAAAGTTCGTATAAATGTATGTTCTAAAATGCTTAGTTTCAGAGATACAGGGTGTAGAAGTTTCACTTTTATTTCGATTTTTTCCAAATAATTTCTCAAGTAATGTCAATATTTGGATGAAAATTGGTGTCTAGAAGTTTTTTAACATGAGAAATTTGATTTTGATGTCAATATGACACCTACTGGGAGAGGGCACCACCTACATGTGTTTGAACTGTTTTGATGCTTAATAACTTTTTGTCCGTGCCTGTATAAAACTGCCGAGGGAAAAAATATACATCTCTGTAACTTTTTACGTAATACATATCTCTTTTGAAAAATCGCTACGAGCAACCGTTCTCAAGATATTTAGAATGGAAATAGTCAATACATGTCATTATTGACGAAAAATAAACACGTTGAGTAGATAGTTATTTCACTGAAATAATAAATCTGGGAAACTTATTTTTTTTAAATTAATCATAAATTTTTCTACAAAAAACTGATGATACAACAGTTTGTGTTGAACTTTTGGCACAAAAACTTTCAAATTTATGATCTCAGTCTAATAACTAGTTAGTCATCATGCTTAATTTATGTCAATGGTTACCGTGACAGGTATTGATAATTTCAATTCCAAATATCTCGAAAACCAATACTCGTAGCGATTTTGACCAAGAGACATTTTTTATGTAAAAAAAGTCGTAAATGTATATTTTCTTACTCAGTGGTTTTATACAGGTACGGACAAAAAGTTATTACTCTTCAAACCAGTTAAAAAATATGTAGGTAGCGCGCTCTACAAGTAGGAGTCATATTGACATCAAAATCAAATTTCTCATGCCAAAAACTCCAGGCACCAATTTTCATCCAAATATTGACGTTACTTCAGAAATTATTTGGAAAAAATCGAAATAAAAATGAAACTTCTACACCCTGTATCTCCGAAACTAAGCAATTTGGGACATATATTTATACGAACTTTTTTACTTATTCTTATCTGCAGAATATGCTGCCGAAGTTTCCGGAATACGGTTCGAACCACCCTGTATAACATAAAATTATTTTTGAGTATACAGGATGCTTCAAAAAAGTTTAAATGCAGAATGTGCTGCATTTGATATCAATTAAACTTTTAGATATGCAATCGAGGGCACGATTTTTAAATTCATTGTTGCCAGCCATGGACATATTCGGCGCCGGGCTGACTAACTAGAATTTAAATTTCGCGCTGGGAATTCAGGGGGCAGCTCTGCTGTAAAAAATATCAAGTTGCCACATTTATTTATTTATTTCCTGACATTGTCATTTCTTTTGACACTTTAGTTTTGTATTACGAGTTTTTGGTTTAAATAAATAGTATTGTGATACTTTAAGCCTAAAAATGGTTAATAGCAGACCTTGCAGTCGAACATTGTTCTTTTTAGAACCTCCTTTAGTGCGAAGTGGTACAGGATAACTTAATAGCCGTAAAAAACTCCCCGCAACTTTATTAGAATATTTTGAACGGGAAAACGGTAGTAATGACCCTTTATCCCTTAAGTGCTATTAAGAAGGTGAGTTTTGTTGATGTAAATAATAAGCAACAGTTTGTATATTTATAATTAATTTTTTTTTGTTTCCTAAAATATTTTGATTAAAAGAAAATATGCAAAAGTGTGCAACGCTGTGCCGGTCAAGTTAATCACGTGACTAAAAGTTTATTTGATATGAACTATAGATTTAAAGCATATACAGGGTGTTTCAAAACAAATGCGAAAAACTTCAGGGGGTGGTTCCTCGCTAAAAATAAAGGGTAGTTTGCTTTATAAACGTTGGGTCAAAAGTCAACCATTAGGGAGATATCGCGGTACAAAGATGGCGGAAAAATAATGTTTTTATTTTTTATCTTGAAAACTAAAAGAGATAGACTAATGACATTTTATGGAAGCATTACTGTTATGAAAACATACATTCCGGTAATTTTTTCATTTTTTTAAAATGAGTGGAAGGGGTTGAAATAAACTACCCCTATAATTCTTATTAACGAAATTTAAAGAAAAATCTTATCAAACACATGCAAAAAAATTAATTTCGATAGTTTAGTTTGTTTAGAAACTTTTTAATCTCTTCTGTTTTTTTGATAAAACTCACCGATTTGAAATTAAAAATTAAAATGTAAAGCATTGCCTGTCAGGACAAAAAAACATTTTCACATAAAGAAAAAAGGCTTCGGAATAATTAATTGATCGTAAGATAATAACGTATTGCAGTAGAGTAATGTCAGATAAAATAATATTAGAAACATGACAGTGACAGCGGCCAACTAGATTTTTTCCTAAAAAAAATACAGCAGCTCACTTGATTCTTTATTTAAAAATGTTTTTTGTCCTGACATGTATTGCTTTACATTTTATTTTTTAATTTCAAATCGGTGAGTTTTATCAAAAAAACACAAGAGATAAAAAAGTTCCTAAATAAACTAAACTATCCAAATTAACTTTGTATGTGTTTGATAAGATTTTTCTTTAAATTTCGTTAACAAGAATGATAGGGGTAGTTTATTTCAACCCCTTCCACTTATTTTAAAAAAGTGAAAAAATTACCAGAAAGTGTGTTTTCATAACAGTAATGCTTATTTTTCCGCCATCTTTGTACTACAATATCTCCCTAATGGTTGACTTTTGACCCAATGTTTATAAAGCAAACTAGCCTTTATTTTGAACAAGGAATCAACCCCTGAAGTTTTTCGCATTTGTTTTGAAACACCCTGTATATGTGACCTGAGCGGTATTGTGAATGTGGAAAAAATACACTTGGAGTGGTCTAAATTTTCTATTTTGATTGGTATTATTAATTTATTTTGTGACAATTTTATTTTATACTACCCATATTTCTATAATTTACATTCTTTATTTTGAAGCATTTTTATAGAATAATCGCTAGTTCGTTTGAAAATTCGTCTGTTATATGTTCATGATATTTCTTTTGATGGTTCGCCCAAAAACCGACATTCTGCCGAACCGCCGCGCCGCGCCGCATTTACAGAATCAACGAACCGCACAACGAATAGTTAGTATGGGGCTTAAAAAATAATTTATATTTTATACCTGATACATTCGGATTGAGTTTTTTAAAGTTCTCTATCTTGTTTTCGAGGTGAATTCTGGCAGTGATTTCCGTCGAAGTTTCTAAAAAACTGAAAACCACAGCTCCCAAACACAAAAACACAATATAAATCAACACGTAAGAGGTGTAATAAAACGAAGGTTTTTCTATACCGAGCAGCTTAGAATTAACTACTACCACCGAATTACGTTTGTTACGAGTATTTAAAAGGGGTTCGTTTGACGGAGATATAGCGCCATACGTCCGAAATTCCATTTTTTTTAATATATTCACTTTTATCACAGAAAAATATCACAAACACTCGATAATTTAATCACTGTATAACAAAAAATAACACTAGGTAAAACTATGTTATTTAATTTATTTTAAAACTAATGAAACAACACGTTAAAGTCCTGAACGAAGACATTTTAAAATTCTTTGTGCGTTTTCTATATGTTGCTAAGGAAATAAATTTAGTATGAAAGATGATGAGTTCCTTATTAGTTTGAAAAACAGTAATAACACATCTTCTTATCGTACATACAAACAGTTAGTTGGTTTGAGATAAATGTGGTACTTGTAAGTGATATCGAGAGTACTAACACGTGAAATTGATAAATATTACATTTATAGTACAATTGAAATTACACGAAACCTTAAACAGTTAAGAATTATAATTAATATTATAAACTTTTCTTTAAATTGTTTTGATAGTTAATCTGTGCGCGCAAAATCTTGCAACTGAATTTAAATGAGTTTGTTCTCAACAGATTGTACTAAAATTCTGCATACACATTTGTAACAGCAAAATATTGATAATGCATACTCTGTAATACCATTGTGGTACCTTGTTTTCGTGTTTTACCTGTTGTTTGTGATATGTATTATTATTTTATAAAGTTTATGTCGTTTGAGTCACTTTTCATATAGCACCGAAGGTGCGAATCTTAGCCATATGCACTACTGATACTGGTTTAAATCTGCTCTTGATGCAAGTAGTTCAGCACCAAGACCGTTGGTTGGTAAATGTTTAGGCAGGAATTCTAGAATGGCGAATGATTGACTTTTTTAATTCTCTGAATGAAATGAACTATCCACAATTTATAAGAGATGAATAGCCAATATTATTAGAGGATCAATCATGATGAAATTGCATTTGTTGCAATTTCATCATGATTGATCCTCTAATAATATTGTTTAACTTTGCAAATGTCTCGGAATTCAAATTGACCAGTTTCTTGATTGGTCACACCAGTTTTACGTTTCGAGTAAAACAATATATAAACCAATAATCAAGGACAATTTTGTACTACGCTAGTTTTGAGTCACGTGTTCGATATGCCATAATATTTTGGGGAATAAGTAATTTAACAGAGAAAATTTTTATAATACAAAAAAGGGTAGTTCGTTGCATGAGAGATTTGTCTTTCAGAGAAAGCTGTAGAGGTGTGTTTAAAGAAAGCAATATTTTAACGGTGTACGGAATTTATATATATGAATGTCTAATTTTTTTCTTTAAAAATTGTTATCTATTTAACACAGCATGTCTACATGACTACAATACAAGAACACTCAATATCAACTTCCCTCGACATCATTTGTCGTTATCTGAGAAGCATCCGTATTATATGTGTATCAGATTTAACAGTCTACCTAATGACATTAAAAATATTATTTGTGAAACTCAATTCAAAAAACGAGTAAAACTTCTGTTAATTAATCTAGAAACATATTCACTTAGAGATTTTCTGTAAGTTTTTTTTTTCAAATTGAACTTTATTGGGCATTCTGTTGTGTCTAAATTGTTACAAGAACTACTTGTTTAGAATTTACTAATTGTTTATAATTTAAGAATCAAGTGCTATTTTTTTTTGAATATCGTATAAGAACTTTTGTTTTTTTTTTGTTTTTGACGATCATTTCATTTTGTGTTTGTGCAGGCGCTATGTTTTGTACCTACCAATTCTGAAATAAAGATTATTTATTATTATTATTATTATTAAACTATAAACTTTTCATTTCTAACAACAATTTCTCTTGACGGATGATAATCAAAGGCCAAAATGGCATTACTCGCTAATTTTGAACTATAATTAGTGGCAAAAGTTAAAACTTTGTTAACTTTTTCTACTAAGTGAAAACTTTCACTAATTTTTACGTTCTCAATGCTTAACATTGAAATTAGAGAAAAAAACTTCTACGCTAATCGAAACCACTAATTTATTCGACTAATTTCGAGGTTCTGAATGAAGTTTAATTGATACTGTAATAATAATAGCTAATTATTTTATTAACTTTAATTTATTAAATTTGAAAAACTGCTAACTTAGATGAAATTATGAAAAAATTGAATTTGTATTCTTTTAAAATATGTCAAACTTTTTATAGTTTTTAATAAGTTTAGTTGTGCATTGGTGGTTTAACTATTTATTTTATATGATTGCATATAAATTATTAACTATAAAATATTCTTTAGATGTTTTCATTACTTAAATTAATATGGGTACGGATGGCAACGAACTTTGCCATTAAAATTCTTACTTTATTATTTATAAGATAAAATTGTTTATATAAACAAGGATGAATCGTATCAATTTGTAGATATCATTTTGAGGGCAGACTAAATGGCAGAAACTATTATCCGCTAAATAAGCTATATGTATAGTCTGTCAAGCAAAAGAATTATAATAACGACAATTTAATGTCTGTCGTTTAAATTCGACAGTATAATTACTTTTTTTTGGTAAAAATGAATAAGTTAAAATAAAATATCAAAAAAACATGCTGTAGAATTTTTTAAAAACAGTGTACAGGGTGGGTCAAATTCGACGCTTTTAAATGGAAACACCCTTTTCTATAGGAGATAGACAAAAACTAATATCGGTGTCTGGAGCTCAATTTTTGTCAAAAACATGATGGTGAAAACCGCATATCGATATCTGTTACCGTTTCGGAGTTACGGGGTGTTTTTTAAAAATATGCATTTTTAACAAATTGCTGTAACTTTTTTGCTATGGAAAATTTTGTATTTTTATGAAAACATTTCCAAAGCACCTTTTTACGTAGAATTTAATGGTATATATTTTTTTAAATTAATAATTTAAGAATTATCAACAGAAAATTTGATTTTTTATATGGGACACCCTGTATATTTTTAATTTATTGTAAAGAATTTAAAATTACCTTTCCAAAAATATAACACACTTGATATTTTCCTCGATTCCTCTTCGAGATAGAGTATATAAAAATTCGCCCGGCTTTAAATAAGTAGGCTTTGAACGGCACCGGCTGTAATGCAAAAAAATTCTGGCTGTGAGCATCAATTAAAACGAAAATGATATTTACTATAAGAGATGCAGAATTTTATAACAATTTAAAATATATTTAACCAACATCAACAAATTTACACTATATCTAATAACAATAAAAATAAACAGCAAACCATGACATGAGATTTTGCTACAGGTTTTCGACATATCGACCGTCTTCTGTTATGGACAGACGGGGCAGTTTTTGAACATTTCTCGCGGAATTCATTAACTCAGTGGGGGTGAAAGATACCCTCTCATAACTGCTAAGTATTTCTAATTCTTGTCTAGATTATACGGAAGAATAAGAAACCTTTATTCTTCCGCAAATATATCCATAGGATTAAATCCATAAGCACTAAGTCAGGCGGCCTCGACGGCCAACGGCTGGGATCTTGGTTAGCTATTCAATTATTCTTGAAATTGGCTGCAAAAATTTGCTGATAACTTCAGCGTTCAGAGGCGGTGCGTCGTCTTGCTGGAGAAATATGTTTTCGAGTTCCATTAAGGGCATATCATCAATAAGGGGTCCAAAGCCTACTAGTTAAAAGTGGCAAACTTTTAAAAATTCTGTATTTCGAAGGGGATTATAATAAAATATCAAGTGTGCTATATTTTTGGAAAGGTAATTTTAAATTCTTTTCAGTTAATTAAAAATATAGAGGGTGTCCCAAATAAAAAATCAATTTTTCTGTTGATAACTCTTAAATTATTAATTTAAAAAAAAAATATACTTAAACCATTAAATTCTACGTAAAAAGGTGCTTTGGAAATGTTTTCATAGAAATACAAAATTTTCCATAGCAAAAAAGTTACAGCGATTTATTAAAAATGCACATTTTTGAAAAACACCCCGTAACTCCGAAATGGTAACAGATATTGATGTGCGGTTTTCACCATCATGTTTTTGATGAAAATTGAGCTCCAGACACCGATATTAGTTTTCGTCTATTTCCTATAGAAAAAGGTGTTTCCATTTAAAAGCGTCGAATTTGACCCACCCTGTACTATATGTGTATACTGTATATAGCTATAATAATGAACATTTATACAAACCTTAGCATTTTTACCTGTAAGAAGAGGATGCTTTACGAGAAAATTTTTTCTTACTATAGCAAAATCTCTAGCAGCTTTGGTTTCGATGGGTATTTCTATGGCCGAAAATATCGAGGCACCAATGTTGATGAAGATGAAATAACCCAAAATAAATAGGAGAAATTTGATTTTATCTAACATCGTAAGAATTGGATATAAGTAGGTAAGTGCTCTTTGACAAAAACATTTCTGTCAACAAGTTGATTGATATTTGATCAAATCATTGTCAAAAGTATTTAAAAAAGTTTATTAATTTATACAGGGTGTCTCCATAATCCTGTGTCTTCATAAATTGGGGGTAAAATTTCGTATCCTCTAGCTTTAAAACATAAAAAGGCACAAATGTTCTTTTCAATGACATTAGCAAGTGCAACAGGGTTTCTAAAAAATTAATTTCCTTAGAGAGTAAAAGCTTAATTCGAGTTCCAAAAAGTACGGTTCTAGAACGGTTTAAAACAATCACACAGTCTAATTACGACAATCATTCATGTCAAAAATTGCAAAAAATCATATTGTGCCAGTGTTTTGAACCGTTCTAGAACCGTACTTATTGGGTATGAAAACGTTACTCTATGGTCTAGAAGTATAAATTTTGCTCGAGAATTCTTGAAGTGAGGAGGTAAAAGAAGGAACTTTTAGAGGATAAAGTGGGTAAAAATTGAATCCAACTGTTACATCTGGGTTTAGAAACATCAAATATTAATTTATAAAATATTAGCTTTGTATATCTATAAATACATAAAATAATATACAGGGTGCGTCTCAAAAGTGGCTCATCCCTATAATTTTTTTATTTTTTTCAGATAAATAAGAGATTTGGTATGTTAGTATATGACATAAATTAGGATTTATTGACGTATTCAATTGTTTTCTGTCATTTCCTGTTTCACCGGAAATGACTTCAACTTTTGATTTTTAAATGGCACTCTCGGTGTTTTGTCGCTTTGTTCGATAGAAAATGACACTCTGAATAGAATGACATATCATATGTCAACTTTTGACATATTCGAATATGGTTTATTTGAAATTGCAACATGCGATTCATTACGACAATTTGACTCGAAATACCAAGTGTGTGGTATGAAATTATTGGTAAAAAATAATTTTTCCAAATATGCTAATGAGCCACCCTCGTTCCATTTGAAAAAATTGAGATATGATTAAATATACGATTTGGGCATCTTTTAACCGACCAGGACAAGACACTAGTGTTTTTAACACAAACATGGCACTCTAGATTGAAATTTAAAATACAATTTTTTGTCTTAAGTAAAAATGTCAAAAATTGACATATGATATATATTCATCTATTCAGAGTGTCATTTTCTATCGAATAAAGTAAAAAAATACCGATGGTGCCATTTAAAAATCAAAAGTTGTAGTCATTTCCGGTGAAACAGGAAGTGATAGAAAACAATTTAATACGCCAATCAATCCTAATTTATGTAATATACTAACATACCAAATCTCCTTTATTTATCTGAAAAAATATAAAAGTTATAGGGGTGAGCCACTTTTGAGACGCACCCGGTATAAACAAGGACATTACTGAGAACTGAGAACTCGGCTTTATGCAGACAAAGTAGCCATGAAAAGATATCTGAGTAAACATCTCAAGTAAGGAACGTGATGATAGAGCTTTTGGATCATACTGGCCACCCTGTTTATTTACATAATATTTAATTCTTAAAATAAATGTTCTATCCGTTATTAAAGCTCCGCTACAAAAAATAGAACCATCTTATATACATCAAAATGTAGATGAAGGAAAAATAATAAATTTAAGTAAAAAAAAAAGAATGCAATACGCTTTAAAATCAATAAAAAAATTCTGTTGGGTATTTAAAAAAAAGAGGCCCTTTAAAATCAATAGAAATTCCTGTAGTGCTTCATTAGGGCTTTATTTAACCCTAGTGCGCATGTCCTGCAAAGGGTGAGATCAATAAGGGTGGCGAATCTGACAGTGGATATCGCCCTTAATAGATGGTATTTGTATATTTTTATCGCGACAAGTGCAATACTATAATATGTAAGTTATGGCTTGATATTATTTATAGTTTTTGTAGTGGATATAAAAATATTGCAAAAAACTAAACCTGTAATGCAATTCTAGTTATATAGTTCATAATATCTATTGTGTTTGTGGAAATATAATTTTGTGTATATTTATGTGAAACTATTTGATTTACTACATACCTTCACGCAAGCTTACAAATATATAGTATTTAGGTAATTAGGAGAAAATATTAAACAAAAAAAAATGTTTTAAATATTATTGTTTTTTGGCATATTTAGTATTTGTTTTTATTGTACGTTTTTTTGCTTTTTTTTTATATTGTATTTAATTGTATTTAAACTTCTAAATTTTATTTTGCTCTTCCATATAAAAAATATTAAGCAGAACATTTTTTTCTCTTCCATGTTGGTAGTAAATAATAAATAAGAATAGTTTAATTTTACAAATTTGTTGTTGCCTTACAATTTATTACTCAGAATTACTTATTTTTTTAATAGGTGTTTATTTTTTCATTAACATTTTCAAGTGACAATTATTACAATTAATTTAAAATATTTTTATTGTAATTTAATTTCTCTGGTTTAGGCATATTTTTAGATAAACATTTCTTGTGTATGAAAGTCTAGAATTTTATTGAGTGATTAAATTTAGTTTGTAGATACTTTTTTTATTTTATATCTACATAGAAAAAATTATAATTTTTCAACATAAAAAATATTTTGTTTTTAAATTCTCGATCTAGCTTCTTCATCTTGAGTTTTGTCACTGGGAAATGACATTTCGACACAATGTGTCTACGTCGATAAAACCCAGCGGTTTTTACATAAAACAGATATTTTATTTTAAGCAACAGAGTATTCCATTTTGGTTGCAAAAGGAGGTTATCCCGCTTATTAGTAAAGATAGAACATTATGCATCTTTCTGCCTAACTAGAGTTATCTTTCTAGTTCGCGAATAAGAAAGCCTAATTAGAGTTAGGCTTTCTCATTATTTTCCAAGATACAGAAGGATTCACCAAATGTTGCAATTTCAGACACTCCTTTTGTATCTCATTTTTCTGAAAACTTATAACTTAATGTTTTTCTGTATATCACTATTTTTTGGAGATATTGACTAATGATATGTTTTCTAAATGGGACACCCTGTATATCTGACAAGAAATTTATTACTTTTTATAAGATTTTCAAAAATACATAACATAATAGGTTTCTTTTATAAACAACGACAAAAATCGTAATTTTTATATTACACGTCTTAATACAGTATGATCGAAAATAAAACGGCGTTAAAGACGGCAAGGCCAAGCCCTTACATGTGATTACTTGGTCCGTACTATTCTTTATTTTTTAATGGCGCTTACTGCCAGTTGCCTTAATTTTGAAAAGTGTAGTTTATTATTAATTATTTATATTGTAGTTTATTATTATTATTATTAAGTTTATTTATAATTCGAGAAAAAATATTGTTTTGGAAATTAGATTTGTGTGTCTGGAAACGTACTATCCTTTCGCAATCTTTCTATAATTTGTGTTAATTTTTGACAAGTCTTATGTAAGTTTTTAGTAAATGACGTCTAGAGACTGACCTCGACAAAATTATCATCTATTGTCATTCCCCAGTCGTTTTTTTTTTTCGATAATACGTTATTTTTTGTCATTTTTTGGACGTAGTTTGTTGAAATCTTTCCCGACTAGTTGGACAGACAGATAATAAGCAAGATAAACCTTATTGGCAACCAAAATAGGATACTTTAGTATATTGTAGATCTATTGGTAATTTTAAATTTCGGGGATGTCTTTAAAAAATTATTTTTTTAGCTGTTTAATGTCCTGTCTCGGCGACTGCCTGGACATGGGCCCCCCTCCGGACACCATACTGTTTATGCCGCCGCCCCCCGCACCCATCTTCGTCGTCCCAGACTTGACACCTGTCAACACGACGCACTGTTTCACCGCGCAGATTTGCGATCCAACAGTTATATGGTCACCGCCTGGAAAGGTAACTGTGGATCATGGAGAATTTCTCGAACTGCCTAGAAAAGGTAATAGGCTAATTGACCAAACCAAACCTAACCAACCTTTATATAACAAAGTACCCTATTTTTTAAATACCTTGTTTACATTTGAAGGGTCCAGGGGAAAATCTTGATAAGCGCCAGTTTCTTAGTTTTAGGATTTTACAATATCATAGTAAGTAGGTTTGACTGGTCTCTACAAATGTATAAACTCTACAGGACAATAAGTTGTTAAATCCTAGGATATACAGGGTGTCCCAGGCTGAGCGTGCATTAGAAGTTTTTAGAGAACTACAATATCTAGATCGGAGATTTTTTGCACATAACTGTTTAACAACGAGATCTATCGATTAAAAATATTTTCAGTATGGCGGCACTTTCGGAAATACCGGAAGTTGACAACAACTTTCTTATTTTTAATGGGTACTCATTTTTTATTACATACTTAAATTCTCTGTAAAATTTTATGAATTTTGATTTAAACACTCTATATCTAACATTAACCGTTTTTGAGAAAAAAAAAAATAAAAATTTTTGGAGAAAAAACTGCGTGTCAAAAAAATCTGTTTAGCCTAAATGACAAATTTAGTGATTACCAGAGGGGTTTGTGGAATAGGACATTTCATAGACAAGTTTATTTTGTCACCGCGCATCCAAGACGCGCATAGCGTTTAGGCGGTCAAAAAAGGAAGTTTTCAACTTTGCAAGTTAAACATTTGACAGGATTAATTAGATTGTCAGTAGCTTTTTCTATTTCTTAGTTCTAGAAGGGGATAACTAAAATCTGCTAATAATCGGAGCAAATCGGAGTAATAAATTGTTTTTAACTGAATGTGGAACTGATGCAGTATTTTTCCTCCAAAAATTTTAAACATTTTTTTTTCTTAAAAACGGTTAATATTAGAGTGTTTGATATCAAAATTCATAAAATTTTACAGAGAATTTAAGATTGTTATAAAAAATGGGGATTCCCATTTAAAATAAGAAAGTTACTGTCAACTTCCGGTACTTCCGGAAGTGTCGCCATATTGAAAATATTTTTAATCGATAGATCTCGTTGTGAATCATTAATGTGCAAAAAATCTCCGATCTAGATATTGTAGTTCTCTAGAAACTTCTAATGCACGCTCAGCCTGGGACACCCTGTATACCTAGTAAAAATTTAGAATACACGGAAAGAATCTGACAACAACCAGCCGTCCTGTAAAATTAGTAAAATGGCGCTTATCATGTTTTTCCTCTGGACCCTTCATTTATATTTTTTTCCTATTACTGTTGATACTCGAATTTTCCAGATATAGAGACTAACTGGAATGTTTCAGGCATTGACGATACCTGGCTCTTGGTTTTAGTAGCTTCATCAATTGGTGTTCTTTTATTAGGAGCTTTGTTAGCAATGTTCTTACTAAAATGTCGAGAGTAAGTATTTTTTTTTACTTTAGCAGAAGTAAAAGTTTAAAGTAAAATATTGCGAGTAAACTAGTTGTTTGAACCCGAATTTTCCAGTTTCAAAGATTGGTGTATCATACAATAACATATTGTGATAATTGTCTTTAAATTCCAAAAATGTTACTTAGAAATATGAAGAACATCTTACTAAGAGTAAATAGAAACACTAAAAACATCTCACCACAAAGTTTCTAACAACCAATTTTTTGTATCTTTTGTATTTAATAATTTTGATTAGTCTATCATAGATTAACAAGTTATGTTAATATTTTTTTTCTATAACACTATGAAGCTATTGTAGGTATTCTTGAAGCATCTTCTTTTTTTATTGTCTAGGATGAATATTTTCGGTGGTACTGATCACTGTTCGTTGCACAGTCGCGACCATCAGCCTATCAAGAACATCGACCCAAGAGATTGTGGCGCTTTGACCAGTTTGAACAGTAAATTGATCCATCCCACTGATACAAACTTTTACAATGGAATGTCCAGCATGCAGGACAATCGAATGGTTTGGGCTGCGCTGACGCCCAGAGGAACGCAACACTTTATTTCCGAGAGTTATCCAAGGTAACGTTATTACTTAATACCAGAAATGGGTAAAATAAAATACAAAAAGACTATTAAATTACTCTAACACAGCCTATACCTGGTCCGTCTCAAAAGTGGCCCACCACTATAATTTTTTTATTTTTTCAGATAAAAATACGAGATTGGGTGTGTTAGTATATTTTATAAATAATTAGGATTGATTGACGTATTCAATTCTTTTCGGTCACTTTCTGTTTCACCGGAAATGACTACATCTTTTGATTTTTAAATGACACCCTCGGTATTTTTTAACTTTATTCGATAATAAAATGACATATCATATGTCAACTTTTGACATTTTCGCTTAAAACAAAATTGTATTTTTAATTTCAATCTAGAGCGCCATGGCTGTCTTAAAAACACTATTTTTTAATCAAGTTACCTTGGAAAAATAGGTTTGATAGTCTAATGTTTTTAGTGTCTTGTCCTGACCGGTTAAAAGACGCCCAAATCGTATTTTTAATCATATCTCAATTTTTTTCAAATGGAACAAGGTGGCTCATTAGCATATTTGGAAAAATATTTTTTTTACAAATAATTTAGTACCACCACTTGATATTTCGAGTCAAATTGTCGTTATGAATAGCATGTTGCAATTTCAAATAAATCATATTCGAAAATGCCAAAAGTTGACATATGATATGTCATTCTATTCAGAATGTTATTTTCCATCGAATAAAATAACTTTTTAAGCCCTCCATAAAAATAACAAAATACCGAGGGTGTCATTTAAAAATCAAAAGTTGTAGTCATTTCCGGTGAAACAGAAGTGACCGAAAACAATTGAATACGTTAATCAATCCTAATTTATGTCATAGATATGGAGGCTAAAAAGCCCTCCATAGTTATATACTAACATACCAAATCTCGATTTTTTTGTCTGAAAAAAATAAAAAAGTTATAGGATCATTTTTGAGACGCTAAACTAAAAAAAAAACTAGACAAATTCTTAAAAATTAATAATTTAATGTAAAACTGCCTAGTTAAAACTGCACAAACAAATATTTTTCTTGAATGTCTTTTCTCTATGAATTTAAAATAAAGATGGTGTGCTCATCAATTGATCATCATAATATTATACAATAGTTCTAGTAATACTTATTTCTAGCATCAATAATAAAAGTTTATTTTAGGGATTTGATAGATTATGGTGAACCTGAAGACCACTACGAAACTATCGATAGTGTAAATGCTAATAGGCAACCAGCAAATCACAAGGCAAATTTTGAAGATTATTTTTCGCGCCAAAAAGGTATTTTGGATTAATTAATTTAAATTGAATGTATTTTTTAACGAATTTGTTTTAGACTATGATTACGAAGATCCCACTCCATTAATCGAAAGCTATCAAATGAACAGCATGGATAATTTGGAGGAACACCAATATCAAGTCATTGGTAAGTTCTATGTATATAAAAGCATCCAGAAATAGCTGAAATCACACAAACGTATAGTTTGTTCTTTTTACGCAACTTTTCTCAATATGAAACAACACGATCTGTCAAAGCAATCTAAAGTATGTCCAATACAAGTCAGGAAAGATTTTGACCTTCGAATCAAAAGACTACAGGAAGGACTTGATCTAGTCTATAAAATGAATAACTTTGAATTTTGACCGTTATTTTTTACCAACATGGCAAATATAAAATCCCTCTATCAAAAAAGTTACTGATATTCTTTAAATCGAGTGCCTGAACGAATCAGATAGGTAACTCTTTTTACTTTCGTGAAATAGAAAAGGAAAATAATAAAACAAGTGACAGTTCTTACTCTTCTTATACTCTTCTTGCAAAAATCAACACTAAATGTCATAATTGTCAAAAGTAAAATGTCATCAACTTTTGACATTTCTAATTATCAGACCAATGCCGTCTCTAATAGAACAGCCTCGGAGCCATATTTATAACGTCACCCTAGTTAGATACTACGGATTAATAAATATGTTGTAGAATACATGGAAAACATAATTATTCCTCGTATTTTTGGTTCTACTAAAACGTTTTTTTTTAAACCAAAAAAATAATAAAAACCAAATGAAAAACAGCGTTTTTATAATAATAATCAGCGTTTTTCCCGAACCTAAATCCCAAGAAAATCAAATTTTTAGAATAATTTTACATATAAAATGACAGCGATCTTTATTTCATAGCCATCGCTGGCGCCTTTTTTTCTATGATATTGTATTATTTGCAAATATAATTTTTTGAACATTGATACTTGCAAAATATACATATAAATTTTATGAATGCAAATAATAATACATCACTATTAGTAGATATTGAATGTTTTCTGTTAAATTAGATCGATTTTCAAACCCCAAAATTTAAAATATATTTTACATTTTACCCATTATCTTATGTACCTATTTATTATATTGTAAAACATTTGCTGCATTTGTATGGTTCATAGTTTATTTGCCAAAGTTATTTATTACTATAAATAGGTATATACCGGGTGCGTCTCAAAAATAGCTCACCCCTATAACTTTTTTATTTTTTCAGATGAAACAACGAAATTTGGTATGTTAGTATATGACATAAATTGAGATTGATTGACGTATTCAATTGTTTTCGGTCACTTCCGGTTTCACCGGAAATGACTACAACTTTCGATTTTTAAGTAGCACCCTCGGTATTTTTTTACTTTGAATCGAATGACATATCATATGTCAATTTTTGACATAGTCACTCAAAAACAAATTTTATTTTTAATTTCAATCTAGAGTGCTATGGCTGTGTTAAAAACACTAATTTTTAATCAAGAAGCCTTGGAAAAATAAATTTGATCGTCTAATGTTTTTAGTGTCTTGTCCTGGCCGGTTAAAAGATGCCCAAATCGTATTTTTAACCATATCTCAATTTCTTCAAATGGAACGAGGGTGGGTCATTAGCATATTTGGAAAAAGCATTTTTTTACGAATAATTTGATACCACACACTTGGTATTTTGAGTCAAATTGTCGTTATGAACCGCATATTAAAATTTCAAATAAACCATATGCCAAAATGTCAAAAGTTGACATATGATATGTCATTCGATTCAGAGAGTCATTTTCTATCGAATAAAGGAAAAAAATACCGAGGGTGCCATTTAAAAATCAAAAGTTGTAGTTATTTCCGGTGAAACCGGAAGTGACCGATAACAATAATTGGATACGTCATCAATTCCAGTTTATGTCATATACTAACATACCAAATATCGTTGTTTTATCTGAAAAAATAAAAAGTTACAGGGGGTGAGCGTATTTATTACTATAAATAGGTATATATATTGTATTTATTAACTGTATATTATGTATATTTCATGTAAACTATATCATTTTTAAAATACAAACCAATAATACGAGGAATAATTATGTTTTCCATGTATTCTACAACATATTTATTAATCCGTAGTATCTAACTAGCGTGACGTCATAAATGTCGCTCTGAGGCCGTTCTATTAGAGACGGCATTGCGTCAGCATGGCCGCAAGTTGCTAACCTAATAAAATTAACACTAGAAAAGCCCGCGGGAACTGTCAAATTCAAAGTTATTCGTTTTACGGACTATAGTATACCATTCTATTATAAAATTTATTTAGAATAAACTAATTATTGTTTCAGTAACGTATCCGTATTTTTGTTTTTAAATAATTATAATAACTAATACCATTTACACTCAACGTAAAACAAAACCACCGAATAATTGAGTCTATCCTAAACTATATTTTAACACTGATAAACCGGAAACTCAGTGAGCCATATTAACGATCCATCTGATAATTTTGTTGATATACTTCTTCCTCAGACTTTTTATTCAAAGATTTTTAAGACATTCAAAGACAGATAACACCCAAAAAATTACAGTACATACAATTTACCTGTGAATTAAAATGACAGACATCAACTGTCACGGTCTCATGTATCTACTCATTAAATAGACTTTACTTACTAACGGATTTTTGTGAAAGATACATGGTATCCCTTAATGACATTCTAATAAATAATGAGGTGATTCTTGGACCTATTCTAAGAAAAAACTTCAGATGAGTGTATATGTCCTAAACATCTTAACTTTTGAGATACAGTTTGGTAAAATTTGACAAAATATTTACCTTTTTTTCATAATAACTCTGATGTTATTACAGATATCTAGATAAAATTTATACACGTCAGTAAGAAAAATGGTTTTGCCCGGAAAAATGCAAAAAACTGCGTTTGAGTGATTTTGGCGCTCTCTAACTGTGTCCTCGTAGGTTTTAGAGGTTTGTTACTTAGAAAGGAAAATGTAGAGAATTTAATTCTCTTCATTATTTGTTTCATAAAATTTTTTGTGAGATCTACGGTTCAGCCAGAAAATCGAATCCAAAAATTTTTTTCAGTTCCTCAAAAACGCTATCTTCAGCGCACCTAAAAAAATCTCAAAGACGATCAGAGAATGTTATAACGATCCTCAGTTCGATTCAACATCGTAATCAGCATAGATAAATTGCAGTACTCTATAGACCGTCATTGATTTCATGAAAGTTGCATACACATTGTGGAAATGAATGCAAATATTTGCGAGATCTCGTAAACAGTAAAACGCAAAAAAGTTACATAACAATTTGATAGCTTTTTATGCTCTTTAATTTTAAAAACTTTGCGTTTGAGTGATTTTGGCACCTTCTAACTTCGTCCCCGTAGGTTTTAGAGGTTTTATTTAGAGATGAATTACAGTAGAGAATTTAATTCTCTTCATTCTGTATCCCATAAAATTTTCTGTGGGACCTACGGTTCAGCCAGAAAATCGAATCCAATTTTTTTTGGGGGTTTCTCAAAAACGGTAGGGTGGGGGTGGGGGATACGAATTTTCGGATTTAAGATTTTAAGAACAAACAAAAATTCATATGAAGTATTTTCCTAAGAAAGATCCAAGAATCGTCCCCTTAATTATTAGCATGTCATTAAAGAAACACCCTGTATCCACCTCTAGTTTAGTGTTCTAAAATATACCTTAGACTAAGTGGAAACTATTTTAACATAAAACAGGCTTATTTTCAGGAAATACAGATATGCGATGCGCAAACTTCGGTACGAATTCCCTCAGGAGACCGTTTCCAATAATCCAAAGACCAAGAGTTTCGTCTCCTACCAGAATCGAACACCCCAACCTACCACCCCTCAATCTGTACCCGCAGAGGAGCAACAACAATACCCTGAGGAAGACCGCCACAACGAGTTACAGAAACGTTGATACAGGCGTGGTGCCCAAATACGGAATTTAATTTGAATTTATCAGAAAAAAAAAATGTTTTTTTTGTATTTTGAATTTTTATTGATAGCATTTTTTTGGCTCAGAAAAATAAGTAAACTTAGAGGTGCCAAAAATAAGTAAATTATTAGAAGTATAATCTAAGTGTACTTATTTCTCTGAGATTCTTATTCAGCCTGAATCTATCTCGAAAATTCCGCAACAAAAACTCTTTATGGAATATCGAATGTGAAAACAGCAAATTAAAAGTTATTTCTGTAAAAAAACTAATTTAGATTTTTTTTCTAATTTAAAAACAAAAAAAATCATTGGTTTTGTGGTGAAGTGACACCACTTTACACTGCTCACTTTAAAATAGCTTTAGGCAATGAAATAAAAGACACCTTGTATAAGTAATCAACGTTATTTTTTTGTAATGTGATATATAATGATAGTAACATATTTATCTGTAATGTATTTACTCATCCTATACCTAACTTTATAAAGTAGATCAACTCTTCTAGTCATCAAATTTACCAAAATTATTATATATGTAATTAATGTAAATCCCCTAAGAAAAGCCTGATTACTTTGAACCTATTTAAGAAATTAAAATATGTTAGTTTCTTCGCTTTAACAATTTTAGTAAGTTTCAAAGTGATATGCTATTCTTACTTTTCAATATAGCTGTATGTAAAATTTATAGTTTTTTGTACCTGTTAATTTTGATGTAATAAACTGTAATAAATTAAAGAGTTTGACTTTTTAAACGCTTTGTTGTACTTGGAACCAGATTTTTGCTTTTCTCATTTTGCTTTTATTATATCGTATAAATAGCATATCGTCCTGTCATAAAGTTCCAAAAAATAGTTAGCTTGCATTTGTGATCTTTGAACCCAATAGCTTTCAATATAAAATACTAATCTATTTTATTTTTAAGTGTTTGTATTAGTGATAATAGTTCAAGAAAATTAAATTTACAGTGAATCTGTCACAGAGTTCCAGAAAATAGTTAACTTACATTTCCTATAACAAACAAAAACTATTTTCATTTTATGTGTGTTGTATACTAATACAGAAGTAAATTACTGTAAACCTTTCACAAAATTCCAGAGAATATAGTCTTGCATATGTGATATTTGAATCCAATGGCTTTTATACAGGGTTGTTCACCACATACGACACGGAGTATTGTAGCTAAACGATGAGATTTTTACAAATTGTAAGTTTGGGGTTCGTTGAAGGACTATTAGAGCTACAATTTAAAAATATTTTTACAAGATACAGAGTGTCTCAAATAAATAAAAAATATCAAAGTTGTATTTTTTTAAATGGAACACCCTGTATATTATTACATTTTTAGTTTCTACGATTAAAATAAAGGTAAATTTGATTAAGGTTTATTATACTTAAACATTACGTTTTTGAAATATTTTCAATTTTGTGAAATTGCAGTAAAAATTTTAAAGCTTTATTTCTCCAAGGGTATCAATGTTTTTAATACTAAATATTTAATGAAGTTTATTTATTGATCAGTTATTGTGTTGCAATAATAAAAATAATACTACTTTATAGAGAGTGTCTAAAAATTTACTTTAAATAATTATTAACTTCAAACGGCAATAACTTCTTTAATTTAAATAGAATGCCCTGTATATTTTAGGAGAATCAGATGCACAATTAAATTGTCTATCAAATTGTATTATGCCATTTTTTACCTATCCCTTCAAGTTTTCGTAGAAACTGCATTTTCTTATAATTTAGACCTCATTTATCAATATATCCATGGAATATTGACATTTTAGATTGTTTTTAAAGCAACAAATGTACAAAATGTACAGACTAGTAATATTATCGTTTTTAGCAAAACGATAATATTACTAGCCCATTTCTATGCAAAAAGAAAACTATTTAAATCTTTATAAAAGTGTTCGTTAATAAATTATTATAAATAAATGTGGATTTGAGTCAGAAATCAATATAATAATAAGTTATCAAATTAAAGTCTCTGTTGTTATAAATAAGCATTTATTAAAAATGAAATATCATTTTTAGTGTTACTTTTTATCACACTGTCTAATGCCCATACAAAATTCAGTTTTTTAGTATTTGGAGCAATTATTATTAATCAACGCAAACAGTCAGTTAATGTAGTTTGAATACTGGAATCATATTAATTGGTCCTCTTTAACAAATATTTAAACAGTTTTTTTTTTATTTTTTAATGAAATAAACGAATTATATCGACAATATTAGTATCTGTACTCTTTAAAAATTTGGTACATCTTTAAAAATAATCTAAAATGTGAATAGTCCATGGGTATATTGATAAATAAGTTCTAAATTACAAGAAAATGAATTTTCTACGGAAACTTAAAGAGATAGGTAAAAAATGGTATAATATAATTTGATAGACAATTAAATTGTGCATCTGATTCTCGTAAAATATACAGGGTGTTCCATTTAAATTAAACAAGTTATTGCCGTTTGAAGCTAATAATTATTTAAAATAAATTTTTATACACTCTGTATAAGGTAGTATTATTTTTATTATTGCAACACAATAACTGATCAGTAAATAAACTTCAGTAAATATTTAGTATTAAAAACTTTGATACCCTTGGAGAAATGAAGCCTTAAAATTTTTACTGCAATTTCACAAAATTGAAAATATTTCAAAAACGGTAAGGTTTAAGTATAATAAATCTTAATCAAATTTACCTTTATTTTAATCGTAGAAACTAAAAATGTAATAATATATAGGGTGTTCCATTTAAAAAAATACAACTTTGATATTTTTTACTTATTTGGGACACTCTGTATCTTGTAAAATTATTTTTAAATTGTACCTCTAATAGTCCTTCATCGAACCCAAAACTTACAATTTGTAAAAATCTCATCGTTTAGCTACAATACTCCGTGTCGTATGTGGTGAACAACCCTGTATATAAAATTCTAAAACAGTTATATTTTTAGTGTTTTTAATAGTGGAAATATTGCAAAAAAAGTGAAGGCTGCCCAAACATTGCTAAGACTGAGGTTTCGTGCTTTCATCTTCACAACTTACAAGCCAAGTATGTACCCCAGGTCAAATTTGGGGATCAACTGGTAAAATACAACTCTCACCCAAAATACTTAGGAGTCACATTGGATCGGTCTTTCACGTTCAAGCCACACCTCACTCAATATACACCTCTATACACCTCACAATAATATACTGCACAAGATCGCAGGTAGCAGCTGGGGAGCAAACGCCAGGGTACTTAAAACACAACTGCAATGGCCCTCACATATTCGGTGGCAGAATATTGCTGTCCTGTCTGGATAAATAGCAATCATACTCATCTTATTGACATTATAACGGGCACTATCAGAAGCATTCCGATCCAATGGCTCCCTGTATTATCAAACATTACTCCCCCTCATTTGAGAAAACAGGCGGCCCTAGTCAGAGAGTGGAAAAAGTACACCAGCAATGTTCATCTGCCCATTCATGATGATTGAGAAAATTTCTTGAATCGTCTGAAGTCCAGAAAACCGCCATGGGTATTAGCTACTAAATTCCAACTTTCGGGTTGAAGACTGCTGGCGAAATGAATGTTCACAAAATAATCCTGACCTTCATCACTTGATAACTGACCCAGTACTCTGCCCTCTGGGATTCAATTTGCCAAGAAAAACGTCGACAACACTCAATCGGTTCAAAACTAACCATGGCAGAACCCGCTTCTGGACACACAAATGGGGACTAACCGACAGCCCTAACTGCGATTGCGGACATTCCGAACATACACCTTTTCATATCGCAACAGAGTGCCCATTAACAAAGGCGCAGTTCTCTTTAAATCGTCTTCATGAGGCTGACCAGGATGCTATAGAATGGATCGCAGAGCTAAATCTTGTAGTGTAAATTTATAGTTGTTCGTTTTTACTGGTTTTTACTGTAACTTTGTGATATGTCTCTTACACATCTAATTGTTGATTTTTGAATTGTTTGGATTATTGTATTGATTTCTTTTTTTTTCTTGATATCATGTGTACTCTTAATATGCCATACGAAATATATATGCCAAAAAAGTAAACCTACAGTGAACCTGCCACAAAGTTCCAGACAATAGTTGACTCGCACATTTGTGATCTTTGAACGAAACCAACATTTTTTTTTAAACAACTTAGTTTTCAATAATATCATAAATTAATATTTTACATTACTACAACCAGGTCTAAAGTAGTTTCAAACAATGATTCATCCCCCTCATCTAAAATTCAGTCAATAAACCTATTTTTAATCCATTTTTATACAATAACTGGAATTACATTTTAATTTGTTGCTCTCAGGATTAAATAGCAACAGGATTAAAACTTAATTTCATTTTTAATTCAATTCAAATAGGCTAAAACTAATTCAATATAAATCAATAATTAAAAAATCCCACAAGATACGGACTTTAACTCTGATACTCTATGTGTATATTCCTATATTTGCTTGGTTGTTTGTTCAACTACGTTTCTATAGAGGTCGCCACCGATATCTTAATTGAGTTATTATAAAAATATAATTAACTGATTATTGTTTTTATCACCCGTTTTAATTATAAAATTACTTGTTGCTAAGCTTTAAGGCTATGTACTGACAAATATAAGTTGTCTCTTCGCCTATTCTGTGTGATCTGAGTGACCGAACAAGGTATGTATATATTGTTCTTGCATTACTTTATTTTTTATATTAATTAATTAATATTAGAGAAACCAGAGAGTCTTTTTTGTATTAATTTTGTACATTTTTATCACAAAACATCAAGGAAGAGATTAAAACCAAATTACTTACTTGTAACATCGTATAATCAACATTTATAAAATTCGAAACAAAATCAAGGAAACTCAGACATAGGTATTTAATAAAAATATATTTATTCTAATTAGGCACCCTTAGTTTGCATTTTCCGTTTCATTTCATTTGATATTTTGTTATTCTTTTAATTATATCACATTGTTACAAAACTCAAAAAAATGCAGTTCATTTTATTATCAAAAAAATAATAGTTAGGTACTAAAAGTTTTGTCACAATATAATATATAAATACATATGTACAAAATTAATTTCATCGTCTTTGTACGACAAATAGAATATATAAAATTAAAATATAAAGTTTAAAAAACCTCAGATGCTGAGAATCATAGCCCTAAAAAAATTGTCACTTAAGAGGGAAAATAAAATTAACGCTTAACAAACCTAAAACTAAATGCAAGTAGTTATTAAATAAATTAAAAAATCTAAATGCTATTAATAACAATAGCCTCTCGCTTAATTTAATTAAAAAAAACTAAATCTTTAAAAAATGTTCGGACAAATTTCCGAATTTTTAAAATTTTAGGAACTATAGCAAAATTAACTAAAAAAATTAAGCCTTCATCATGTCTGGTCCTCTGGCTTATTCTGTGATATATCTGAAACAAAAAAAATAATATAGCAAACAAATATACAGCGTCTTTAGTCTTTAGTTAGAGTTTCCAGTCAATTTTTTTGGAAATTCTGGACAAGTGAGCTCTGTAAGCCAGTGTAAGCCGGACAAAATCCGGACAAAAAATAAAATTATGAATTTATATACAGTATGTCCCCGGATTCTCTTTACAAGAGAAAAACTTTTTATTATTGATATTTTGAGAAAAATGCATTCTTCATAAAATGTTTGCTTGTTCTAAAATGGTTAATCCCGTTTATACTTTTCAAAATGTCCATACCGTTTTAGAGAAAATTAAAAAAAAAATGTATAGTTTGATATTTTTATAAATTTATCACCAACTGTTTTAAACAGACATTTTAAAAGTTTTGTACCGGGTGTCCCACTAAGAATAGCTCTCGGCTGTATCTCGGAAAGTATTAGTCGTAGAGCTTGCGGAAAAAAATATTTATAACTAAAGAGGGCATGAAAAATTGCTGGAAATTATTTTCAAGTTTGTAGAGCGGCCGCTAGAGGGCGCAACTGCTATTAAAAATAAGAAACTGGAGTTTTTACACAATTTTGCCTAGGCAACGGATACGATAAATAATAGATTCATAATCTTCAGTAAATTTTGCATATTTTTTGTTAGAACCATTTTCCCCTATCTGCCAAAATAAAGTGGTGGGGGAAGGTTAGATCTGTTTTTATTTAAACATTAATAACTTCGGACTGGATGAACGGAATCTCGTTTAAAAACGAGAGGAAACGGGGGCTCGTTTAAAAGAGCGTTTCTTACTCTATATTATAATAAACTTACTCTCTATAATAAACAATAATAATAAGCTTTTGAATGTACACGCTAGGGGGCGCTGTCTTACAATTTAACAAACATTGCGCGTTTTTTCAAAAAAATTAAATGCGATAGTATATATAATTTTAGCTAATAGCCTTGTTTATATATTCTTAAAGTTGATCAACCGACTAGACAAAATGTGCTGCCAACTGGAGGACAAATCGTGAACCTTTCGGGGCGGAGTCAAAAATATCGATTGTTTTCGTTATTTTCCTCAGAGTAATGTAATAAAATAGCCCGGGTTTCTGCGAACTTTAATAGTGCTCAGTTGATTAAGAAATTTAAACGAAACTTTTATTTTATTGTAAATTGTGGATTATTTTTACCTGTTATTTTAAGAATTCTAAACCGTATTAACAAAGAAATTAATATTTCGATATGTTGGTACATTATTTATAATTTATGATAATGGCTGTTAATTAATATTTAAAAAAAAGTTACATACTAATTTAATTTGATTTAATGCAGGTTTATAAAAGAATCATTTCATTTTCTTTAAAACATAAAACTTTTTATATTTTTGGTGCCAACTAACTGGCATGGTATTATTGGTATGGAAATTAGCCAAGAAAGAAAAGAATTGGCTATAACTTGTAATTTTTCGAAAAAAACATATTATACCTATATCGCTGAAAAGCTTAAAAAATGGCGCTTTTTATGAAGTCATGGCCAACTATGGTTTCCATTTAAAAAAAAACATAATGTTTGTGTCATATGTCAAAAATGACAGGCTTTAGGAAAAAAAAAACAGAAAACACAAACTCATTAGGTATGTGATTATCTACAACTTTTATCTGAAACTTTTTGTCTAAAATACCGTATGATCGAATAAAAATGGCGTTAGCGATGGCTATGAAATGACAATCGATGATATTTCCCATATAATTTTACATATAAAATGACAGCGATCTTCATTTCATAGCCATGGTTGACGCCGTTTTTATTCGATCATACGGTAGATTATAATGGAATTAGAGACAAGTTTTAAAATAGCCAAAATTTGTTTTTTTTTCGAAATATCTAGTAAGCCTTGAACTTCTCCGAAAAATCCGAAAGGCGCATATTTATGACCCCACAAAACTGCAATTATTCTTTCCCCATTTAACCGACTCTCTATCTCCAGTAGTTTCCGATATACCCATAGAGAACATCGATCGTAGGAAACTCACCCTGTATAGTATTTAGAAACTAACTGTTATTATTATTTGACTAGATTAATTTGATTAATAACACTCGACTAATTTAATTTAAAATAAATTTGATCAGATTTTTTTTTCGTATATTTTACTACCAGAAAACCAAAATTATATGATAACGCACTTTTCAACGAAGTTGAAGGCAGATATAGTGTATCTATCACAATCCTTAATAGAATTATTACAATTAGAAGAAAAACAAAAAGAAAAAATACCCAAATACCTCATCTATAAAATAAACTAATATAATATCTTATAAAAACACTACACAACTACTTCTTGTATTCTACCCTGAAAAAATTATCAAACTTACTAATTAATCAAACAAAAAGAAAAAATAACCAAATTATCCCTTCACCTACTACTTAACTACAAAATAATAAACTATAAAAACACTACTAAACTATTTCTGGTATTCTACACTAAACATTATAATTAAACTTAATCTAATTTTACACTACAACCCCTACAATTACAAAGAAATAAGAACATTTTTTAAAACTAGAAGAATCAGAACTTCGATACGTGCGACCAGTATAATAGATCAAGCGGACAAAGAATATAAAATACTTTAAAAATGTGCATTCAGAACAATTCAGAAAGAAAAATATCTCGAAAATTACCTAAACAAACATTTTTTTTTCTTATCAGTGAAAAGCATCGGCCTCGTCGGCCTTGCGGAATTTGTCGGGTATTTACAATGGTCGAATTGTATAATTACCAGCTTTTATAGCATATCTAATAGACAAAAAGTATCTGGTCGATTAGTAACCAATTGGCACAGTCCGAAAATTATCGAGTTTTATTTTCTCTGTTTTTATTGGTCGCTTCAAAATTCATAGTACCAAAAAATATTTTTCTGTAGTAAAAGACTGTGAAATACGCCCCGCCATCTGGTGCTTTACATCCATAAACGTCTTAGGTTGAGCTACTTTAAAGATTCATATACAAGGCTAATAGTAAAGAGTAATAAAAGCTTAAAAAGTCAGCAAAAACCGCATCTTGATATCCTCTTTCAAACCGAAGATATTAGCAAAATTATAATAAATACCAAAAAATAAGGCCTTAATTACATTATTTTTTTAACACGGTTACAGTAGCCCTCTTGATTATGACCATTCTAATAAAAAATAAGATAGAAATGATTAGTTTATTCTAAAATCGACAATATACCAGAATACGATAGTACCAGATGTATTAATATCTAATAATTAAGATATCAATGACAGTGAATAAGAAACAACGCCTCAGTGAAGTCATGGTAGGCTTTGGAAAAAAGATGTTTTTGACGTAATAGTATAAACGTCAAAGATTTATTAAATCAGCATATTGATAGTCTTAGCAGCGTTTTTTCTCTTTTGAAGAAAGGCATTTTTATAAATGCAATCAAAAGATAAAAAACGCTGCTGAGACTATCAAATTGTTGATATAATAATATTTTGAGTTTAAACTATCTCTTTAAAAGCAACTTTTTTCCAAAGCCTACCATGAATTCACTGAGGCGTCATTGGTATCTTAATTATTAGATATTCATACACCTAGTATTATGGTATTCTGGTACATTGTCGATTTTTTGAATGAAATAATCTTTTCTGTCATATTTTTTATTAGAATGGTCATAATCAAGAAGGCTAGGGATACCGTGTTAGAAAGATAAGTTAATTAAAAGCTTATTTTTTCGTATTTATTATAATTTTGCTAATAACTTTGGTTTGAAAAAAGATATCAAGATGCGGTTTTCGCTGATTTTTTAAACTTTTATTACTCTTTAGTATCAGCTAAAATTACATATACTATCGCATTTAACTTTTTCGAAAAAACGCGTAATGTTTGTTAAATTGTAAGACAGCGCCCCCTAGCGTCTACGTTCAAAAGCTTATGTTTATTATTAATATGGTATAATATAGAGTAAGAAACGCCCTTTTAAACGAGCCCTCACTTGTTGGATTCCGATCAACCAGTCCGGAGTTATTAACACTTAAATAAAAACAGATCTAACCTTCCCCCACCACTTTATTTTAGCAGCTAGGGGAAAATGGTTCTAACAAAAAATATGCAAAAATTACTGAAGATTATGAATTTATTATTTATAGTATCCGTTATCTAGGCAAAGTTGTGTAAAAACTCCTTTTCCTTATTTTTAATAGCAGTTGCGCCCTCTAGCGGCCGCTCTACAAACTTGAAAATAATTTCCAGCAATTTCTCATACCCTCTTTAGTTATAAATATTTTTTTCCGCAAGCTCTACGACTAATACTTTCCGAGATACAGCCGAGAGCTATTCTTAGTGGGACACCCTGTACTGGCGTCATGGGGCATTTTTCCTCGATTATACCTGGCAGTTAACCTGTTAAGTTTATTTTTAATTAGTAATATTATTTCAGTCGGTTTTTATTGACCACCCTGTAAACAGTGATATTTTTCCATCTTTTTTATACAACTATCTATCGTTTAAAACTAGATTAACAATAAATAGACTATTATTAGAACACAGACGACCGATTAGAGTTTTAATCGAGCTCGTCTGTCAATTTTAATGATGACAAAATGTTTTTGATAAATTCTGATAAACACACATTATATTTTTACAGGGGGAGATAATCAGTGATGTGGTGTTGAACAACAGTAAAAAGATATTATGTAAGTATAGACTGTCAACTGATTAACATGAATACAGGGTGATCAAGTTTTTGTCACTTAAAAATCACTTAGGATTTATTTCAGTCATATTTTTCTTTATTCTTAATGATACCTAAATCTTTAAAATTAATCTAAAAAAATTATATTTTAAGCTAATTGTAGTTGTTATTTTAATATACAGGGTGTTTCTTAATTTATAACACTGATGTTCAGTACTACCTACTGCAAATTCAAGAAAGAAATAATGGTATTTAAGATAATTTCAAAAGATCTATATTTTTCAAAGTTTTGACATCCTGTATCTTAAAAAATATGCATTGCCGAAGCAAAGGAACTTTTTTTCATATTTTTTATGAGAAATTAATGAGCACTTATTTAACACTTAATGACATTAATTTTTTAAAAGTTATTATTAGTCTTGGATTAAGGAAGATTAATAAAATTGTGTTTATCTCATCAAGGAGACTTAAATCAACATAAAATTGTGTTTATCTCATCAAGGAGACTTAAATCAACAAAATATCAAGAGGCAACTTTTAATGGACATTAAATGGCCTACACAACTGTGCTAACAAGATAAAAAAAAATCAGTGGCGCACATTTTTTTTAGAAAAATATTCCATTTATAATCTATATGAACGCCCCTGATGAAGCTGTCCACACTTTTTTAGCATTAAAATATGTCGCACTTCTAATGGAATATGTTTTTTGAAACACCCTGTAGTAACAATTGTTACCGAACCAAATATTTCTTGGATATTTTAGGTAAAAATAACTGGGTAATCATTATTACATAAAAATATCTAATTCTGATTAATAAATTATAACCCAGCTATTATCTTTTATTATTAAACTACTCCTGGCCTCCTATAAAAAACTGGATCACCTTGTATAATTCAGTATAATAATGGACAAGTACCACTGACCAGCACCAAAAACGACCACCTTAAAATTTTCATGAAGTTTAAAGTTTATTATATCTAGTTCCAGTGGGCCTATTTTGATGATTTTTTAAGCAGTGTGTAGCTAAAATATTTGACTTTTTAGTCATTTTTCAATTAAAAATTTAAGTTCTCATCTGTCTATTATAAGAGAAGAAATAAAGTGGTATTTTATTAAGTTTGATACACCCTGTGGAATGGTTTTACAAAGCAAGAAATTAGAAAACACTAAAATCATCAAGATGCATTTTTTCTTGATAGTTTGTTTTTTGGTTCATCTCAGCAGCTTTATTTTTTTTGGAGATATTCCCTTTGGAAGTAGACAGTAAGTATTTACAGCAATTTTAGTATTTAAAGTATGTCTTTGCTTTTGGTCCTCATCAACACACCTATGAAATAGTCGTTATTGTTTTTGTAATGTCACTGTTATTGAAAGAAAAAGCATATTATTTTTTTTTTGTTGGCAGAGATGCTTTAAAGTCCAAAAGTTGTATCGGCTATTGTTGCTCTAATTGAACATGGTATATAGTGATCAACTTCTGGACTTATAAACTTCTAGAGTAACTGCCAACAAACAATAATAATATGCCTTCTCAATGACAGTGACATTGCAAAAACAAAACCACAATTTCATAGGTGTGTTAGTGAGAATTAAAAGACATGCTTTCAATGCAACACTTGCTGTAAATTGTTACTATCTTCCTCAAATGCGGATATGTTCAATAAAAATAAAGCTGTTGAAATTAGGGTTTCCAAACCAGGATCCCGAAATCCCGTGATCCCGGTGTATGTTTATCTCCGAAATCCCGAGATCCCAAAAATCTCGAAAAATTTAAATGCCCAACTTAAAATGATTCGACTTTATACACTTTAGTCTTTCAAAGATCATACTTTATTTATACTAGGCAGAACGTCAATATCTAAAAGTTATATTTAAGTGTTTGCGCTATTTTTTCCTTTTTTTGCAACTGGAATTGTATTTTTTTACTTACTAAATATTAATGCTACTTTGTTTTGTCTATTTTAAAGAGCTCTTTTCTTATTTTCTTTTTGATATAATAATATGTAGTTGCATGTTTATTAAGTATTTCTAGATTAAATTTCTGACTCTGATAGTCAGTCTCGGGATCCCGGGATTATAGGTTTTTGCCCCGGGATTTCAAAACGGGATACCGATCCCCAAAATTGGAAACCCTAGTTGAGATGAATCAAAATAAACTATCGAGAAAAAAGCACCTTGATGATAAAGTGGTTTTTAAATGCCTTACTTTGTTAAACTAACGTTTCAAACATTTGCCAAAATAACAATATTTTGTTTCTTTTAGTATAAAAGGTAGCTAAGGAATTTAATTTTAATTTTAAAAATGGGTTAAAAAGTCAAATAATTTAGCTACACATTGCATAAAAAATCACCAAAATCAACTCACTAAAAGAATATATTGAATTTTAAATGACATGAAAATTTTCAGGTGTTCGTTTTTGTGCCAGCCAGTATATGTTTAACTGTTACAGATTTTCCACACGTGAATTTTGAATCCAATGGTTTTTACACAAAATGTTAGTGAAATAGAAGAAGGATGACCACCCTGTAGTATATACAACTATAAACTTGTTAGTGATATCAGTGTTAGTTTGTTCTTCAAATTGGAAAAAAAATCTTTTTTATTAGTTTCGTGTTACACAAATATTGATATTTTGTAACCTTTATTTGTTTGATAAAATGTATATTTGATCGGTATTATCGAACAATAATTATAATTTATTTGTTAATTAACCTATTTACACTGTTAACACAGAATTCTATTTTTGAACTGTAAAAGGTATATAGTTCAATTATCTTATACTAATAATATAATTTTAATTTCTTTGTTTTATCCGATAGGGAAGTTGGCAGATATACCCTTTTAAACATCAAATATTTTAAGCTACTGTAAATTACTTTGAAATATGTCTCCTTGGACTTTGAACCCAGTGGCTTTTTGACATAAAAAATCTGATTTTGATCATTAGGTTCATGTTTTGTTTGCAAAAGACAATTCTATAGAAGGCAACTATAATAAATTCATCAAAAAATACAGAGAGTATAATAAACAATCAGTAGTAAATATATAACTTTAGAACCAAGTGGCTTTTACGCAAAAATAAATATGGCAATATTGACAGAAAAGTGAATTACAATGATTCAGTCACAAAGTTCCAACCACACTTAACCTCCATTCTGATAAAATGCGAAAACTTATTAATAATTTCTTATATTAGTGGCAATATTGACAAACAGAGGAAACTAAACCAAATGAATCAGAGAAATGAATAAATGAATATCTGAACCCAATGGCTTCTCATATAAAATAGGATAACTATCTTAATTTTAACGTTTATATTATTGGCAATATTGTAATTGGCAATAGGCAATATATTAACTTCCAGACAGTATACTTGATTTTGTGAACTTTGAACACAATGCCTTTTCATTCTTATAAAATAGAAAAACTATTTTATTTTTAAGCATTTGTATTAGTGGTAATATTGCCAGAAAATAAAACTAGATTGAACCTGCCACAAAGCAACACACAACTTTTAATATAAAATACGAGAACTATTTTATTTCTAAGTTTCAGTTCGAGAAGAATAAACTACAATGAACCCGTCACAAAGCACCTGATAGTATACCCAACACAATAGGGACGATAAATAGTAGTTAATGTAGTTAACTTGCATTTGTGACCTCTGAACCCAGTGGCTTTTCATATAAAATACGAAATGTTACTCCTAAGTTTCATTTGCAAAAGAGTAAACTGCTATGAATCCGTCACAAAGCACCAGATTGCTTAACATAACGCTACTATTTATATGTGACCTATATAAAAAAAACAATAGGGGCAATAGGCAGTAGTTAACTTGCATTTGTGACCTATGAACCCAATGGCTTCTCACACAAAATACGTAAACTATTTTATTCCTAAGTTTCATGTCCAGAAGAGTAAACGTATGAACCCGTCATAGAGCATCAGACTACTTAAAATAACCCTGTTATATATAGATGACCCATATCCAAAACAATAGTGGGTGACAAACAAAAGTAGTTCACTTGTATTTGTGATCTCTAAACCCAGTAGCTTTTCATATAAAATTATTTTGTTCCTAAGTTTTATTTCCAGAAGGATAAACTACAATAAACCCGTCACAAAGCACTAGATTATATAAAACGCTATTATTTATAGGTTACCTACATATACAACAATAGGGGCGAATGAAAGTAGTTAACTTGCATTTGTGACCTCTGAACCCAGTGGCTTTTCATAAACTCTAACTTATAGATAACATACATCCAAAACAATAGGGATGAAGAATAGTAGTTAACTTGCATTTATCACTTCTGAACCCAGTGGCTTTTCATATAAAATAAGAAAACTATTCTATTTTATTAAGTTCCAAGTTTCAGTTCCAGAAGAATAAACTACAATGAATCCGTAACAAAACTACTTAAAATAACGCTATTATTTATAGGTAACCTAGACCCTCGCCTATACCCAAAACAATAGGGACGATAGACAGTAGTTAACTTGCATTTGTGACCTCTGAACCCAGTGGCTTTTCGTAAAAAAAATCGAAAACTATTTTATTCCTAAGTTCTATTTCCAGAAGAGTAAACTACAATGAACCCGTCACAAAGCACTATATAGACTATACAAAAAACGCTCTAACTTATTCAAAACAATAGAAATGAAGAATAGTAGCTAACTTGCATTTATCACTTCTGAACCCAGTGGCTTTTCATATAAAATAAGAAAACTATTCTATTTTATTAAGTTCCAAGTTTCAGTTCCAGAAGAATAAACTACAATGAATCCGTAACAAAACTACTTAAAATAATGCTATTATTTATAGGTAACCTAGACCCTCGCCTATACCCAAAATAATAGGGACGATAGACAGAAGTTAACTTGCATTTGTGACCTATGAACCCAGTGGCTTTTCGTAAAAAAATCGAAAACTATTTGATTCCTAAGTTCTATTTCCAGAAGAGTAAACTACAATGAACCCGTCACAAAGCACTATATAGACTATACAAAAAACGCTCTAACTTATAGATAACATACATCCAAAACAATAGGGATGAAGAATAGTAGTTAACTTGCATTTATCACTTCTGAACCCAGTGGCTTTTCATATAAAATAAGAAAACTATTCTATTTTATTAAGTTCCAAGTGTCAGTTCCAGAAGAATAAACTACAATGAATCCGTAACAAAACTACTTAAAATAACGCTATTATTTATAGGTAACCTAGACCCTCGCCTATACCCAAAACAATAGGGGCGATAGACAGTAGTTAACTTGCATTTGTGACCTCTGAACCCAGTGGCTTTCCATATAAAATAAGAAAACTATTTTATTTCTAAGTTGCAGTTCCAGAAGAATAAACTACAATGAACCCGTCACAAAGCACCAGACTATTATAAGGTTATTATTTATAGGTGACCTATATCCACAACAATTGGGACGTCGCTTGCTGACCACCACAGCTGACCACACTGTACGCTTAATTGCGACTATTGTTTTAAAAATAGAACCGTGGCGCCGACATCCAACTCAAGTTACTGATGTATTAATCGTAGTAGTACTAGGTACGTGTGTTTGTAGTAACCAGCCGAGTGAGTCAGCAAATTCCGAGACGAAAATTCTATTTTTATAAAGATATTTTCGGATAAATATAGGAAAAGTTGCATGTGGATTTTTTTTGTTCGAACACTAACAAGAGATTTTACAAAAATACCTCCCACAAATTTTCGAAATTAATAGAATCAATATATTTATACGCGCTATAGTTTGTCAGTAAGAGAATATATGATTTCGTCAGACGGAATCAAGTAAAGTAAGTAAAACAATAGTTAACAAGTGCCACTGTAAGATGTTACAGGTTACAGGGGTCTTCAGAAGTTATAGGCACAACTGCAGGCTTACCCATTGGATGTAGTAAAACACTTTAAATGTAGGAGTTGTAAGGTTTTACCTGAACCCTGAAAGTGAAATAAAAATCGATTAGAAAGTTAAGAAAAATTATATTATTCTTTATTCTTCCGCAAAGATAAAAAAAATCATAGGAACTAAGTCTGACGACCAACGGCTGGGATCTTGGTTAGCTAGTCAATTATTGCAAAAATTTGCTGATAACTTCAGCGTTCTGGGGCGGTGCCCCCAAAAGTATGTTTTCGAGTTCCATTAGGGGCAGATCATCAATAAGAGGTCTAAAGCCCACTAGTTAAAAGAGGCGAATTTTTAAAAATTCTGTATTTCGAAGGGGACTATAATAAAATATAAAGTCTGCTATATTTTCGGAAAGGTAATTTTAAGTTATGTGTCTCAAATAAAAAATCAATTTTTCTGTTGATAACTCTGAAATTATTAATTTTTAAAAAAATATACTTTAAACCATTAAATTCTTTATAAAAAGTTGTTTTTTTTTCATAACAAGGGGCCGTCCTCTGCCGGAAACACTGCGACCTGTGAGGCCTATTGTGTTTGTCCCCCTTCTATATCTGCACCCATTCTCCTATCCCTGTGCCCTGCACTAGCTTGTGCAGGTCCTTGATAGGATGGGAGCATAGTTCCTCCGGTTCTAGCCTAGCTTTCCCAAATAAAGAGTGTCGCTTGCGATCCAGAGCCTCGCAATGACATATTATGTGCTCCGTTGTTTCAGGATCTTTATCGCAGAGTCTGCAGCAAAGACTTCCTTGATACAGGTTGAGCTTGTTCAGATAACACTTGACAGCCATGTGTCCTGTCAAGAGGCCTGTTGTAATCCGCACTTTATTCCTGCTAAGCATTAGCAGTTCTTTTGCGGTTTTAGAGCTAGGTCCTTGGATAAAAGCCTTGCTGTGCCTGTGCCCCTGTCTGTTTCTCCAGTGGACATTGTGCTTTTCCTTGGTCCAGAGTTTCAGTGCACCACGGGCCATACATTTGGGTATTTCCAGTACTGGCTCTGGACCAAGATAGGATGCCGATGATCCCTGCCTAGCTAGCTCATCGGCTTTTTCGTTGCCTTGGATGCCGCTGTGGCCCGGCACCCAGAATAATTTAAAAAGTTGTTTTGGAAATGTTTTCATAAAAATACAAAATTTTCCATAGCAAAAAAGTTACAGCGATTTGTTAAAAATGCACATTTTTGAAAAACATCCGGTAACTTCGAAACGGTAACAGATATCAATGTGTGGTTTTGACCATAAAGTTTTTGATAAAAATTGAGCTCAGACACCGATATTAGTTTTCGTCTATCTCCTATAGAAAAGGGCGTTTTCCTTTAAAAACGTCCAATTTGACCCACCCTGTACATAATACTTAAAAATGTCTAGAATTGTATTGAAATATTTCAATGCACTGATTAAATCAAAATAATTAAAAAAACGACTCACGCAAATACAGACAAACATAAATATACATTATGTCTGAAATCGGGAGAAAAAGATCTCTCAAAAAAAACTTAAAATTTACAGGGTGATCCATGAAAAAAAAGAGATGTTATAAATTTTTCTTAACTTTCTGGTCGACTTTTGTTTATTTCTACAACTGCTACATTTACATTTAATTTACATTTAAAGTTTTTTCTACCTCCAATAGGCAAGCCTACAGTAGGGCTGTGCCGATACCGATACTCAGTATCGGGTATCGGCCGATATTGACTATTTTCCGATACTCGCCGATACCTAGTACTTCAGATACCAAAGTATCTGTCAGATACTTTTTTCTTGTGTCAAATCGTTTTCACAGCTGAAAACGAAAATGAGCAAACCGTAATTCAGAAAATAATAAATGTATTAAAAGATAATGCACCGCTAGCTTTACATGCTTCACAGTCACAACAGATGTCTGATTCTGATACGGATACAAATACAAATATGAACTCTGATGAAGCCCCAGGAACCTCTGGTTCACTTATTCCCAATTTTAATCTAAGCCTTTTGCAGGTATATATAAAGTTTTAAAACTAAAATAGTGCGTATTAAATATGATTTACTCTCTTTTGGGCTACTAAACAACTTTTACAGAAAAGTCAGTGGAGTCCAAATCCAAATCCAAACTATGATCTGGACAAAGAAATTCAACTATATTTACATGAACCGACAAAAAAAAATTGAACTGACCCATTAGATTATTGAAAACAAGAAATCAGGAGCTGGATCTATCTTCTCTGAACAAACTTTTTCCGAAGCAGGGCATATTGTGAAACCTACAAGAACTTCACTAACATCAGAAAATGTCCAGAGATTAATATTTTTATGAAAAATTTTTACCCCTTAGGTTAAGATAAACTTTTTTTGAAGTTGTTAGTTGTTATAGCTAAATATTATGTAACGAGTTTTGATTTTTAATGAAAGTTAAGTAAAAAAACCTTTTATCTGAATTTCAGATATAGTATCGGTATCGGATGTTAGGTATCGAAAGTATCGGTATCAGTATCTGAAAGGTAGTATCGGCACAGCCCTAGACTACAGGTATGGCACTAAATATAACCTGTATCTTAATATTATTTTCTATGTTTACTTTTCTACAGAACTGTCTGCAAATGCTTTGTATAACAATTTTATGT